GCAATCCGATCTGGTACAAATAGTTACCATACTGCATCATGTGTTCGGGGTCACATAAACCATTGCCAATAGCCACTCCTTTAAGATTTATTTTGATTTCCGCTTGTTTATTTAGATTGTGAATTGCGTAAGCAGTAGATGGTACATACTTCCCAGCATAAGATTCCCCTGTGACAAAAAAGTCATTCTTTTGGTATTCTGGGAAAAGTGTAAAAAACTGATATAAAGCTGAATAGAGATGCTTACCAACTTCAGCCTCGTTTTTAACATAGCCATCGGCATTTGTAAAACTAAATCCAGTACCCACAGGATTATCAATATAGATCACATTATGATCGTGAGTCCAAGTATATTCACGCAGCTTCAGTCCATGTTTCCTTTTCACTGAAAATGGTCCATGTTCGGCAAAGAGTCCATACAGTGATGTCGCACCTGGACCACCTTGAAGCCAAAGTATAACTGGAGCAGAAGCATTATTCTGGTAAGCAGGAAAAAACCAAAAAAACATATTTGAATTATAAGCTGGATCAACAGTAAAAAATCCTGCATAACTAGAAATGTTGCTTTTCATTGGTGTCATTTTGCATGCCACACGAGCTTCTTGAATTTTTTTTGCTTTTATGAGTGGAGTTAGGATGAGGGGGAGTCCGGGATCATCCCCAAACCCACCTTGAATTGGGTAATCATTTATCTTCGGGTATATGTGAAAAAGTCCTGAACAACAGTTTGCAATACAAAGAAAATACAAACCTATAAAAAATGAAGAGAAACTGAACATTTTGTTGACTGTTTTCGATTTAAGTATGATTGCAAATAAAAAAAACTTATTAAAAATCAAACATGCCGGGTATTGGTCAGTAAGCTAACAGCACAAATCAAAATGAACTCAACACTCAAAGTCACTGTGCACCACTGCAACTGCACGCACACACAACACAAACACAATGGTTTGATTTTCGTTTTCACTGTTGTTTTTGTTTTCAGTCAGGGACATGACAGTTGACAGTTAAGGCTTTTGAAGTTAAAAAAAGGGAACGGCTGTGGGGTGGGGCCGGGGCAAACCTCAAAGGGTCAGCTGCGTTTGCTCTTCAGCGTTGCCAACGTACTGGCAGTTCAAAGTAAAAAACACTCTGTTGCAGAATAACAATTCCTAATGTATACTTACAGTTCCAAAACGAAAAAAGTAATTTTATTTTTGTATTTTATGGAGTGCTACCTTGTAAATATATTAAATATCATGTCGTATTAGATCATCATCATATCCAAATAAAAATTCTTTATGACAATATCTTTATGACAATCAAGTATGACAATCTATATGGATGTCTTAGGGTTTTCAAAACCACCATAGTAACAATAATACGATTAATCTTGTAAGATAAAAGATATAACTTTTCTGTTAGTATGCTTTCCTAATACCTAGAACAGAATAAAATAATCATCTCGAATGTATGTGTTTTGAAATGAAATTACACTTTCACCGCGATGGTCGTCCTTCTCCTTTTAAGACAAAGGAGTAGACGATCTCGATTCAACTCAGCAGGATTTTTTTATCTGAAAAAAGGTGCTTGATACCGTGGATCACGACCTGCTGCTCCAAATAATGAGTAAGATAGGAATACGAGGCCATGAGTCGGGCTTACCTAACCTCTGCATTAGCATAGATACCAAATGGTATATAGTCAATAGCATAGACTAACCAACACCAGCTAGTATTTGCCCATATTATTAATAAATGAGCAGGTGTAACATGTCTGTTATGTTAGTTTATGGAACGTTTGCCAATTCTACCAGGCTGCGGCTTCGAAGGTGGCCGTGGACTGACCTTAGATGAACATCATTACCTCCACGATCAGTGATCACATCAATATGTTTAATAAAACATGAGCCCTGGAAGTTCTGTCTTGCGTTTTTTAAAGAACACTGCAAACTACGACGTTAATTATATCCATACATAGGACTCATTTATCCTCAATTAGCATATGCTTTATCTCTATGGGGCCATGAATAACAAAGTTTCTGTTTAAATTCCCAAAAAATGTCCAGTAAGAAAATTGTTTGCCTTCCCAAATGCCGATCCTGCAGACAATAAATTCTTCTACGAATCAATATTCTAACTCTTCCATCCATCTATAATTGTTGAAACTCTCACTTTTGTCAAACAAAATCTTCAAATCTCCAGCTGTTGCTGTTCTCCGATTTAGAAAAAACACGTCGCATTATACCATATTCTCTTCATAATTTCCATTATTTACCAGTTCACTCAATCTGTTTACAGAAACATTATTGTCTTTACAATAGCATCCACCCGTGTGGCGTTGTTGGTCTCCCATCGGGTGCCTCTCCCCCCGGGTGGATTGGGGAAAGCTCGTCAGATATGACGGGTGCCAGGGAAATAAAATACCCGGGGCGAACCATAACTAACACTGCTGCCTCTTGTAGTTTGGGAGAGGATCATAAAGGCTAAAGGAAGAAAACCTTGAAGAAAAATTACCTGGTCCTCCTGGAAAGGGGTTAGGCGTAAGGTTAACACCCTTACCCTGGATAATTCATTTGTTAGGAACCATTCAAATGAGCCTCAGAAATAATTTTGAACAGTATCACAATTTTTAATAGTGAGAGTTTGATTGTTTAACGTAAATGGGGTAACAGAGTGCTCGATCGAAGGCTAGGGTTGATAAAGGGTCATGAGGATAGACTCCCAAGTGCACAGTAGTTTCATCCAACAGGACCTCATCATCAAGCTCTCTTTTAGCGAATTTCCCATCATAGGGGATAAGCTATTACTGTAGTACTCATGGTAAGACCTGGACCCGGGACCAATTTACTTTTTCGTTTTGAGGTCCCTAGAGGCAAAAAAAAACCAACCGTTAAAATGCATGTATATGTGTGTGTGTGTGCGTGCGTGTGTACATTATCACGATAACTCGAGCAAAAATGATCCGTTTTTGATTAATTTTGATATAAACCTGTAAACTTACATTATTATTCGAACGAGTTCGCGAGTCAGCATGATCGGACTATGAAGAACGGTTGTCAGACTTCGGAACGGTTATGGGGTGAAAGTATGGCCTATTTTGACCCTAAAAACATAGAAATTTGCAATTTTTTTTATTATTTTGTAGAGCTTAAAAAACAACTTTGTCTGTGATCCCCGTTCAGGGTGATGTACACATTGAGGATCTTCGACAGCATCTTCGGCTAAACCACTGAGTTCTCGAAGGCGTATTGCTTAAACCTGGTTTTCCTGAGGAAGATTTTCAATGCAGAGCTTGACTCTCCTGAGCTGCTGAGCAGAATCAACGAATAATCAACTTTCGCTGCTCCAGACCATCCCGATCCCAGGACCTATTTGAGAGGGGGCATCTTTCTACAGTGTATGCCTACAACAGCACACTACCAAGACAACATTGTTTGGGAAACAGTATTCCTCCAAATCTCAACTTTTTCTCCTCATGTTTAATAACTTCCAAGAAAGAGCTGCTTGATTGTTTTTCATAATTGCATCCCTGGTGATAGAGTTATCCTATGGTCCAGTTTTTATTGCATTTCTTATTTGCTTTCATATTTATTAAAATGTTGTTGCATATTTAATCAGCTCCTGAGCTTATCTTGTTTTTTCAACTGATGAATTATTTGTTTGATTTCGGATTCTACTGTTGGGAATTTAAAAAATGCGTTATGGCTACCGGTAATGTTTTGTCTAAAAGCTATAGTGTTTGTGGCTCTACAATTATATATACAGGGTGTTTATTTAAAAAATTGCATATTTATTTATATAAAAACCGCAATGGATAGAAATATGCAGTTTTCGGGAATCATCTATTGACGTAGGGGGCCCAATTGTTTTGAATTCAACGTTACATTCACATTCCCCCCCTTTCCCCCCTGCCCCCAACTTAATTTTTTTAAATAGCAAGGTACCCCTTGTGACATATCAAATAAAAGAACATGAAAAAAAGAAAATGTTTGATGAAAAAAATTGAAAATCGGTTAATAAATTTGCGAGATATTTCCCCCCCCCCTTCCCCGGAACTTAATTTTTTTTTAATAGCAAGGTACCCCTTGTGACATATCAAATGAAAGAGCATGAAAAAAGAAAATGTTTGGTGAAATTTATTTTTCATTTGATATATCACAAGGGCGGGTACCTTGCTATTAAAAAACAAGTTATCGGTAGGGGAAAAGGGGGGGGTTATCTCACAAATTCATAAGCCGATTTAAAATTTTTTTTCACCAAAAATTTTCTTTTTTCATGCTCTTTCATTTGATATGTCACAAGGGATACCTTGCTTTAAAAAAAAATTAAGTTCCGGGGGGAGGGGGGAATATCTCACAAATTTATGAACCGATTTTCAATTTTTTTCATCAAACATTTTCTTTTTTCATGCTCTTTTATTTGATATGTCACAAGGGGTACCTTGCTATGTAAAAAAATTAAGTTGGGGGCAGGGGGGGAAAGGGGGGGAATGTGAATGTAACGTTGAATTCAAAAAAATTGTGCTCCCTACGTCAATGGATGATTCCAACTGCATATTTCTATCTATTGCGGTTTTTACATAAATAAAGATGCAAGTTTAAAAAAAAACCCTGTATGTATATTTACAGAGTGATCAACTCAAGGAGGCCACCATTGGGATATCGGAAACGGTAAGAATTATAGAAAAGTTTAAAGAGGGACATTCCTTTATTTTTTTGTTGCAGTTAAAAATATGATTTTAGTTTTTTTTTTAATTCAGCCACCATTTTCCAAAATTAACTCTAAATTTCAAAAAACTAAATTCATATGGTGGCCAGCTAGCGTTGATTACCCTGTGTAGTGTTTTACATTTAGTATTCTTAAGTTGCATGATTACAGAATTTGACCCGCTTAAGAAAAAGCAGGAATTAAATAAATGGAAAAGGAAAAATGCGTCACAGCCCACAGCACAGCTGTAGGCTGTAGCCATTGTCATTGTCTTGTCTTGTCATTATGTCATTGTCCCCATATAGTCATTACTCAATACTCATTAGCCAATAGCCAATAATATTATCCATGATACATTGATATATTATGATATTGTCAATTTATTATTGTTATTGTTGATGTTGATGTTTTGTTAGAGTTTATCCATCCATCCTATTCCTATACTATTCATAATCATCATCACCACGACCACATCACATTACACTTCTCATTTTAAACTTAACCTAATCTAATTTCAAACGAACGTTTCTGATATATAGTGTATATTTAATTGACATTTAATTAATTAGTCTTCTTGTATGCAATCCAACATTGACGATGTACGAAACCGGGACCCTGTTTACCCTATTTTATATAATTTGCTCATATTGTTTCGTATTCAAAACAAATGAATTTTTTACTGCTGGATTGACTGTAGAAAGCCTATTCGGAAGGATCATAGGCAGTGAAACGGAAAATTTTGTTTTTTATCACATCAAACGATCAACATACACAATGTTCATTCACAGTTTTATTCCAATAGGTAAGCATTAATTATTAGAAAATTAGCGTAGCCCAGTTAAGAAACTGTACCCGAAAACTGGTCCAAATCATATGGTTTTTAAGACAAGAGGACAGTAGGCCTAGTTTACCCAGTTATTTTTCTGACTATGTTTTATTGGTCACCTAACTTACTGGTCCTAAAGATAGTCTACTAACTTAGACCAGGTATGCAAGTACCTCTGCATACTAAGTTATACAAAGAGAAATAATGATTAAGCTGTTTTGTGTAGATCATAGACCTAGGCCTACCTTACCTTAGTCTTAGGCTGATAAGCCAGATTTTGCTGGTCTCTGGGAGACAGGTAGCTTTAACTTGGGGTAACTCTCTTATTGCTTCAGCGACCACTGGCTGCCCACATGACTTATACATAGGCCTAGACCAAACTGTAACTTAATCCACTGTTTCTTTTTATCACTCATAAGGCCAGTCTCAGGTGTATGAGATAAGTGGTCAGTGCCGGATTTACCACTAGCCCATGGCCTAGGGCTGCAAGCAAAAGGAGCCGCAAAGGCCTGACAATTTCTTTTTTCAGAGCAAAATTTTTTTTCTAAATTATCAATGCTGAGATTGCGGGTGAAAATGATGATGTCCCCGTGATTGCAACCCATGGGAGATATTCACGATGTTGCCGGTGTTGCGGGTGTCGATGATAATGCCCCCGTGATTGCAAACAGCGGGGGATATTTAACATTTTGCCGTTGTCACATGTGTCAATGATGATATAGCCCTAATTGCGGCCCACAGGAGATATTCACGATTTTGCCACTGTGGCGGGTGACACTGATGATATCGCCGTGATTTCGGCTCATGGGAGGTGTTCATGATTTTGCCGTGGTCGTGTGTGTCAATGATGATGTAGCCCTGATTGCGGCCTACGGGAGATATTAACGATTTTGCCACCGTGGGGGGAGACGGTGAGATCGCCGTGATTTTGGCTAATGGGAGATGTTCATCATTTTACCGTGGTGGTGGGTGTTGATGACGATGTCTCTGTGATTGCCCACAGGGGATGTTCACGATTTTTTCTGCAATCACCAGGAATTTCCCCCATTGGGATGGGGGCCTCTTGATTAATTTGGCTTAGGGCCGCAGGTAGCCTAAATCCAGCACTATGGGTGGTTGAGGTTTTTATTAAACCTCACCAAAACATCACCACTTATTTTTTATTTGTTTATCTCAGTAAGTTAAAAGCCGTGATCACGTTAAAATCCAAATCTCCTGCGTAACTGTGGACATGATCATCGTGGAGTTTCCATGACCTCAGGAGTGCGTTCATGGAAACTCGTCATTGTTTCCGTTGCAACATCTTGTACATCATCCGCGGTCTTGAAAACATCATCATTGTCTCCTGTGGTCACAGAAACAACCTTTTTTCCACAATTGTACCAAAATGATGAATAAACTATCTTCTTCGGTCTTGAAATATCATCTTTGTCTCCCGCGGTCACGGAAACAATGTCACCTTTTTCGCGATCGAGTAGTGACAGCTTGACCTTCTGAATACAATGATGAATACAATGAATACAATGAATTTATTTGGCCAATCAACAACAACATTGTTACAGGCTATGTCTATGTTACATAAAATAAATATCAAGACTTAAAAATCAAACCAAGCAAAAATCGATCAAAACCAACCATGTGAAAAAAAATATGTTCAAGACCATGCACAAAAAGATATAAAGCAAACAAATGCAGTTCATGCAAAATGCATGCACTATGCAAAAACAGCAAACAGGCTGTTCAGAGGAAAACTTAACTAAATACAGTTTCAAAAAACTCTTTGAATTTGAAAAAAGGATTTTCAATCAGCCAATCAAATATTACGGTTTGGAAGTTCTTTCTTTCCAGATTTCTCACATGACCAGGAAGGTCATTAAACAGTTTTATTCCTGAAACAGGGTATGACCTAGCTCTTTTATCAGTCCTGGACCGAGGAATGACAAGCTTAGAACTAAACCTAGTGTCATGATTGTGCACTGAACTGGTTACATGTAAATCATTCATGCTGTTCTTAATACTAACAAGGCATTGGAATATATACATATTTACAACTGTCAGAATTCTTTGTCTCTTAAACAAGGGCTTACTGTGTTCTTTATAGTGAGCATGACAGAGAATCCTTACTGCCTTCTTTTGCAGTCGCAGGATCTTTTCGACATTGGGTGAATGGCCCCACAAAATTAACCCATAGGATATGTGAGGTTGGAAAAATGCAAAGAAGGACATTCTAAGGGTACTCTGTGGCAATTGGTCACTTAGACGTCTTAAAAGATGTTCTACTCTACTTAGTTTAGTACAGACTTGGCTTATGTGGTCTTTCCAATTGAGACAGGGGTCAAGGGTTATACCAAGGAGTTTGACAGGCTCTTGGAAAGGAACAATCTGGGAATCACATAGGCTAAATGTTATGCACTGTGTTTTCTCATTATTGAGCACTAATTTATTGTCAACAAACCAATTTGAGGCTGACTCAAAAATCTTCTTAACATACAGCTCTGCTTGTTCACGGGTCGCTTTACATGATATAAGGGAAGTATCATCTGCATACAACATGCAATTACCTTCAAGTCTGGTATAGAGGTCATTGATTGTTACTAAAAATAACCCATAATGGAACCTTGCGGAACCCCGTGTCTTACAGCTAATGGTTTAGATGTAATACCATTCCAACTTACAACCTGTTGGCGATCACTGAGGTAGGATTTGACCAATCTCAGAGCACTGCCTTCTAGGCCATATTTTCCCAATTTCAAGAGCAAAATTTCATGTGACACGCAATCAAAAGCGCGAGAGAGGTCACAAAGTATTATGGAGGTAGATTTCTTAGACTCAAAAGCATCAACAATTAATTGTACAATAGAATCAACAGCCAATATAGTGGATTTGGCTTTCCTGAAGCCAAATTGACCAGGCACCAGAAGGCTGTGTGCTTCAAGGTGGTCGTACAATTGAGCAAACATAATAGCTTCAAACAGTTTAGAAAATACAGGAATCAACGATATTGGTCGATAACTTGCAACATTGTCACGGGACCCTTTTTTATAGACAGGCACAGTTCTAGAGACTTTTAATGGAGCAGGAAAAATACCAACTAAAAAGCATACATTAACCAAATGGGCTAGTATAGGTGCCAGTGCCCACACAATGTGTTTCAAAAGATTAGGTGTCATGCCATACACATCTTTACTGTTAGAGAGTTTAAAGCCCATAACAGCATTAATAATGTCTTGGACCGATACATGTTTCCATTCAAAAGTAGGTGCACCATCAGGTATGCTTGACAGGATCACAGGAGAGGATTGCGTTATATTTGGAATGGTTGACAAGATGGACTCAACAGAATCAACAAAGTACGAATTGAATTAATCAGCAGATGCAAAAGACGGATCAAGAATATCAGACTTTGTTTGAGGTCTATTTTGATTTATTAAATTCCAGGCCGCCTTACAGGGATTGGAAGCCCCTGTTATGTATGCGGCATTTGAGTTGATCTTTGCATCCCTCACATTCTTACGGTATTGTGTTCTAAGCAGCTTAAGCAAGTTAGACAGATCAGGTCTTACACTAACTAAATCATTAACTAAAGTTATCATGTTCTTTAGCCTAGAGAGTTCAGGGGTATACCAGTCCTTAACAACAGGCAAACTATTATTTTTAGAAACCCCTGACTTGCCAACATGCACCTTTTTACATTTTATTGGGAAAAAATGATCAAAGGCCATGTTGAAGTTGACATGAAAAAACATGAAAGCATCATTTGCCGTCAATGCTTTGATTTCAATCAAACCAGAATTCTGGACAGCAGCACCCCCCCCCCCCCATGGTGGGTGTTATTTACGTCACTGCTCTTTCCATGTGGTATGACTATGTGAAGCGCAATATAGCCTACATGCAAGGTTAGAGGAACCTGTGACTGTACTTTCAGACTGTTTTATAGCATGTTGCATACCACACAGTTCGTCACTCCCTGGGGTAGTATTCCTCATGTATTTGTCTTTATGCAAACGGAGACCTGTGATTGAGTTTAAAAAAAATTTTGCTTTAGCCTATATCTTTTATTTTACATTAATAGTTTTTATAGATCTCTTAACTTAGCCTAGTCCTTATTTTTCATGCTAATTGTGATAGTAAAATTTAAAAAAAATAATTTAGTTAATGGTTTATTGGACAGAAAAAGCCGTGAATAAGTTTGACAATGAAAAAACTTTATTGATTTAGTGATTTTTACCATGCTTCCAACTTTAATTATTATTTAATTTTTCTATCCGATCTTTTAGCTTTTTAGCGACCTTGTTGCAGCTAATTTTGTTGGGTAGCCAACACTCATCAGCTGTAGGTTGCAAATTTTATTACCAGGACTAAGGGGGGGGGGGATAGGTTTATTCGCTAATAGTCCAGAATTTTAAATTTACTTTTTGTTAAAAAAACTATTAAGTTAAATACCTATATGTAACCTTTTATATCCTAAGGCAAAGGCCCTAGCCCAAAACCGTTGTACTTCAGGCTGGGCCTAGAAGCTTGTGGTGTATTATAATTTATGATAAAATCTTATGGTGGTTGGTGGGATTTGAACCGGGGACTACGTGGACTGTAGTTCTGTCCTCTACCAATAGACTAGCTTACTCCCCATGGTACATGTTATTACATTTACAGAAAGTTCGGAAAGTATTTACTGTACTTCTAATACACTTGCAACATATCTGTGCTATACTAACTTACTGACAAAATAGTGATCGATTTTGAATAGAAGAATAACATTGGGCAGGTTATGTAGCTTATGTAGGCTAGCTCTAATGGTGGTATCGAAAAATTGTATTAATTTCATAGGGTTAATTTAGGACTGCCAAATGAATATTAATTGTGCATTTAAAAATAAATTATTGTTTACATTTAAGACTCATTTGTTTACATTGTACATGTTTTAAGTGTTAAAAGACGTTTCTTTTATTTACTTTCCGTAAATTTAATAACACGTACAATGCTGATCAAGAAGTTATTTACATTTAAGAGGCTAAATACTTATCTAGATGCCAATTTTCATTTGATCTTTCAGTTTTGAAATATATAATTGAATTAAAACAAATTAGTTCTTTTCTGTAGGTTACAATATTGGTATGTTTTGGATTGCATACTATCCCTTGATACAGAAAGGTTTATGCCTGATGAACATTATCGGAACGATTGGCCTAATTCTTCCGATAACAACAGGAGTCATTGTGTACAGGTGGAGGAAAAACAACTGGGAAGAACATCCAATATCAAAAAGGCTTGCTTTATTCAGTGGAAATGCTGGTCAAATGAATTGGCGAACTTTGGCATCTGATATCAATGTTGAGTTCCGAAGGTGAGTAAAACTTAAGAAGGCCTATTATCACCAGTAGTAGTAAATGGGTTTGCTAAGATATTGGTGTACCTTTTCACACTGGTTGGTTATGTTAGACTTCATTATTTAAAACTCTAAAATTATAATTAGGTATACATAAAAACATAAACCTAAAACATAAAAACTTTAAAATTGACTTAAAGTTCTAAATCATTGCCAGTCATCAAAACTAGGATCATTTGTTGGTACTGTAGGTAATTACCGGTAACTATTGTTTGGTTTAAATGATACAGTGGCTGGACATTACATTTAATTTAGGTAATATAATTAGGCCTAGTAGTAGTAATTAGTTCGTAAAATTAATTTTAAAACTATAGGCTTATGATTAAATTGATTTAAACAAATTTTTAAAAATAAATCTTTATACGTATATTTTTTTCTTTATTGGGTTAGGGTTGCTTTGTTTGCAATATAAAAAAATGAAAGTATTCTCCCCCGTTGGTTGTGATTGTTGGGAAATCTTTTTCCAAAGTAGTGTAAAAAAAACAACAAATATAGCTCCAAAGTGTGGAGCTAGGTGTGGAGACAGGTAAATAGACAAAATATGATAGCTCTGTGTATTTAACTGCCGGTTTAGAAGTAAGGCATAGTGACAGTAAAATTACAGAGGAATACATGTACTGAATTTTCACTCAAAAGATTTAACTCTACTTTCTTTTACAACATGCTTCGTGGTTAATAGATTTTAACGTGAAATTGCATGGAAGATTGAGTTATCCATTAATAGTGGTGTAAACACAAAATAGCTATAACCGCAACAGAGAGCCGTAGGCCTAAAAAGTGTCGTGAGAATTGTGGTTGCACTCACAAAAATGGTAATTTTTTGATTGATTTACGTATAGTTTTATTTTATTCATCTTTGCATCTTGAATTGATTTGTGATAATATAAATAGATGTACATACCTTACGTCATCAATCTTTATTTAGTCTTTGGCGACTAGTTTTTAAACAACAGTTTCATTTTTAAGCCTCTTACTTCATAAAATCATTGGAAGACATTGTCGTCGTCAATAGACAAAAATATAACATGTTAGTGTGTGTTGAATGTTGTATTGACGACGACAATATGTTCCAATGATTTTATAAAGCAAGATGATTGAAAACGAAGCTGTTGTTTCGAAACTAGTCCCCCAGGACAAATTTGGATTTATGATGTAAGGTATGTAAACCTATTTATATTGTATAGTTGTTAGCCCACAGATGATAGATTTTAATTGCAGTTAAAGTTCCTTTTCTCAATTATATTCAAAACTAACAGTAAATCCCCTTTCCAGGGTGAATAAAATTATCATTAAGTGTGGTACACTGGTGGATGTGGTAGTGACGGAAAACTGGATTATCAAGGTGACTCCTTACAACATGTACTTTGCCCATCAGAGCAACACTACACTCTCACTGGACACAGCTGATACTCACGCACTAGCAGTGAACGGCTCAGGGTCTGCGCAGTTCCTTAACATCAAGGTATCCTTCACTCAGAGAGGTTCCCATCATTTCTACATCAGGTAATCTTAATATCACATTTGTTTATTGATTGAATTGGTTTTGAGTAGGCCTAGCTACTTAGATTTTTTGTAGTCTTAAATCACTAAATATGCAAATAGAAGGTTATTTTACCTTGAATTTGTCAAGTGCTTCATTCTTTGACCTCATCTAAGGGTGGGTGATAATGTCGCCTACTTCAGGTATGTACTGCAACAAAGGCCGCTACATGGATACTGCAGAGGAATACAAAATTAATGAGGACTCTAAGGAAAATCCTAGAGAAATTCTTAACAATTAAATGAGTTTTAAATTCAATGAATTAATTCAACTTAAACTACAACAGTGGTAATAAAAGTAAAAAGGTCATCGCCCTACCAACAAAACTGCAGTCTGCACATATCAACTGAGCCTAGTGTTTACTGTTGGCCTCAGCAGTTGTCAAATACCGTATTTAATTTTTATGTATGGTCTCTTGGCAAGAACCGTATCAAGGTAAAATAGTCACCATCCATCCTTAGAAGAGGGTAGGGAATCACTAGACAAATTAAAGGTTAGATAACCTCTTATTTACAAGATATTTAGGATTGTTTTCAGTGCCAAATTTAAGTTACTTGCGGCTCTAGGTTAAAATAACCCGAGCAGCTCCTGCCTCCCAGGTGAAATTGTGAACATCTCTTGTGATCTCGGGGACACCATTATCATCACCAGTGATCATGGCAAAGTTGTGAACATCTCCCACTATGTGATAGAGGCAATTAATTAATATTACACAATGAAAATTCAATTTTGTTTAATAAAAGTTGTTTTAGTACAAAACGATGCGGCCCCCTTTTGCTTGTGGCACTAATCTGCAACATAGTCGTCGATCACTCTAATGGCATAGCCAGAGCCATTTTACTCACTTATATTCCAGCTGTCGAGGGTAAGACGTACACTTTGGTCTTGTTATTATCAGTCACTCTTACTGTCTTAGTCACCATCCTGGTTTGAACTGTACAACATCGAGGTTATGCTGTATGTGTGTATTTATATTTCAAAAACTACAACTCAGAGATAGCAAAGCTAACCACATTTCTACTGCAGATTTTTCTAATATAAAAAAATTTTCCCCAAGTGGAATAGTATATTACATTACTAGGACCGAAAGTGGTATTTTCCGATGCTCTCAAGTTTCATGAACATGAGACAGGAAACCCAAATCTCATAGGCTATGCAAGGCAAAGCCGAGCAGGTGAGAGTCATTTTCATGTACGAGGCAAAGCCGAGGACGGGAATAATGGAGCAAGTGTCGGAAAATAGCTTTCGGTACGAGCTATGAACGATACTTTTTATCACGACGCAAAAATACACACATACTGAACAACATATCTTAGTAGTAGTTTTAGACCACTCTTTATCATGAAAATACACTTCACAACGTACATAAGTGTAGATTTTTTAGATAAATACAGAGTGGCTGAAAAGTAACTTACACCTCCCCCCTTCTTTACTTTTCAACCATTTGAGATATTTGAAATCTGTTTGTGGCAACATTCTTAGTTATGAGAGGCTACAATAATTATGGTCAATTTTGAAAATTTTGCCCTTAAGAGTAGCGGGCACCATTAATAACAAAATGGCGGGTCAAAATCACTTTTAATAACCATTGTCTTCATCATTTTTAGCTGCCATTTTGTTAAAAGGTCCGATTTATATTTTCTTTATGTTAATTATTATGTTTCATCAAGACCTGTAAAATGATACCAAACTCGACTATACTTGCTATTTGAAAATGTTTAGCTACCCGCTACCACTGCTACCCCTAAGGGCAAAATTTTCAAAACTTACCATAATTATTGTAGCCCTTCATATCCAAGCAGGTTGCCGCAAACCGATTTCAAATATCTTAAATAGTTAAAAAGTTAAAGGGGGTGCAAGTTAATTTTCAGCCACCCTCATGTTATTTGGATTTGAAATGTTTTAGGGCACCATTTTGTTATTAGTGGGCCGATTTTGGTTTCTTTTATGGCAACAGTTATGTTTTGTCGAGACCTGTAAAATGATACCAAACTCGACTATACTTGTCATTTGAAAATTTTGAGCTACCCCCTACCCCCGATACCCCTAAGGGCAAAATTTTCAAAATTGACCATAATTATTGTAGCCCCTCATAGCTAAGAAGATTGCCACAAACAGATTTCAAATATCTCAAATGGTTGAAAAGTTAAGGGGGGGTGTAAGTTACTTTTCATCCACTCTGTATATTAATAGATATTTTGTCACTTACCGTACTTTAATTGACTTCACATTTTGTAATTTGTACCAGTTTCTAAGCTTTCTGTATTCCCCTTTTTATTCCCGTGGTTTATCTGGTGGAAGGTGAGTTACCTCTGAAGCTATTTTCATCAAATCATCAGTAATGTTAGACATGCATTGAGCAATATCAAACACGCACTATGCTAAAAGCCAACAAAACAAACTAATGCCTGTTTCTGTATAGATTTAGATTGTGCAACAATAAAAACAGCTGATTTCAATCATTAAAACAAACCTAACAAAACACTAGCATATATAGTGGATAGATGGAGTACTAATCGAGAGCGAGGGAGAGTAAATTTAGAGCGAGGGAAAATCAGCTGATCGTTTTTCTCTAACTATAAATTAGAGCTTGGGAAACAACTAGCCTACTTTCTTTCATATCAGCTGTTATCGAAAATAGTTACTTTCAGTAAGGAGATATGAAAACATATTTAGGCTATATAAATATTTACATTAATATTGTCCAGTTTTCTCACAGTTCTATGCTGTCCGTGTTTCTCAGTTTTGATAGTGCTACAATTTTTGCAACTTTTTTACCCACAATTGTTTTATGTTCGCTTTGCACAGAATAAAAAACGCCCACAAAAAGCTGATCGCGTTGCAATCACTTACTTGTAGTTGTTTAGATACACTCACTCAGCATAAACTATATGTTCTCAATGTTGTCTATATGTTGAATGGTGAGAATGAACGGGTATATGTGGTGCATGAGATTTGGAACATTCGTTCACCTTGGATGACTCGCTTGAATCAAATCTTGACCGAACGACTTACCTCTACTGCAATTAACTTGAGGCTGCCTCTGGAAAACTATACCCCGGTCTCTCATGACGTAGAAACTGGTTTGGGAGGTAGTATTCCGGCAACCTGCCATGTTAGTGTACAAGTAATGATTATCCTTCTCTAAAAATGTATGTGTTCAATATTATTTTTTTCAGATTAAATGCTCTAGACTATAAAGATCTGAAAGACAAAGTTCTACGACCTATCCAAGTTGCCCAAGATATTGTATTCCACCAAACGAAAGCTGAGCAGTTTGTGGAAGTATTCAAAGAGCAAGTTTACCTAAACCCTCGACATCACCCTACTGAGGTAACATAAAAACTATGATAATAAACGCTCAATGCTCCTGTTTATTATGTTAAAATATAATAAATTTAATTAGTAAGCCATGCCATCCCTAAGTTTTTTATATTCAGTTTTAATTAGGAATACTCTTTTACACCGTTGTAAGCTACATGGGAAGCAACTTTAAAACTGTAAAAAATATTGGGGAGGGGCTCAGTTACATTGTTTGTATAGAGTAGGGTCACATGCTGAATACATTGCCTAGATTGATTTTTGAGGGGTAATGAAGCAAATAAAAAGATGCATTATAGGGTCAAGTTCTCTGTTTAGTGCTCCTATGCAAATAATATTAAGGTGAGTCGGTGGTTCAGTTAGTAGCGTCACGGACATCGGGCCAAAGGCAGTTTTCGGATCCTGGTCACTGCCACTACTTTTTATCAGTACAGTTCACCCTTGTATTGTATTGGCTCACCCCATGCTTTGTTAGATACATTCCACGCATACTAGCTTATGTGGACGGGAAAATGCAAAGTTAAAAGAGACCACCAACCTTATAAAAAAAAATTAAAAACAAGAAATACCAAAGTACACATTTTGACAACCGCGACACCTATTTTAAATGTAGGTTATGATCACTGTATCTAATGTATATAAACTTACAACACGTAAATAACAATAACGATAAAAGTTACCTAAATAATGAATGGTTCAATTTATATGTGGTTTCTTACTTTATTGTTTACAATATGAGCTCAGTAGAATTCCAACTATTCAAACTCCAACCCATCCAAATTGCCAATTATCTGAATTGCTTTCAGGAAGAGTTGAAACAAACCTTAAAAACCACAGTACAGTAATAAGAATCGTTAAAGACGTGATCGAGACTAAATCCAAAATTTCTCTTTGGTCGTGTGGACACCATCATTGTCACCAGTGGTCATGGAAACATTGTCATCCTCTCCTGTGGTCGTGTAGACATGATCTTTGTCTCCAGTGGTCCCGAAAACATCCCCATCGTCTTCTGTGATCACGGCAAAATGTTAAATATACCCCATGGTCGTGTTGACATCTTCGTCTCCCGTGGTCACGGAAAATCATAACCGTCCTCCGTAATCGTGGCGAAAGCGTGAATTTTGGGATTGCAAAATCGGTAGATGCGTTCTGCCATCACAATGGTTAAAGCTCGACTCTACTCGGCCTATTTTCTGTAAAATACCCCCAAATTCTGTAAAAATCCAATTTTCCAAATGTTTGACTATCCGAATGTGTTATGGTCACAATGATTCGGATTATTGGAGTTCTACTTTAGGTTACTTCAACAAAATCTTGTTTTTTACCTAGTCTTTCATCACGTGCCTGCCATTAGCAGATTTTAAACTAGGGCAGCTTGTTTTAACTTAATCAATTAAATTATCTTTGTTATTCTTTTCTGTAATATATTTAATTACACTGTAATATTATTATGCAGCAAAATGAGAAACCCTATTGCAATGTAAAATTCTTAAAGGGTAATCGAGATTCTTATTCTTCTTATAGAGGGGGAGGCTGAAGCCCCTTAGATATCATGCAGGCAACACCCTTGATATCTAATGGGCAAAGTGGTAACTGCATCAGAAATTGCCTCAACCTGTAAACCATTGTGTATTCGGAAAATAATTTCTCAATTGACTACTAGTTTTTGTCTTCATAAGTATAATGCATCATTCACTGGCTACTTTAAAGTTTTAAACTATATTAGTTCATCGATCCTTTAATTATTTATTTATAATAATTTTACACTGCATAATAACAATTTTTTAATAGTAACAATGATTGTATTGTTGAAATGGATGGAGTTACCATTTATCTTATTATCTGTAAATAAATTTGTTGGCTTTAAAATATTTTTCACATCTCTAAAATCGTTAAAACTCATTCCCTCAAAACTTTTATCGTTAAAAAATTAATATAATTAAATTTGTCTTCCCATTTTACTATACAATTTTACTTAATCTGTTCTGTTTTAGGAATTAGAAATGTGCATTGGATGTATGGTGAATTTATCCAACATCAAATTAGTGAAACACTGTATAGATGAAGGAGTTGACCCATGCGGTAACTGTTACTGCCGGCCCATGTGGTGCATTTCCTGCATGGGACGATGGTGAGTTTCTACATTCCTTGTTAGTAGAAGTTACTAATATTTAGCTCTGTTGACACTCTAGAGGGATATTCAATCATTGAATGTTAGCTAAACTATTGTTTTATGCCAGTTGGCCTATAGATACAAGCTAAATCACATGTGAAATTTATTTGTATGATCATGACATCTTATTGGGTAACCTTCATCCAATATTATTGGATGAAGGTTACCCACTCAATCATGAAAACCGTAAAATCGGTTTGAATTAAGTCAACTGGAAATAAACCAGGGTTGAGCCATGCAGTTAAAACTCAAAAATATGGGTGGGCCATTCTGATTCTTCAAAAAGGTTCCCAATACTTTATGACTTTAGATTCTAGAATCTCCCGTGATCGCAGCCAACTCATGATCTGCTGTATTTGTTGTATCATCATGTTGGTGGTGGCTTTTATGATTTTTGTTTGATCACGGTGTGAGGTACCAAATTTCAACAGGGGTTGCGTAAACAAACACTAGGACTTGCCAATTTACATCCACTACAGCCTACACTTAGGTCTATGTATTTGCCATCGTTTGGCTATGTGCAAGGTGACAAAGGCTAAGGCTTAGAAACCAAAACGTATAAACACACATTCACACTAATTATTTATTTGCAATCACATTCCAAACCAACCGTATTCCATTTTACTTTGATAAAGTATCAACATGATTAATGTTCTACACCACCATTGTATTAAATTTAATTCATACGTTCCAAATTTTAAGTGCATTTGGCTAGCAGTAACCATAGCAAAGACGTACGCCCGACCATTCACATTAACAGTAATGATTGTGTGCTATTGAACAACAACGACAAAAATTGTAGTTTACAGTGGCAAATTCTTGACTTCGCGGGAAAAAATGTTTATAAACTGCTGTTCGAATGGGGTGAAGTCAGATTAATAAGGGTTTGTTGTATCATGTTTCAGGTTCGCTTCTCGTCAGGATCAAGATCATCCTGAAGTATGGTTGTCCTCAAAGTGTACTTGTCCTATGTGCCGCAGTGTATTCTGCATCTTAGACGTCAGTTTGATACAAGAAACACAAGCGGATGAACTGAACTGAGTTAATAAACATGACAGTTACCAAGGAAAATGTATATTTTGGAAATAAGTGCTTAACTTTGTACCGCTCAGTTTCAGCTGTGATTTTATAAGATTTTATATTTAAAGAGAAGAAAAAAGTTTAAGTTTTTATAGGTTTTGAGAGAAAGAAGTTTTCATTTATTTTTGTTCTGAGAGAGCAGCAAGTCTCTGTTTTTTTCTACTCCGAGAGAAAGTGAAAGTTTTAGTTTTTTTAGAGAAGAAAGAAGTTTAATTTTGTTGCTCTTATAAATTAAGTACTGTTATAAAAGGGGTAGACCCTAATCCTCTTTTCCCTGAGGATCGTCCTTACTTATTTGTGGTTTTACGTGAAAGAAGAACTGCCCATCTGCCTTATCGACAGTTAAATATTTCGCAATAAATAGTTTAATTTGTATTTGTGTTTAAGTAAACCATTAGTAGTCCATAAATAAAAATGTTTCTCAGGTGGATCAGTAGGTAAGATGTGTTTTTGAATGAAACCTCATGATTAAAAAAATATTGTAACATGTTGACTTCTGGTTTACAAAGAAGTGGACAATAGTGTAATACCCAAACCCCAACTAAGAAAACAAAATGTAAATAAATTGTTGCTCAATGCATTATTTCCTAAATTTTTTCCAAACAGTTGTGTAATATTAATACTTTTGCATAATGATGATTTCCCTTAAGTTATCAAAATTTAATTTTTGTTATTTAAATGTGCATATTTTGTATGGAGTTCTATGCTTTCAATCATTTTTGTTATTTTAATGAATTGTAGAAATTGGGTTTATAATCCAAGTAATTTTTTAAAGATAAGTAATTGTTGTTTTGTTCCATAATCTTAGTTGTGTCTTAACATAATTGCTATTTTCACACATTACCAATCTTGCACAAGTCTGTATGTGTTTGTCCCACTGTATTATGTTAATGTCCTAATAATATTGAAAAGTTTGAAACAGGTAATAAGGAAGAGTATTTAGTACATATTTATAATCTTGCAAACTAAGTTATAGAAAATTTAACTTATAGCTTTTTTGTAAACTAAATACTTGAAATACTGTTTCAAGTGACGTTATTGTGATAAAACTAATAAATTATTTCTTAAAATTATGTGTGTTTTTATTAAATTTCCATTTTCCCAGTTATAAAATCAATGTAGCCTTCGCTACTGAAGATTAGATTTTTGCGGAAAGAAATTTATTAAATTAAATGCAAAAATACATAATTATGGTAAATAGAAGAAGTCTGCAATTATAAAATCATTGTTGGTTGAACTAAACCAACCCCTAACCTAAATTACCCCCGTAATTAAAATACCCAACCTAATTTTACCCCCGGAAATAATTGACCCCCAGAAATCTATCCCCATTGGTCATATCAGAAATGTACGACCCCGGAATTGTACACCCGGAAATCTACCCCCCCCCCCACGTGTCGGCCAGGATTCATTGTTTTAATTGATTTTATTCATTGGTTTATGTAAATCAACGGCTCTTCGATTATAATAATTACCTTCTAATATCCAGTATTAAGCATGTGATGTTTCGTTGTCTTGTTTAACATTATCTATTATCCTAATTGAACAAGTTGTAACAGTCCTTTTTCACCCGACCTACTTCGCCGATTTTTACGATTGAGTTGTCATTTTAAAGCTTAAGATCTAGCGCAACAAAATGGTAATTAAAAAGGATATTTCGATTAGGGCCTCAAAGGTTGGCCCCTAAGCCTTTGATTTATTCCTAGAAGGTGCTTTCAATGGTTGACCAACTTTCACACTATACATACGGTAACAGTTTTAAAGGTGAAATGTGAGCTGATTACCATCAGATGATTTTTGAAATGAGGTTGAAAACATAAATAGATCGTCTGCAACTGTAAACAAGAGATAAAAAAAGTTATTAATATAATAAAAACTGCACACCTTGCGCATGGTACCCCTGTAAGTGTTACACTGAACCATTGTTTTTACACATTCTCTAAGGGATAAAGATAATAAACTGTGGTGGACTTCCGATTTATTCAATATACAGATGATTAGTATTATAGTATACTAATATTATAAATGTGAAAGTATATGTGTTTGTTTGTTTGAAGTTACAATCACACAAAACTATTGGTAGGATTGGGCTGAAAATTGGTATGGTGATAGCTCACATTCACTAACATATATTCTTATCTCAAAAATCCTTTCAGGCTCCACCCCATTTGCTCTGGATTTTCCCATGTTAACCTTGTGAGTATTCGTATTCATATTTAAAAGGAATTAAAGAATTTTGTTAGCTTTTTCAACTACAGAAATTGAATCTATCATATTATATAAATAGCATTAAAAAGTTATAAGGTTTACCAACAGGGTGCAGCAATATTATTTATTTTTTTCATTTATGACAACAGCTAATTTGAACCAACCAAAGCAACAAAAAGCTGTGATCTAGGCTACAATGAGACATTTACTTTTTTTTATTGTTTACTTGCAGTGGTAGAACAAAATGCTTATGGTATATGTGCTATAATTATGGCATAGGTAGATTAAATTAAAAGAACCAAATTTGTGTCCTCTCCCATTGCAAACGCAAAGCCAAGTATAACTGCAATAAACATTTTATACTTATACGCCAACTCATCTGTACGAAGGACGGGTACTCTGACAGTATTTCATAAATGACGTATGTGGTAAACATTAATAGAAAACTTGAAATCGCACTAAATTGGGTTTTTGAACGTCCATTATTTTATTTCAAAAGTAAGTGAGGCCATATTTTAATGGCTAAATCCACTCTCGCCAATCCAGTGAGTACAAAAAGACTATTTGAATCCCGATCGATGCTTTTGTTTTTCAGAAGAAGGCCGCGTAAAATGCCTGCTGGGCCGTTACAGACAGACAGAAATTGAGATAAGACTTGTTTCGGCTTCTTTGATGTATAAAACGTAAAACTAACTATAAACTTATAAAACATAAACCAATTAATAAAATCAACTACTGTACAACAATGGATCTTGGCGATACGTAGCGTAGCCAATGAGGGGAGGGGGTAGATTCCCGGGGGTAGATTTACGGGGCTAGATTTCTGGGGGTAGATTTTCGGGGGTTAAATTCCGGTGTTAGGTTTATTGTTATTTTGATTAATTACAACTGTTAAGAAAACAGTGAAATGTGAGTTGATTGAAATAAATAATCATTTAATAAATTTATCCGTCCTAAAAGTTCGTGGCCGGAAATCTACCCCCAGACATGTGACGTCAAAATGAAGTAGGTGTTTTATCATGGGGGTAAATATCCGGGGTTAGAATTCCGGCGACCCCAATTAATAATTGATTTGATGAATTTAATGTGACAGCCTATTTTTCGGCTCCTTTGTCTATGCTAAATGGCCAAATAAATAATTGAATCAAATAGTGTCAAAAGAGTAAAGAAATGAGGTTTTTAGTGGTAGTTTACTGGTTTTAAGCCCTTACTACAATTAAGTAAACTTAATCAATGCTTAAACTGAACCCATCATACACTATACAAACTGTGTATGCTAACGCATTTTCCCGCCATTTTCTATAAAACAAAAACATTCATTTCTTGTAATAAAACTAAGAAGAGGTTAACTGTAAGAAAGGCTATGAGGTTTTCAGTTTTCCGTTATAAATAATAATTGTCATTTTAAGCTTGTGTATACTAAAGTTTTAGAGTTTGGAGTGGTTGATAGTAGACGTGTTGTATTAACTTTGATTTAATATCATAGTAATAATCTCTAACAGTAGCTCATGTGGTGGCTAACCTGCAATATCGAAGCCAAGACAAGGCAGAAAAAAATCCTCAACTCCCACCCCTACTCTCCTCAAAATTTCTAGCAGCATTTGGTTTGGCCTGTCTGATTGAATGTGAGATTTTAAATTGAGGATTAAAAGTGCAGTTAAATCGAATTAATAAACTTAGTTTTGTATTTGGTGTTGGTGTAACGAATCACGAACTGTCTCTGAACTCTAGTTCTAACCAAGACTTCATTACACCGAGTGTAAGTTTTACAAAACATATTCGTATATTACCCGCAATCAACCCCTATTGAAATATATATATGAGTTGCTGTAGTGTAGAATACAAGAGCAAACTCTCCTACAGTCGATTCAATTTTTTAATTTGTCTGTTCTGAAGCTATAATAATTCATTTTGAAGTTTAGTGCTCTAACTCCTTATATGCATAATACCAGTAGGATCAATACACTGCAGGTATCTGCTTGCACTTCAAAGGTTGGCTAGAGGAGTCAAACCTGTAGGTTAAAACTAAAACTACTGAGCTATAATCATTCGCATGCTAGTGCTTGCATTCATTCACTAATTAATTTGAAATTAACTTAAACCATCATTAAACTTTGTTGCCATAAAGCCAAGCAGCATCAAAGTGGCCTAGGCTTATGTTAGGCCTAATTTATTGTGATGTGAGCAGAGAAACCTATCATCAGTTAAACCTAATTGATCAGTAAAAGAGTTTCCATAGGACTAAGACAGGATTGAGAAAGGCAGAGGATAAGCGTCCGGTAACTGGACATGGATTAGGCGTCCGGCAGTTACTGTCATAAACTAACCTAACTAACCAAACTTGCTGATGATGAAAAAATCGAATGAAGGTTAAATTCTGTTCATAAAATAAAATTACAAATGCCTCAAATTCTAACAAAAGATGTAAGTTACAGTTACCGGTAAGAAGAAATGGCATTATAAGCAAAATCTTTGACAAAAAGTTAGTGTCACCGATGGGATTCGATCTAGATACCTCTTGTATATTAGCCGAGTACTCTATCCACTACAACTTGAACACCGATGGCTGTTCATCGTATCGTTGTGGTAATGGTGTTACGGGCCTCCACGACCTGGTGATGTCACCGCCGGTCGCCTAACCTGCGTTCGGTTACCAGACGCTTATCCTCTGCGACTGAGAAAACCCTGTTAGGCTAGGCCTAATTGATGTTTTTTAAAATGTAGGTTAGGCCTATGATTTTGTAAATAGAGCCCTTTAAACCAGGCTATAATGTTGTGCTAGAATAATTTAAATCCATTGGAACAGTTTTTATCTGGAAAGCAGTAACCTATTCAAAAGAAAATCAGGCGTCAAAGCTTAAATATCTGTTTTATCCTGTGTATTTGTTCAACCACCACACATGTTTTGAAAATCCCATTTTAGGGTTAAAATGTGGTGCATGGAACCATTGCTAACCAGCCTAGCAGCACTGCTGCTCTGTCAGTTCAGGCTGCAACATGTCCTGCCAAGAACTGTACAAAGTGCTCATAAGTTAGAGTACCAAAGTTATTGCCTATGATAATATAGCTTATATCTGGATTTTTTTGGGTGATCTAACCGTAACTTAAACTTAATAAGGTATTTTTAAAGTCTTTCATATGTTACCACCTAGGATAGGTAAACTTACAATCTATAACTAAGATAACGGTAGGCCTTGGAGGTTGGAGGGTGTACAATTCACAAGTTTTGTTAAGTTAGTTGTTCTTAATTCTTTTAACTTATAATTCAGATTTCACTATCATTCAGCCTCCTACGATTTGGATTTTGTAGGATATGCCCTACAAAATTTAATAATTAATAATCCTACCTACATAATGAATCAGGATCTTTTAAGCTACCCATTGTACCCACTGACTTATAGCCAGTGTTTCAACACGACCAGGCATGGGCGCCCACAAAAAATCAGAAATAAATTTAATACTTACCCAAAATGTTCTGTAATCACTTTTATTAATCAAAAGTGAATTATAGAAATTTATCAAAGTACTTTTCATAATGGTCATTTCTGAAAAAAATGTTTTAAATCAAATAAGTAGGCCTACTTGACTCATAGATGTACCATTCAAATACCGGTACTTAAAAAAAAAACACTATTCAGAAAACAAAACATTAACTTTCTTTGTTCTTAGGCTTAAGTCAACTGTAAATTTCTTTTTCTTTTTAATTGCTTGGCTTGTGAATTTTACCATATAAATTACACATAACAACTTAACTTCAAATAGCTTATTAATTTAAATGTTGGCATGAAGAACGATGACTTACCCTCCTTATGATGCACAATATACTTTTTTTTGTTGGTCGTTGGTTCTATGTTTTACCAAATAGCGTAAACATGTGTTTTAAAACACTATATTTTCAGAAATCTTCTCGGGGAAGGCCCCAGACCCCCCAGATGGTCGTTATATATATAAATAATTGAAAACATTATAAAAACATTAGTACCCTTTTACATTCATTTTTAATTAATAAGCGACATGTTTCGACACTTAGGTCATAGTCATGTTTACATTTACAAATACAATAACCTACAATAAATAAATATATAAACTTATTATATATATATATATATAAACTTATTATATATATATATAAACTTATTATATATATATATATATATAAACTTATTATATATATATAAACTTATTATATATATAAACTTATTATATATATATATATATATTGCACCAACCTGTTCCAAATCCACGCCCATGCGACCAGAACTTAAGTAAAATCTCGCTTACCGGGTCAAGCAAACCTGATTCATTACACCTTAACCCTAGGAGTGGCGAGACAAATTTTCAGTAGGCTTATATGCTTTTTGAAGTGGCACGCTTATTTTGGTGAATTTGTAAGGGGATTTTTCAAAAATCTGTATACAATTGGTAGGCCTAAGTAGAGATAAACTATTAAATCGTACGACACATTCATTTTGTTCGTAATAGTCAGTAGAATTCAAAAATGGCAATAAAAACCAATTTTAGGAAGGAGTTTTAGAAAAATGTAGGCTAAACAAACCACAAATATTTATATAGGCCTATTTTAAAATTTTATTTTAAAAGCAAAAACTTGTCACATGTAATATAAATTTATTGCATGTGTTTAATCCAAAAAAATGCAAATTGTACAGTTAATTCATTTCTCTACATAGATGTACACAAAAGAATTATTTTTTAAGATTTACTAGCAATAATACGTAATAATTGGAAAACGTCAATTTCTACAACTACACTTTGATAGATCCAAAAATGCCCTCTAATAATAAATCAATATCATAAATCCATAAATTTTTTGAAGCCAATAATATTATTTTAAATAAGAATATTTATCTAAATAAGATAAGTAATAGAATAGTTTGTTTTCACATGAGCAAAAATGTAAACAAAACATTTGATCAGCTGTCACACAAATTCACTGACTTTTTATCCTGTTTTGGATCACACATGTGTAAATAATATGTAATAATATGTATGTAATATGTATTTATGCAAAATAATGAATAAATATTACACCTAATGGGTCATTCCGTATGAAATCAACCAATAAAAAATTCTTTTCAACCTGACCATCTTGGATTTTGAGTCCTGAATCCAAATGTTTTTTTTTTAAATCTATGTTCATAGTTTTAAAGATATAAATATTTCAATATGGTAATATTTTTATGTTAAATTATTAGGCCTATGTATTAATTATTAATATTAATATTATTATTATTATTATTATTTTTATGTTTAAAATGTCAAAATGGAACAACATGCAGCACATAAGGAAACACTAAACTAAAACGCACATTACACCATAAAATTACGGATAAAACTCACACTTCAGGAAGTTATCAGGCAAAAATCACGACAACGCCGCCATTTTAGGTTAGACTTTTATTAGAATTTTACGTTAATTGACAAATTTTTTTGACTGCCACTTCAGCAACACAGTTTGTGATCGATATTTTTAGTCGATTCACCACTCATAAGGTTAATTCAATAAAAAATCCAGTTTTATCCCTTCATGAAATTTCCTGTTCTGTCTTGAGTAAACTTTATATTGTATAATGCTTAAATAGCTCTTTAAATTTAGCCTAGCTATGATACTTTCTAGAATAGTCTGACCAATTAGTGTTTAGTTTTTATCTGAACATTTGTATAACTACAAAAATAACTAAAAAAAGGATCAGAGCCGACAATCTCATTTCATCCCACATCCCGTTTTAAACCTGATAAAGGTCTGACGTAATTGAGTTGTGGGATAAAGATTCCACGTACCTACATGGAAACATTACTGACTGGGAAATTATTTATAACATGACTATGGGAACCCATAACGATTTTCACTACTGTTCAGAGAAAAAAGTTATCTGCTTACAAAAATTAAGTGAACTAGCCCAAGTTATGAATAAGTCTTTTTGTTAAAATTCTTGTCTGCTTGCTCCATTACCTTACATTAAACTTCTAAACCGTGAGTGAACATACAAAAACTAAGTTAAATAGTTATGATGTTCAACTCTTCAAAGAGATAAAGAAGAAACGTCAAATCGTTTATTTCAAGGCATTTGGAATTCAAAGATTACAGTACCAAACGTCAAAGATATGCAACTCTGTTTTTTTAGCTAAAAAAATTTAAAGCTAGTGAGTGAACCAAAGGTTCCTTTTCATTTCCCTACACTCTTGCGATATATTAGCACTTTTTAACAAATGGGCTACTGCTAAGGGTATTTATGTAGATATAAACTTTTAGAGGTGATAAATGCTTTACTTCTGGACTCTGAGGTTTTTTAACACTTATATGACTTCACCATAATTAACATGATTTGTTTGTTTTTCTAATAATCGATATTGCTTGTTATGTGCAGGATTGATTTCAAAGAAGATAGCCATGAGTAATCCAGTGAAGAAAGTTCCGATTCACCTACAGGTAAACCTTTTGCCCAGATTCTTGTAAAGGCTGTGACCATTTTAATATATTTTGATTTTAAAAATTAGAAATGTTGTATGCCTTACTTTTATTTTCAATAAACAATTTGTTTGGTAGATTGTTAACTGTCCTAAAAATTTTATTTTCCTGCAGTTACCTGACAAAGCGGGCTTCATAGCACCGATTTTAGCACGCAAAGTAGCTAATTGCTGCATTTCCTTTTTTGCCGCACTCCAGTATTCCAGCCAAACAACACTAAAGAATCTGCTTTTATTAGGAACGTAATATGTGTAAGCTTGAAAATAAGTTGGCAACACCTAAAGATACAACGACTACAATCAGCTAGTGCAGCGTTCCCAATTTCGTTCAGCGCTTGGATTTAACCTAACCTAAAAACGTGCTTTATAGTGTTTGAAAGACTGATTATTTGTATGCGTTATAGTAGGCCCCTAACTGTAGGAAAAGTATAATGTACAACGCGAGCACATTGATTACTAAGCTCTAGTTTTCCTATTGGATAGGCCTACCTTAATCTACAGGCCAACCTTGTAGTGAAATTGTAAAGCTTAGTTTACAGTTTTTTTAACGAAGAATATGATAGATTTTCTATTTTAAGGATGGTTTTCCCATTACACAGTGCTTATTTAAGTCATATTTTTCAGAGTGCTCAAAATAGGCTTCTTATCAAAAATGGAAAAATTGTGAATGCTGATGAAATAATCGATAACGATGTTTACATTGAAGATGGTGTCATCAAGTAAGTATGGCATGGATAATTAAATGTTTCTTCGTGGTGTTTATGTAAAAAAATATCTAGGAAATTTAATAATTGAATGGGAGTAAAGGGTCACTGATTTGTCTGGCGCAGACAGTTTGAAAATTAAATAACATAAGCTGTAGTTGACTTATGGTAGCCTATATTTATGTCTCAATATTATAAATTGAAACAAGAAATTATGTTTATTAAAAATAGGTATTTACCTTCGTCTACAGCTCAAACTGTTGTAACTTGAGGATTACGTTTATTAAATTATGTTTGTCAAATTACCCCTACGTGCAGCACTATACACATCAGTCCCCTTGATGACATTTTCTATAACCTTTATCTTGTGCAATTGTTATGGAATTGGATCTCATCGTTCAGTTCCAGTATTGGGGAATTTCAAGAGCACACTGAACATCTAACACTAAAGATGTTACATTAAAGTTATGAATAATTTGTTAATAAATTTCCCCCTAGTAGAAGCTATTATCGTAGATGGCAAGGTGACACCTAGACCTTTATCCTATTTACTTTTTTAATTTTTATGACCCCAAAGGAAGACAGGTTTGTATACTGTTAAGTATTTTATCCTCTGTTTAAAGATTTAGTTAGGTAGTAAAAATGTGAAACCTTTTCAGGCAAATTGGGCGCAACCTCATCATTCCTGGAGGTACCCGAACTATCGATGCCAGGGGAATGTTACTTCTACCTGGTAAGTTTTATAACTATAGTTTAAATATTGCTTTCACCACCGACCAATTTTCATCAATAAAACTCGTTTTGGAAATAGGCTACTGTACTCCAAATATGAAAGTTTTTCTGAGTTTAAAAATTAACTTTGTTTATAGCATTCATGCAGGGTCAGTTATGATTGTCGGATCTCTAGCAAATCCATCAATATTAAACTCATCTGCCTGTTATCATATGGTGATGAGTAGCGTTACAGTACACTTCACATTTGCTTACCATTTACCATTTGACATTTGGAGTCTTCATCGCAGTTCTTGAAAACCAGGGAATTGTCAATCTCCTCAATCATTCTTCCTACTTCTTGATTTGTGTGTGAACATTAATTTTATATTTATGAGGTATTGTTCGAGCTGTTTTTTTTTTTTTTTTTTTTTTTTTTTTTTTTTATATATATATATATATAGTGAGCGTATTTACATCTTTAAGTTTGTTAGGCAAGATGTTGTTAATTTGTATTCCCATATAATTAGGGGGTTTGCTGGTTTTTGTTAGTTTGTTGATTTGATTTAGATTAAAGTTTGATTTTACCCTGAGGTTGGTTGTGATCGTGACAGTTTATTCTAAGTTGAGGAGGCTTGATTTGAAAAAAAAAAAACAATGATTTCATAAAGATATAGAGATGTTAAGGTGAGGATCTGATTTTTGATGAAGAGAGGTTTACAATGTTCTTCTGGCTCAACTTGTTCCAGGATTCTTATCACTTTTTTCTGTAGAACTAGTATTTTGTTCAGATCGGTTTCATTGGCAGAGTCCCATGCAATTATGCCATATCTGATATGTGAGGAGAAGAGAGCATGGTACGCGGTTTTGCAGATCTCTTTGTTTGAGATTTTCCTGATTTTCCTCACGGCATATACAACTTGGGATAGTTTAGATTTTCTAGATGGTTGTGCCATGTCAGTCAGTTGTCCAACGTGATTCCCATAAATTTAGCGTTTTGTTTATTATTTTCTTCTACCAGTGATGAGTGGCGAGTCAGTGATAAGACAATGCAGGAACTGGTTTCGGCCCAGTTGACCTACCGTCTCTGGTGCTTGTTTTATCAATGTTTTATCTATTTTACGTAACACTTCAAATGTGATTGGATATCCCTATGGCTTGCCCAAGTATTAATAGTAGTTTATTTAAACAAATGCGTAAATATAGCCTTTACGACACTGGGAGAAAAAACTTCTACGAAAGTCGTAAAGTCTAATTACGCGAGTTGCTTACGCTACTTTGTCTACGACCGTTTTTTCATTACGCTTGTAAAACTTCATTACCTATACAATTGCTGTTACTTTTTTGGCAATAGGTATTGCTAGCAGCATTCTTACCATAAGTACTTTCAGATACAAGCAGACACATATAACATATTGATACTTTTTACAACACTGAATTTCTTGAAACACTTCATCTTGTGTATTGCCTTCCGGATTACTTCATGAATTCGAATTGTATACAAGAGGTTAAGTTACCTTGATTCTGTCCAAGTAATCCTTAAGTTAAGGAATACTTGGACAGAATCAAGGTAACTTAACCTCTTGTATACAAGTCTTGAAACACTTAATTTACGAAGTACGTTAATCCCATACATTATTGTTACTATCAGTGAAGGATAATCAATAAAAAAATTGCAAACCGTTTAATTTAAACCTTTACTTCTATGTCGTCTATTTCACTTTAACTATATTAATTATATTTTCAAAATTCTTCAATAAACCTTCCTGCAAACTTTTGGGTTAGCGAATAATTTATTTTTAGGTTAAAGAAAGAACTTGTGGTTTGGAAGTCAAGAGATCAACAACAAAAATTGCTTGTTACCAGCTGATAAACTGGTAATTGAAGCGTTAAAATTTTACATCTGTTCTCTCAATCCTTGAATCCCATTTATCCGTTACTTAACATACTAGTGCCGTAAAGTAAGTAAACAATGCAGTGAAGTGAACCTTTTCAAAAAAAAAAAATTGAATTTAAAAGGCTGGCTTTTTAGATTGTTACATAACTGTTTTGTCATCAGGTGGTATTGATCCCCACACACATCTTGAGTTAGAACTAATGGGGGCGACGTCTGTCGATGACTTCTACCAAGGCACCAAAGCTGCAATTGCTGGAGGAACCACGATGATAAGTAAGTGGCCAAACAATTACCAACTATAGGCCTAAGGCTATACATTTTCCATTCTAAGAATATTAGGGTAATAATCGTTTAACAAAATCCACAAATATTTTTAACTTTGTCTTGTTGTGTCAGTTATGACATTTATTTTGATGCTCTGTAACAAAGATTGCTATAAGGGAGATAAGTTGGAATGCTAAGTTTTTATGACATTCATTGCAGCATAAAATGAAATGTAGTATTTTAGTTGTCCATGGAATCAGAGGTGTACCACTAATGAGCATTAAACAAAATTATAACCCTTAAAACCCTTAAATTGATAAAACCCCTATTTTAATGTTTGTTTCCTTATGCCCCTCACAGAACTATCAATATACTTAGGCCTACAAGAAGGGTTTTTCTCTGTAAACCCCTTTTCCAGCCGTCCTACTTAACCAATTTTTACGATTGAGGTGTGATTTTAAAGCTTATGATTTAGCTGAGTGACAAATGGTAACTAAAATGGCAATTTCCTTTAGGCTTTGCCTCCCTATTGTTCACTTTCAAAGATTTAATGGTGCTGACCAACTTTCAATGTGGCACCTCATTAATCCATTGCAATGGAAATTCATGACTCACTATTATAACAACGTAAATAATTTTCTTACTACAAATATTTTTACTCAGAGGTGAATTCGCCTGAACAACAAACCATATGACACAATCAGAAAGGAATATGGTATTCCAATATCACTCTTTTGTCATTCATTGTAAATATATGTTCAATCTATGTTTAATTTATGTTCAATATTGTAGCTATGTTCAATTTTCGTAGTTGACTTTGCACTTCCACAAAGAGGGGAGTCTCTTGTTGAAACATACAACAACTATAGACAAAAAGCCGATGAAAAGGTTTGCTGCGACTACGCTCTACATGTTGGGGTCACATGGTGGTCTGAGCAGGTTAGTAATAAAACAACAAACAATCTTAAAAACCCTCAGAATACCCATCAAGATGATGTTGAGTTCAGTTTAAATCTGGTCAGCTGATCTCAATTTGCTTTTTCTGACTTAGTCCTAAAATGTGTTTTAGCACATACTTTTTCTTCGGTGAACACAAGAAAACTTTAGTTTGTCGAGCTTGAAATTGTCTGAATATTCCCTATATGGGAAATTTGATTATTTTTGCATAAGAACTAACTTAAAACTATTTAACATATAAAATTTTTAATCAAAACATACAACAAATTGAACTATTAGCATAGAATAGCCATTACTTTTACAATGAATAAAAGTCTGTTATTCTGACAGAAACATGCCATTATTTACATAGCAATACTAGAGGATATTTCTAGAATTGAATGAAATAACATATTTTTTTTTTTTACATGCTGTATTGTTTACAATTATTGCTCAATAAAATCCAGAATAATTTGAAAAAAATCTGATTGGGTTGAAAATAAGTTGAAATTAAATTAGCACAGTGTGTTAGTTCTCATGATTCTAAGAAGTAGCAAATTAGCTTATGATCAAATATCAATAACTAAAAAAAAAAACATGGCTTATAAAGTGATGTACTCATTTTAAAGTTACTTTAATTAAGGCCTATTTAGGCAAAACCTATAGTTTTTTTTTATTTAAAATATACATATTCATGTTAAGAGAAAAAAAACAATGGTTTTATTATCATACATAATTTAAAAAATAAAATGGCTCAGTTCAAAATTTAAATAGTCTTTCCGATAATTGTTTTATAATATGTGTGCACTTAGGAGGGAGGGACGGAAGGAAGTGAACTAAGGTCAAAGACATTGTGTGTCGTCACACCTCGTTGGTATTCATACCTGTCGCCTTTGAATGGTTGTGTACTCATGACCTTCACAATGGTTGGATTGATCGTTGTGTTTCATTCATTATTCTTTTCTTACAAGACCCTATTTTTTTCTAAAGATCCCATTTATTATTTTTATATAAGAGAATTCTTAATAAATATTTGGTATTTTTTTATTATTTGAGTTTTAGATTCTTGTGTTTTTAATATTAGTTTATATTCAGTAGTGGTGACTCAATCAAATTAAAAACTGAAATGAAATGTGTTAGTTGTCTTTTGCATTTTTACAAATTATTGACAATGTCATAAAACAGCTAAAGTTATACCATAGTCACTTAATGAACACAATATAGCTAACGACACACAAAGAGACATGTTACAATACATATTTTAAATATTACAACCAAATAATCTTGTTGTTAAGAAAAATTCAACGCATTTGGAATAATGGAAGTGATTAAACCCCATAACCAACTAAATCTAACAGTAATTTGGCCAATTTGCTAACTGACACAATTAGCCTATTACAAAAAAAAAAAAAAAAACACAGGTTGTTTATAAAATGATGGTGCAGAAAAAAAAGTTTAATTTTCTGGTTACTGTACCTTGATTAAAAAAGCTAATAATGCAAACAATTGGAAGAGCAGGTTTACAAGTTTAGTAAACCTCCCTAACCAACACATCATTCACAGGACAATCTTTTCTTCTGGCTATTATTTATTTGTAAAAAAATGTCGGCGGCCTCTTTTAACTTTGAATTTGCCTGTCCACTTGAGCCTGGGCATAAAATTTAAAAAGCAAAGCAAGGGGTGAACCAGTAGGCTATAGTAAAAACAATGCTGATAAACATTAGTGGTTGTAGCGGGACTCAAACCCACGACATCACTGCCATGGTATTTGTACCGACTGACCCACCGATTCACCAAATCGATGTAAATCTATTAACCTACGACTATTTTTTAAATTAGCCTTTTAAATTCAATTTTTAGTATCTAACTAATTCACTTTACCACATTGTTTTCTTTACTGCACTAGTGTAGGCCTAGTAAAGTAACGGACCAATGAGGTTTAAGGATTGAAAGAAAAGAATTTAAAAAATGGTAATGCTTCGAAAGCAACTTATCAGCTGGTAACCACCAATTCAGTTGTTGATCTGTCGACTTCTGCCGGAAACCCACACATTCTTTCCTCACACAAGGAAAATTAATCTAAAACATAATATGTGTGCAAAAATTTTTATTGACTATCCTTCCAAATAAAAAAAGATTGTAGCCTACGTAAAGTAGTATAAGCATCTCACATAATTATCCTTTTCAACACTCGTGGAAGTTTGTAAGGCACTATAAAGCTCACGCCTTAAATTTCTACGTAAAGAACACTATATTTACGCAATAATTTGCTTAAACTACTATTACATTTGAGTCTCAAATTCTATGTTTGAGTATTAATCTTTGTGAATCCTATAGTTATCCAATTTATACTTTTGGATATGTCATTTTAAATCTCGTGTGATTCAATTTTAGTATTTGTGTAAGATTTTCTCTATCATGTTGATTACTTATAGGTGAGCAAGGAAATGGAGGAGATAGTGAAGAACGGAGTGAACTCATTCAAGGTGTTCATGGCATATAAGGACATCTACATGCTGAAGGACTCAGAGCTGTACGAGGTGTTTGCCCGGGTGAAAGAGCTGGGCGGAGTAGCGATGGTACATGCTGAGAACGGTGATATTGTCGCTCAGGTGAGAATCATAGACTTATAAACTTACGAGAACAGATTTACCCTAACCAAGAGCCAGCTGCTTGTATCAGGCGGGTACAGTAAAAATAAACCTTTTTGTTTGTCTTTCTTTAGGGATTGCAAACATTAAGGATACTTCTGTAGGCCAGTTGACCTCTGATTATAAAGAACAGACGGTGCCTTTTTGATCCAAACAATTTAATTTCTACTGGCTCTATATAATTTAAGGAAAGCAAGCAGCGAAAGTCACAAAATCCACTCATACTCTTTGATTAGCAGAAGTTATTATTAAGGACCTCAGAATGCAACAAGTCAAGCTTTCAAATAGCGTCCAATTGGTTAAAACCACTTGGATCATCAAAAAATTACTGTTTTCTATTTTGGTATTATTTTTAAAAGAACAATTGACTACCCAATTGCTAAATAAGGAAACTTGTTTGTAGAGGTAATCAGATAATTAAAAACACAGCATTATCCTCGTTCACAGCCAATGTAAGCCACGAACTTGAATAACTTGAAAACTTGAACTGAAATTGATAAATCCTCAAATATATTTCAGAACACCAAGAGGTTGTTAGAGAAAGGCGTAACTGGACCTGAGGGTCATGAACTTTCCCGTCCTGAAGACGTAGAAGCTGAAGCCACCAACCGCGCTGCGATGATTGCTAATCAGGTATGAACAATCACGAGAAGATTAATTAGTAGCATTTAGGACTATTAGTGTCATTGACGAATAACATTTTGTTTTTGACTGTGTTATCTCAAAATTCAGTTAAGGTATCATGTTCTATGGTTAGACATTAGACGGTTTATAAAGCCTTTATATCCTTCAAAAATGTATAAATTAAAAATAAATTAGGAAAAAGTACCTAACTTTTTTTAGCATTTAATCCTCTGCAATGCAGATAGGCCTAATTGAATTTGGAATATACTTAAAGAATTCTCAGACCTGAAGATACAGCTGTACACGAGAGTTAATAAGCTAAATCAACCTATTTTTGATTTGAACATTAATAGTCGAGGAGTACATAAGGCCTTATAAGTTAAGCAAATTATCTGAGGTTTTTGGTAATCCAAAAATCTTCTGATCCCATAAGTCAGCTTATAAAGTTTTACTGTATCTAAATCTTGTCACCAGGCTGAAATATATAGTTCACCTTAAGGTCTTAAAGTGGAATAAAATAAATATGAGCTTGTATCGAAAAGCGTAAGTTTTGTCTTACCAAAGTTACATTTTATTCACTATTGTTTTATCCTCATGTAAATATAGATGAGATGGTTTTTTGCAGGTGGGATGTCCGTTGTATGTCGTGCATGTGATGAGTGAGTCTGCTGCGTCCACTGTTGCGAAGCTGCGAGAAGGCAGGGAAACACTGCTGTTTGGAGAGACGCTGGCTGCTGCGCTGGGAACTACTCAGCCAGAGCCGGGATGTTGCTGGGAACATGCAGCAGCTCATGTGCTCAGTCCTCCTCTGCGACCCAAGAAGTCTACCCCTGAGACTCTTATGAAGTTTTTGGCTGAGTAAGTTGGTCCCGCAAGTAGGAGAAATTAAGTCAAACAGCTACTGTAACACTGTAAAAATACACTGATATGATTATCCCCTCAATAATTTAACCCCCCCCCCCCCAATGGGAGTAATCTACGTTAATTTGCCAAAGTCACGCAGCAGAAATATAGCAAGTTTTTTTAAAGAGGTTGGTGGCCTCTTTTAACCTTGCATTTGCCCGTCCACATATGCTATGGGTCTGTGTGTGGAACGTATCCAGCAAAGCAAGGGGTGAGCCGGTACAGTAAAAGGATGAACTGTACTGATACAAAGTAGTGGCAGTTACCAGGATTCGAACCCATGACATCACTGGCTTGGGCCTGAAGTCCGTCTATTTGGTGAGTCGGTGGTTCAGTCGGTAGCACTGAGCCACCGAGACTCAACGAATAGAGTCCCTTAAGTAAATAAGTCATCCACAATTCACTACCCAAACCCACCTTTTCTCCTTGTGATTCCCCCTCCCCCCACCCATTATGAACAACAGATCCTTGCTCTTATAATTATTTATATTATGACCTTTAATGCAAATTTTTATAAAACATGGAAATGAAAATCAAGTAATTTTCTTATAATAATCTTTATTCAGCTCAAATTCCAAACATACCGCCCTAGCATAATGTTCTGCTTAGAACAATTGTATGATCCTCGAACAAAAAAAATGAGAACAAGAAACATTCTTACAGTTTCAAATGCAGGAATGCTCCTTAAAACAAATTATGATCTTTCTCATTTTGCATAATAATTTTAACCTGTACTCAAAGTGCATATCTGATATAGCTCAAGTTTTCATTGTTCATTTGTCCATTTCTTACATTTGAAGGTAAATTCCAGAAAAATTTAATGTGTAATCTGTGGGCAAAATATCTCTGCTGCATTTTGCACACTGGTTACAAAAATAACGATTGTTTTATTTTCAGCGATGGTTTACAACTGACTGGTAGTGACAACTGCACTTTTTCAACAGAGCAGAAGAAACTTGGTCTTGGGGACTTCTCAAAGATCCCCAACGGTGTTAATGGGGTTGAGGACCGCATGTCTGTGGTATGTGAAGGATTGTGTTAACAAACATAAACATTTCTGTTGAGCTCTGCAGAACATTTGATTTATTCAAGAGTGTTTATACACACAACAGTTTATTCAAAATTAAGCAGATTTAGTCCAAACAAAGAGTTACTTAAGAGTAATGAAATAAAAATGAAAAAAGAGTAGGCCTACTGTACATACCAGATTTTTGGGTCGCCGGAATTCTACCCCCATGAAAAAACGCCTACGTCATTTTGACGTCACAGGTCTGGGGGTAGATTTCTGGCCGCAAACTTTTAGGACGGATAAATTATTATTATTTTCAATCAACTCACATTTCATGGTTTTTTTACAGTTGTAATTAATGAAAATACCAATAAAACTGACACCGGAAATCTACCCCCAGTGATCAAATCAGGAACGTCCGACCCCGGAAATCTACCCCGGTGGTCGGCTACGTTACGTACTGGCCAAGATTCATTGTTGTTGATTTTATTTATTGGTAACCTAACCTAACCCAAACTAATACTGGATATAAGGTAATGATTAACCGAAGAGCCGTTCATTTACGTAAACCAATTTAATCAACTACAACAATGCCCTTTGTAATGGATGAGCCAGGTTTTTTCTGTCAAGCTATAATCATATCCATCAGGGTTTGAAAAATATCTATCTCTAGATATTGTCAAACGATTAACAAACAAGGATCACAAAACACAATATGAAAACACATTACACGACAACAAAAACTAGGACTAGATTTAGTTCTGCAAATTGGTCAATGGGAAGAATCCGTGAAATTCGGTAACAGTGAATTCATGCTGACATATAAAGCCTTAACCTATCATTGGAAGAATATTTTTAGGAAAAAAAGTATAGTCTACAAACAGTTTTAGAGTGGGTTGTTGTTGTCAAAAGCCCATAAATTATTGTACAGGGTGACTAAGTCAGGACGACTTTATAACTTTAAAACAAAAAGATATATCTCAACCAAATTTGGCATAACATTACTGGTAGTAGTAAGCTACTTTTTTGTGTAGAATGGTGATGGGATGTCACCTATGGGGGAGATGGCCCATAGGGAATAAGTTGACAATCTTAAAGGTAAGCATAGGTTGATATGTACATAAAATTAAAGGTCCTGTTAAACTAAAAACAATGCTGCAAACAGGACCTCAAATGAACAATCGAGCCAAAAATGACAGCAGCTGTCCAAAGATTCATTGAATTTACAATGGTATTATAAGCTACCTCCTCAGGGGAACGCCCAGGAGCTCACCAGGAGACGGAAGAAAATCATAAACGTAAGCTTAGGTCGATATGCATATCAAATTGAAGGCCTTTTTTGTAGAATACAATGCCACAAATTTAAGCTTAAAAAAAAAAACTGAGTAAAAAAATGGCAGCCACTTAAAAATTCAAAATCTCAGATTCAACAGGGTTGCCACCAGCCATGAAAACCTTGAAAAGCGTGAATTATGCGTGAATTTAGGTGACCATGAAAAAGTGCGTGAATTATGCGTGAATTTCGTCATTGGACCATGAATTCTCAAAATCATTATTAACAATTCAGCCAAAACCCCTAAATGTGCTGAATCAAATACTCCGTATTAAAAATTAAAACCATTCTCGAAATGAACACCGAGATAAAACGTCAAAGTGGGAGTGTCGAGATAAAAAGTTTTGTTGCCATGCCACGAACAGAAACGATTGCGTAGTTTATTCAAGGTCAAATCCGATCGTAACCGACGTCTGCCGAGTAGTCTAGAGATGGGAATTATCGTTGTTTTCCGGCAACGGTTATAACGATAACGCACTGCCCAATAACGTGTTGCGGCAACCTGTTATTTCAATAACGATTGCCAACTCGTTAACTCGTTGCCGCTATAAACCGTATCAGATGTTTCAATTTTTTAAATAATTACATCGTATTATCACACACAAGATTTTTATTAATATCCTTTTTCATCTGTGATTTTACTTTTTTTAGACTGGATAAATTATATTAACCCATTCACTTATGATTTTTTTTTTACCCGCCTAGGCCAAAACAAACGAATTTGTTGTGGCTAGTTTCATTCATTTCTGATTTAATTTTTTTTCAGGCAACATTTACTATTTATATGCAAGATATTATTATTTTCTTATTCAAAATTAAATGTAGATTCAAAATATATAAATATTTCCCAAAAAAATATAACTATAATTTTTTATTATACCATATAAAAATAAAATAAAAAAATAAAAAAATTAAAAAAAACTTTTTTATTGGTAATTTTTAGCTACATAGGGCTCATATATGTTTTGGAACTAGTCTATAATACTGTATGACACTTATAAAAACTCACCAAATGTCAAGCAAAGTTCATTTTGGTGTGGTATGCCTTGAAACACTCTGGCATGTGAAGTGCGACAAGGCAGAGCTCACACTCCCATCGGCTGTCACTGCGCTTTCCCTGGGCACTACACACCTTACATCTTCTTGAAGGTGTTTGTTTGACTTCATTTGGAGGAATAGGCCTAGGAAAATGTCCCCAAGTTGCTGCCTGGAGCCTCAGAGGTGTTTCTGAGTTGGATGATCGTCCTCTTCGATTGTACGGTGGCAGTTGTCGCGACTCAAACATTTGCTTGACAAACCTCTCCTTGAACTCACTGAACCCCAATTTTTTTCTGGTTAATTTTTTGAACACTACATAAGAGTTAAAAAGGCCAATGTCCATTATGTAAAAGAAGATCTTCTTGTATCCCTTAGCATACCTCCTCATACTAGGAAACGACGCTAATTGCTGATCCTCGCGGTCAATTCCACCCATTGAACGATTATAGTAGATCACTGGTTCTGGCTTTGTTATAATTTCTTGGGTAACTCTGTCTTTCTTGCCAGTTGATCTTTTGTCAGCTTTTTGATGAAAGGTAGACAAAATGCAAACTTGCTTCTTGTCCTGCCACCTTACTGCTAACATATCGTGGCTATAGGCTGTCTCGTAGTCGCCCAACTTAAGTTTACCCTCTTTGAAGCTCTCTGGCATGTTTGATCTCCACCAGTTAGCTGTTCCAATTACATTGAAACCTATTTGCTTAAGTCTATAGAAGAGAAGAGGTGAGGAGTACCAATTATCAATTGTCAGAGTATGTCCTTTTCCTGCCAAATCTTTTGTCATTTCAACGACTATCGCCTCACTCGTTAACAGCTTTTCCTCCTGTGTAGAATCCCCACTTCCTTCTTCAACCGGTACATTTTCTTTGACTTCAGCTCCAGTATAGATCTTAAATTTAGAACAATAACCACTTCCAGATTCACAACACTTGTAAAACTTTATGCCAAATCTGGCTCTCTTCTTGGGATTAAATTGGACATAGCCCAACCTCCCTCGGAACTTCATAAGACTCTCATCGACAGCTATGTTTTCATCAGGTATGTACAGATGGGAAAACTTCCTGTTCATGTACTCAATAACGTACCTTAACTTCCACAGTTTATCATTCACAGGTTTCCTATTATTGTCTGTAAGGTGGAAAAATGTGGACAGTAGCAAAAAACGGCGGAATGGCATCACTTTACGAAAAAAAGGGGTCTCAGTTACAGCATTAGGCGACCAGTATGATTGTATGGTTCTTTTTTTTACAAGCGACATAAGGACACACAGTGTATAAAAACAAGCCATCTCATCTGCAGTTGTGTCAAACCATTCTGAGTATATAGTTTTTCCTACCCCGCCTGCTTCGTTCTTTTTCTTAATTGTTTCTTTGGCATAATTATTAGTCTCTGTTGCAACATGTTGCCAAAAGTCATTATCAAGAAACGCATTGAAAACATCTAATTCAGAGGGAGCTGAGCCTAAACTTCTAGCCAAACTTGCTCTAACACCAGGACAACCAGTAAAAGGGATTTTATTTATTATATTACTTTCTATGGTACTGGTCCACTGCCAACCCTCCTTTTTCTTCTTTTTTGGTGGAGCTGTATCGTTACTAGTTTGAGTTTTGGACCTTTTAGTAGGCTTAGATGGTTGTGAAATAGCTTTTTTTCCTATAGGCCTACCTCTTCCTCTAGACCTGCCCCTAACAGGTTTACTTTTAGGCCTAGGGTCAGGAAAGCTAGGGTCGTCAGCTTCCTCACTCGGTGTAGGTGAGAGGGCAGGCACGATTGAAGATGCAAGCTGGTCAAATAATTCAGGCCTAATAGGCAAATCTAAATCAGATTGGACATTTGGAGGGGTCATAGGCCTATGCCTGCCACTATCTATATCATTTATAGGCCTAGAGTCAGGGAAACCAGGGTCGTCAGCTTCCTCACTCGGTGTAGGCGAGAGAGAAGGCGCGCTCATACTACCGCGGTATAACCGATCAAGAAACTGGACTGATTTAGGCAATTCTTCATCACTTGATGGAGAAGATACATGCTGATCAAATATTTCAGGCCTACTAGACAAATCTGAATTATATTGGACAGTAAGGGCATCTGGAGGGGTCATAGGCCTAGCATAGCTGCAAGAAGGCTGTTCAAGCAACAACTGGTCACTTTCTAATGGCCTAGGCCTAACACAATTAGTATTATGTTCTGGGGAAACTGTGGTCTCATAATCAATAGGCGTATTAGACTTATTACTCACTTGAATTCTGCTCCCTTCCAAATCATCATCATCACTCCAACCACTCTCCTCAAACAAGTCACAATCACTGTCACTGTCACAATCCCCTATAAGTTTTATGATGTCACTTTCATCTAACTCTTTTCCACATTCATCCACGAATACCAAGTTATTTTGAAGACTCATCGTATTATACAAAAGCTTTTCAATTGAATAATATAGTAAAACAAGATACTGTAGCTCAATCTTTATCACGACGAAGTGAAACACGACATGATAGGCCTAATAACTCAGTCATTATAACGACAAAAAAGTAAAATACTGATAAAAACTTACACTAAGTAAATTCTATAACTTATTTTATAAGATAACTACACTTTTCAATAAAATAATAAAGTAAAACAAGGCTCTAACACAATGTTTACATCGTCGAAGTAAACACAACAACGTATCAGCTGTGAAACCAGAGTAGACGTCGTCAGCTGCTAAGTTGCACCATTTCAACTTTAGTTTTTTTGCCGATTGGACTGGACTGAGATGACGAAAATATAACCAAAAGAAAGCCTGGAAATCATAGAACAAGAAGCATATGCGATCTATTGGATTTCTGGGGAACTAACTCGGCACAAACAGGTTTTAATAGCGGACGGCGATTCGCCGTCGCTTCACACAATGGCTAACGGGAGCGCGACGGCGGATCGCCGTCGTTGTAAGCAAAGGGGTTAAATTCTTATTTTTAACTCTAAAATAAACGCATGAAATGTGTTTTATTTGATAGTAGCACACAAAACTATATATTGTCGATAAATTAATGTACAATTCTGAACTAGGCAACACTCTTTTATGGTGAAATTGTGCGTGCATATACCCCATGAATTTTTCAAAACTACCAATGAAAACCTTGAATTATGCATGAATTTTTTTATCTCACTTTGGTGGCAACCCTGTTCAAGAAATCTTTGAATGGCTGCCATTGTTGACTCGGTTGTCTATTTGAGGTCTGGTTTGCAGCAATGTTTTTAGTTCAACAAGACCTTTAAATTTATGCACATATCAGCATATATGCTTACCTATAAGATTTTCAACTTACTCCCTGTGGGCCGTCCCCTATACGTGACATCTGATAACCATGTACACAGAAAAGTAGCTTACTATTACCAGTAATGACATGCCAAATTTGGTTGTGATATCTCTTTTTGTTTTAAAGTTATAAAGTCGTCCTAAGACTTAATTGTCAACATGTATATTTCCCCTACAATTAATTGTGTTATTTTTGCCCCATTTCACTGTAAATATGTTTGTGTATAGTTTCAATAAACAACTTTTCACTATATTTTTTAATTTGTCACTCACTGTCTTGAGTACTTCACACAATATCTGATTACAGGTGTGGGAAAAAGGAGTCGAGACAGGAATTATTGATCCTTGTCGCTTTGTAGCAATCACTAGCACCAACGCTGCCAAGATTTTTAACATTTATCCGAGAAAGGTTTGTATAGTTGTAATTTATATTTTATTTCGTTTATCCTCAGACCTAATCATCAGTTTAAATATAAGATCTTTAAGCTTTGTTTTAACTACAAAACTATATGATTGCAAGTGGCGCTAGGTGACCAACAGCATAAGCCAACTAAAGGTACAGTGTGTATTTGTCCCTGAACTTTTAAGTTTTTAAGGTAAGCAAGCAGAATCTTTTCCACAAAACCCTTTAAAGTTATAATTAAATTAAACGTCCAACATAACCTATAACTCATATAAACCTATTTCACAAAAAGACTTCTGTTAATGAAACATATATAACTAACACATTTTTGCACTCAATATGTAGTGATTATTCTGTAAATAATATATAACTCCCAATCAGTTATTAAATTCAAATTACCCTTTTACAACCTCCTCAAAAGACTTTTTTGCTTATTACTATTCTTTGCCATGTAATTCATTTATACAATGCAAAGCCAATAAAGAGTGTATAACTGTACCACAGGAATATAAATATACACCATCATATTATAAACCAAACAACCTTTTTTCAGGGTTGCATAGCTGTTGGATCTGATGCCGACATTGTTGTATGGAACCGCCACAAAACAAGGGTGATTTCTGCCAAAACTCACCATCAAGCATTGGACACTAATATTTTTGAGGTATGATACATCCTAGGTTACAAATCACTACTGATGTGTCGGTACCAAATTTCAAAGTCTTTGCCGGGAGAACCACCATGGATCTTGAGCTGAACAACCAAGTTGCAGTTTTACAGCCTAAGTGTATACCTTGGCAACTGTTCGCAAAGTTGCGTGTTTATACAAAAGAAATATATGATGGCACACAAGGCAGATTAGTGAGACTTCAGTCTACTTACATCTAAGCTCACACCGGACTAATCAGCTGAAGGGAGAGGGTTTTTTACACCAGTAGAGTGACAGCGGCTCTTGTTAATGAGAGATTGTAGACCAACACTAACTCATGATATTTTTCTGTATCCACAGGGCATGGAGGTCCATGGAGTGCCTGAATATGTGATTGTCAATGGTCGAGTGTGTGTGGACGAGGGAGATCTTAAAGCAGTCCAAGGTTATGGCCGTTTTGTCCCGACAAATGTTTTTCCTCCCATGATCTATGTTGAAGAAGCTGCTGCCGCTGCGGCCGCCGCTGTTAAGGTTAGTTTTTATTGCTATTTTGACGTTTCATTACTACAATTCTTATCACTCAACAGTATATGATTTTTTATTATACATGCTATTAGTTTTTAAGAGATGTTGTGGAGTTTGTAGGAGATAGTAAACAACATTTAAACAATGCCTGACCTTACGTAGTGCTGTGGTCGCTCTCCGGATGTGAGTGTAGATGACTTCATTCTCACAAGTATTGAAATTTCAGGCAGAGATGGAGAACCACGCTGTGACAGAGAATGGCCGTAGTTCCCGAGCCAGTGTCAACGGAGACTCGGCCAGTGTCCGTGGTCGCTCTCCGGCTATGAGCTGTTCTGCATCTGTGTTTGGGGATGACAATCCAGCTCCGTTCCACTCTGGCAAGGGTATGAGGCAGGAAGGCCAGCGCAATCTGCAAGATTCCACATTTTCTATATCGGGTAAATGTCAAAAGTATTGTAGTCTTCCAAGACACAACTCTTCATGAGGTTGTGTTGGTTGATAGGGAGAATCAAATCTTTTGTAGAGAGGAAAAAAATGTTTCTTTAAGTCAGAAGTTCAAAGTGAAAGAGTCTTCATATTGCTGGGAGAAAGGAGTGTTACATTCTGCTAAGATGTCAATATTCAAAATTCATTGTGTTCAAAATTTGAATTCAAATATATTTATTTATAATGTAATAGAAGCATGGCCTCACCAAGTTAACAAAAATTATGGACATGGCCCAATTATTCCCTAATTTAAATTTTTAAATACTATTTTGAAGTTTAGAAAGGAATACAAATTATATATTCCCTAGTTCTAAGGTAATTTGTGAGCCAAACATGCTATTTTTGCACAATGGCTTGGCAGTCTGTCATTGGCTGCTTTGATTTCAAACACAATCATCGCTACTAATTGATTTTTGTTACAATTTGCTGTTGGAAGCAAGTTTATGTGCCCAAGTTTTATGCAGAGTGTCTAATATTTTTATTCATGAATCTAATATGTCTTATCCTTCAAGCTTCATCTCATCAGGAACCAATATACCTAATTAAATAACATAATGCATAATACCTAATGGTGAAGATTTGTGACATGTGGAGTAATTGCTCGACTTTAGGCAGGATACTCTTCTTCACTTTTCTAAAGTTAATTTGAATTTGAAGATAGGTAGGAGGGGGTTTTCCTATTTCAGGCCAAAAGTATTCAACAACCTCCTCTTTCCGATGAAAAATAAAGGCATTTTGATCGACTGATCGATTTTTGTATGGACGGCAATGCTTCAATTACAAACAATTAAAATATCTTGCCTGAAGCTTTATCTAAAACCTTGTCAACTATTAATTTTGATTTCAGCGGAGCTAGATGACTCAGGCCGCCGATCCTGTATCCGAGTGAAAAACCCACCAGGGGGTATGTCGTCCGGGGGTTTCTGGTAAATGACCCTCCACACTTCACATCACATTTCATATCTATATACTGTACTCTGCTTGACACCGCATAGTTAACATCATTTTCTTTCAATCGCAGTTTAGTGAACTAGGTATGATGTAATGCCAAAGTAATCTAATATTTTGAACTGTAACAAGGGTTGACAAGGGTCTTTCCCGCATTTTATACCCGTTGATTTGTTGACAATTTTGTTTCTTTGTTAATGTATCGATAAGTCGTTATTAACTCGTATTTGATATGTGTTAAGCTTGCTTTTACGTGATAACTGTTATAAGAGCACTGGTTTATCAGACTTCATGTTAATTTGCACAATTCTGAACCATTTCTGTATGATTTTACACCAACGTGAACTATTTTCTTAAACAATTCATATTAATAATATTAGTATGTATGTATATTATACATTACTTGGTTTTGCCACTTTGAACTATAAACTCCTTTTTAATGTTTCCAACCCTCCAATTGCCATATAAAACAAATTAATTTATTTTGAGGATATCTCAACCTCAAAAACAATAAAATAAACTAATGTACAATTGAGAGACATTTTATACATAAAAAAGATTACACTTTCCCAATAACAGATTTGTATACATTTTTTATGCATTGGTTTTTCATACATTCACATTTTATTTCTTTTAAATTTTACCAATAGAGAATTTTAAACAAATGGTTCAGCATTGTTTCATTACTGCTAAAAACCTTAGTGTATCCCTCGCCTAGGAACAAGTTACTCATGAACATTTAACACTGCCATTTTAATGTTGTTTGCAGTAGTTTAAATATTTAATGACTTACTTAAAATTGAAATACTTATCATCTTTGTATTATGTCCACAGATCTATTGATCTTTTAAAACAGTATTTACAACAAATGTTGGTATATCAATGAGTTAAATAGCTCTAGATTTGTAAATTTAAGTTATATTTGAGTCAATTGTCTTCCATAACCTGGCCAAGACAATATGTTATTTTAAAGTTAAATTTTACGAAGGCGCACATTAAAACTCTTTATGAAATAAATAATTTAAAACAAAAAAAACAATGTCTGTTCTAAAAAGCAATGCCTGCAAAAAGCAAAATAACCTGTAACCTGTTGCAAATAAAAGCTTAAAAATGGGAGAAGTATTGTTTTTAGTAATTATTCTTTCAAATAGTGCAATGTTAATTGCAGTATGAAAAAAGTGCATTATGTTATCTTGTAAATCTGTGTTTAAAATTTGTATTTTACAAAACAATAAATATATAAATTAAATCTTACTGTTAATTGTTAGCATTATGAATATTGTTGCTTTCTTAGATGTCTAAATAAAAACTTGTTGTGGAATACGTTAGTGTTCCTTAACATTTTGTGCTGCCATTACTAGGTGTGCTCTGCTTTCTTATGCTTCATTGTATAATCTTTAACAATTAAAGTTGCTATTTTAAAAGTAACAAATAGCATCAGCCTTAAAAGAAACAGTTTACAGATTTGATTTATGTAATAAATACTCGTATTACAGGGTGTCTATAGGTCAGCAAAGTCATTAGAAGTCAAACTTGTTTTAGGATGAGTTTTATCCAACCCTCTTTACTAAAGTAAAGAATAGTATATTTGATTACCATTACTAAAAGTGGCTTTTTTGCAATTTGTGAGATTTTCCAGCTTGTCTCGTACAAACAAAGGAGCAGTGCCGGAAAAGCACTATTGGTTCAAGTCATGAACAAAACGTTTCATCACAACACAAAAATTAGGTAATACTTGTTTCTTTTTGCATTCAAATTGTTGACAAAAATCATATAATTGTAATTGTTAATATGCTTAGAATTGAACATACACTTTATTTGATTTGAAGTGGGCAAACAAAAAGGTTATTAGGATCAAGGGAAAATGGTGACAAATTTTTGTTTATCAACAATCTCTCTCTCTTCATTCATGCATATTTCTCAAAACAAGCCCAGCTGTGTCACTTTTCAATAATAAACCAAACAATTTAAATTAAACTATAAATTGTATAGTTGTTTAAAGCAACCCCCTTTGATCGTTAAAATTTTATTTGAGTTCATAATAAAAATATACAAGTATTATTTGCCTATTTAAGTTTTCTTATTTCACACACTAGTGGAAAAATCGTCCAAACCAATGAATCCCGATTTTTCGTCCCTTAGCTGGTAGATACCCTGTTTTAACATACCTTTTGCTAAAATGCTTTTTATACTATAGCTTGCGTAATTTACAATATAATATCATGTTAAACATTAATTTGCAATAAATTAACATAATTTTACTAATATTTATCAAAGTACAAAAAAAAATCTCGATGACCAAAAATGATATAGCTCAATTTTTGTTTGATCAAATTCTAGTCAATGAAGCAATGGTTGTTTTTTTCAGCACATTGGCAGCGTTTACTTAGTATTGTTATGATTCATGGGTTGTTTAATTTGTATCATTTAACAATAAGTGGTTAAATAATTCATTAAAGGCTATAGAAGTTGTTTTGATGCTGTATCATATTGTGCGTAATCACATACATTTGGTTGGAATTGTACATTATTCTTAAACAATCAAGTATTAAGGAAATTTGTTGATAAGCTAAACAAAAACAAAATTTTTCTGTAAAACCCGTTATGGATTATTTTTAGTAACTAGTTTTTGGTTATGTCATTTTCATTTATTGTATCGTATTATTTATTCCATTTCTAAACTCATTTACATTTAGCTTGTTTTTAAGGTAGTAAATCGTGAGTAAACTTGTAGAACCAAAGAAATGGGTTACCAATGAGCACAAACTTCAAAACTTCTAGTTCTAGTCACTTTTGTCTTACACTTCTTATTTATACATTGAAGTTTTGTTGAAATGCTAGTTAGACCCATTCGATACTAACACAGAAACATAAAATAGTAGGCAACACTTGTATACAATAAAAAAATACCTTTTATGGTTTGTCTTTGATCAAAATCTTAGCCCTTTTTTTCTTTAAAATATTAAAACACTCTTGTATTGTAAAACATTAAATTAAGTTAGGTCGGAAATGAACAATGCTTTATTTAAACTACCGGTGTTGTAGTTGATAACTAATATTCAATGTGTCGGATTCATGAATAGCAATATGGTGGTATACATCACACATATTTCGTTTTTACCTCTTTGTAACAATAATGTTGATTTATGATTTTGTAGCTTAGAGTTGGCGTGAAATGTTTTGTGATACTACACTAAGACTTGTGAAACATCTATGTTGGTCGCTTGTTTGGTGTTTGTCAGTTCAGTATATTTTATATTCCATTTATCGGATCGTTTCAAGTTATACGTTACTTGTTTGACAAAGAATACTGTTAAGATTATATTTAGTTAAGAGTACAAAATTTATAAAAATAATAGTTATGATAAGTTATTGTTTGGCACGAGTATGTGGGTCGCACGATGCGTTGGTAAGCTGCAGTAATGTTAGATATTTGTTATGTAAGTTTGATTTACCACCTTATATCGATGGAGCGCTTATTTTGAGGTTGAGGATTGTGACTTGTAACTCGATGTTATTTTATTATTTGATATACAAGTTAATGTGGGAGGCTTTGGCCTTCGAGTAGTTAGCCAGATGTTTACTGTACTCTATTTATATTTATTACCTCTTTTGAATAAAAAAGCGAACTAAGTTACTGTGTTATATTGAATTGAAATACATTTCTAATCAATGTCAAAAGGTGTATTTTTCCCTTTCTGTACCTCTATGCAATTTTTGTCTTCCTTGCAATGCATGACTGAAACCTGACGTTTAGTTTTAAAACACACTTTCGAGTGCAAACTGCATTTTGGGCAGCCTTGATGTAAAAATTGGTTTAAATTATTTTGAAATCTTGAACATAGTTAAGTTTCAAGTATCTGAAAGGTGTTTGAAGATACATTTTCCTACAGCCACCCAACAAAGTTGGCTTCCTTGTACTGTTTATAGTACAGAAAGCTGCTGATTGCTGCATATTTATACTTTGTCGTACGGTTTATACTTTGGCGCACATCAGGATTCCAACGAAACAACACAAAACAGCGTGGTTCTAATATGCACGTAATCCGTGTCCGCTTGGAAATAGGTTGGCAACACTTAAAGATAATAATACTATGAGCAGCTGATTGACTATTATAACTACGATTTAACCTGTCACTTTGTATTTATAGTTTCGGTATTTCTGAACTTTCTGGACTTTTATTTTAAACGTTTTTAAAACATTCCTACGATCTTAATAAACAAGAAAATACCTTTGAAGCATTTTTTTTAGGCACGGAAACCACTTCAAATTACAAAAACATACGGAACTATTTTCTCAAGTCGTGGAGCACATTGCTTGCCGAGGAAAAAATAGCGGAGTGATACGGACCGATGACTACTTTCTCTAGGGCACCTATTTGTGTTGCCAGCTGAACCTAAAAACATGTTGTATAGTGTTTGAAAGACTAATTATTTATATGCTTTATAGTGACTGTAGGAAAAATATAATGTGTAACACGAGTGCAAAAGGCCTTTGCTGCACTCGAGATCATTCCGCACTCACCTGCGGCTTGTTCGTAAACAAACATTGCTCTCGTGTGCAGCAAAGTGCCACTTTGCTCACTAGTTACACAAATAACTATTTCATTCTAAAGAATAAAGCTGGAGCTGTCAGTTGCAGACACATCCATGGTGGAAGTAAATAAGGTGTGCTACTCAGCCGGACGAGTTTGAGACCGTTCTGCGCATCGCGATGTGACATCACCTTGGGGGCAAACCGCTTCGCGCGCGTATATAGCTCAGCGTGACACTGCTCTATTAACATCAACATTTTGAACTGTTAGAATTGAGGAAAAATTATGAAACTTGACATGGACATCAATTATAAGTGGACGATGTGTGTTGTGAAAAAATAGTTTGTAATTGTTAAAAACTTAAGCGTGAAATCACTCTTTATACTTGGCCTTTCTTAAAACTAAACATGCAAAAGTTAGTCGGCTACCAAATCACGTACTATTTGGTTAGAAGGATTTGACCAGCGGGAAAGTTTTAGATAAAGATCCAAATTTAACTTTCCTTCAAACTATATACCGTTAGGGGCGTTATTTCCTGAGATATGCTAAGTTATATGAGCGCGTGCTGCGAGTCGAGTCAGTTGCCAAGTATTAATCACACATTGCCATCCAACAAATAATGTAGTTTCATGAATATAGTATCATTGATATTTTTATTCCTGTATTTATATTTTTATATGAAAAATTGTTGTTCTGTTGACTTCAGTGTGTTTTTCCCCGTTTGAATATGGGTTATTTCGTAATAGTTCACAGAGAATATATAATATTGTCTCCTCGGTGAATAGGGTTAACGTTGCCAAATTGCATTTAAAGTATTGCAAATCGTTGTTGATAAGTTAAAACCAAAGTTTGCAAAGGGTCCGCGGAATTGGCTAACTCTGGAACTCGCTAACCCCAAGTTAAACGCCCTATCTTCAAATTTGGTCGATGAGAGGAACTCGCTAACTTGTTCGGTTTCGGAATTGGCTAACTCCGGAAACCGCTAACCCGCTCTAGAGCCGGGTTAGCGAATTCCGTCCTCGTACGGAAGTCGCTACCTCGGTCCCTCGGCGGAACTCGCTAACTCCCAATCAGAAGCCTCGCGGGCCGTCCAATGGGAGCCAAGCACGAATATTTTTGGCCAGTGTTGCCGAAAGTGTAGTACCTATATCGTATCGGTACCATAATGTCGTATCCTACGATTAATTAGGAGTAAGAGCAACGTAGACGATAAAATCAATATATTTATAAGTATGTTTAAAATTGTTCTTATGATTATTAGGGTGGAAAATGCATTATAGTCTTACCATAGACTAACCAACACAAGTAAAATTTACATCCCATTGTAAACTTTGAAGCTCGTTTTTCGTGTCTAGTTCATGTCCGGTGACACTGATCGCTAGTGTCAACAAAATTGTGTTTCTTTTATTTTATAGTTAACTTCATGATTTGTTCTTTACTGTTTGGTTATATAACTAGGGGACGTGTTATTAGTTGTGATTAGAACATTTTATTTGGTTAAACGAGGTTTTAAATTACTGAAAACAAGAAACAATTGTAAACAAAACACAACCTCTAAAGACAGTGCACCGAACAGAACTAACAATAAAACTGTCTTCAGCTGATCCATAAGGATGAAAAATGTACTAATATAAGGGAGTATGTTTTATACGTGGGTTTCTTACTTAAATTGTAGCATAGATAAAACATGATTGTAGCTTATTGGTATGCAAAAAGATAAAAATGCACATTTAATATGGATCTATTACATGTTATGAAATGTCTATTTTCGTAGTCCGCCATTTGTTTCTTTTATTCGAATAAATACCATTTTGTGAACTTCTGCAAATAAAATAATTGAGTTCGTATTTTATATACTGGGCTTGTAACCTTGAATCATAAATCATAATACAATTTACACGCTAAACGTCATAACAGAATTACATTGTAGTGGTAATGTATTTTTAAATAGAGCTATTGAATTTAAATAAAATGTATCGATACATTATAAAGTGGTAAGTAGGCCTAATGTATTCATGGATTGCATTAAAAATTAGTCCATGCATAAATACAACTTGTAAATTTCTTTTATCGTAGGCTATTAGTGTAGAACCCGGGTCATCCTCTTAATTGTTTTGAATTAATATTAATTTTACGTCTTTCAGTAGGCCTACTTTTTTAAAGTCTGGAGTTTTTCTCCAGGCTGGTTCTAAATGGACCCAGGCGTTCTTGTTTGTTACAATTCTTATGAATGGTGGCTATAGTTAAAATATTTGATCTTATCCAAAACAAAGCTATTGTCTATTGTGAAGCTCAGTAACGGGGAACGGTGAACCGAGCAATGGCTTGGTATACTGTAGTTTATATCGATTGTGAAAGCAATATAAAGGAAACCCAACACTCAAATCAGGAAAATCCGTCAATTCGTTTATTAAGAATCGTGAATTAAAATGACCCTGTCACGTTTTATTATATGAATATTATATCTTCTCCTATTTTTTACTAGTGGTGCTTAGGTGTACAATCTAAAACGGGGTTGAAACATGTAACATTATTGCTAAAAAAATTCAACACATTTTAGAATTAGGCAACTATTTACTAGTAGGCAAACAATGCTTTGGTTCAAACTATATTAGGCCTGGATAAAAACTTAGTCTATGTCATCATATTTGTACACGTAAGTTGGACGGTTCAACGACGAACATTTAATTTTAAATCTATGAATTAGTTATGAAAGTTACGATGGTTGATGACTGTATTAATTAATGGTTTTGGTTTATTACGCCATTACGATTAAATCTGTTTTCCGTGTTTGAGAACTTGCGTGTATTTTAGCTTAATTTCGTAGAGGTTTAATTATTGAGTACCAATTAAACTGAATTTTCAATATTTTTCATATTCTATTATTTTTTTGATGGCATTTATATTTAAGATCGAAATCATAAACATTTAACTGGCCATTGTACAGTTAAATAAAGAAAAAACACTTTTTCTTGATTTTTTATTGTATTTGAATTACTTTGGGCTAGTTATCTGTTAAAAGTGGAATTGATAACAAAAAACAATAACATTTACTGTATCTTAATTGACACTGACATTTTGAAATACGGCAGTGTACGATTATTTTGTCGTACAAGGTTGGCAGTGGGCGCGGCCGGGTTAGCGACTTCCAGAGTTAGCGAATTCCGCCGCGAGACAAAATCGAGTTAGCGGGTTCCGGAGTTAGCCAATTCCTGACTGAGACGGTTAGCCAGTTCCAGAGTTAGCCAGTTCCGACACACGACCGAGTTAGCGAGTTCCTGAGTTAGCCAATTCCTACGTCTCTTTGCGAATAGTGGTTTAAATAATAAATTATCTTTAACGCAAAGGAATGTATTTAACATAGTATATAAAATAAAATGTACTCAGTTAAAAATAAGTTGGTGATTAAACATTGTATTTATAATCAGGTCAAAATATAAAATTGTTTCACTCTTGCAATACCATGATAATAAAATGTGATATTCCAGTTTAATTCGACAGCTAGGATCCTATTTCACTGGGGTTGTTATCTATGTCGCAACTTTGGCTCGGGTGCGGGGGATGATCACGTGTTGTTTGTTTTGTTTTCGTTTCTGTGTTCACCGCGAGTTGCAGTAGATGTCAGTTTTCCATAGGGCACACATCTTTCTACAAAAATGCCCCATTGTACAGTGTACGGTTGTTGTAATAGTTCGAAAAATAAGAAAACACAACCAAACGTGCAATATTTTAGTTTTCCTCAACAAATCAACAGGAGGCTAAGACAATGCAATTTTGCTGGTGGCGAAAAAAGAAAATTTCTAAAGAAACTTAAAAAAGTTTAGAAAATCCAGAGGTGATGAAATGTTTAATTTTTTAGATGTTTACTTTCAGGTCGTAAATATTTTTATAAGATTGAAAAATGTAATAAACTATGTTTTTGGCTAAGGAAATGTTATTCATTTCCGATCCTACAAATTTTATGGCAACTGTTATCAAAGAGAGTTAATTTCTATAAAAACGAAGATGTTGCAACGCATTTTAATGTAAAACTTATTATATCTGTCACATGTTAATATTACATATTTAATTTAAAATGTAGAATACAAAGTATATCCTTATAACATGTAGCTACAGTTTTTTGGATAATAAATTTAATGCGTGGCCTTATTATCCAATAAACGGTGGCATCGGCTGAGCGCGCGCTCCGTTGCCGCTTGATATAATTCTTCGTAGCTAAAAAAGTAATTCTTTTATCGAAATCCAACCGATACTACAGTTAAATTAGAATCTTTCCCTAAAACTTTCCCGCAGGTCTCATAAACCTGACCAAATAATACGTGATTTGGTAGCCGACTAACTTTTTTGTGTTAGTATGAAAAAGTTTGAAGTTTGATCGGTGGTTGAATGGTTTTTAATTCAAATAAATTAATAAAATTTAAACCATAAGCATCCTATGTTAATAGTCCAAGACTATGCAAAGTTTCAGGAATTTTTATCGGTTATTACTATTAAAAATTACAATTTTATTAGAGCGGCGTCACTGCTCGATATGGTCGCGAGGCATGTTTGCCCCCAAGGTGACGTCACGATACCCCTCCCCCCCACCGCCTGCAACCGGCTACGATGCGCAGTAGCACACCTTATTTACTTCCACCATGGACACATCTGTGTTCGTGTATCCAGGGTGTCCAGTCTACCTTAAAACCGGTAATTAGTTGTACTTAAATTTCAATGACTGAGACAAAATCCTTCAATTGTACAGTAGACTCCCTCTTATCCGAACTCCTCGGAACCGAGGCCAGTCCGGATAACGGTTTTTCCAGTTAAACCGACTTTCTCTAAAAACTTGTTAAAACGAACCGTTTAAATGCATACTGTATACAGTATCTGACTTAAATTAAGGAGAGCATTGTATTTAGACACGTGATCACTGGTCTCAAATCTTTCCCACGAGAAGTTGTTTCAGTACCGCCCACTTCCTGCCGATCTAGTCTGGTTAAACCGATGTGCTGATAAAAATTATCCGGATAAAGAGATGTCACTTCTGCAGAGTGTGGTCCGGTTAAACCAATGTTAAGAGGGAGGTATAAGAGGGAGTCAACTGTACGTGAACGTGAATACTCTTATATGGGGCCGGACCATAAAATCTGTGAATAATGGCCATTTGTTCTCATTTTTCCTTGTGTTCAAGAAAGAAAATTATGATCACAGGAAATGATCACAACGTTACAGCGAACATTGTCACGGCGATCATAAGAAATGTCCAAGGACTGAGCCGCGATCATTGGTTACAGCCGTTACTGCGGGAGACATGGGTGAAATGATCACTGGATATTCTCATGGATGTTACCGTCATTGTAAGATAATCATCACAGTTATTGCTGTGACCACAGAAGATGATAAACAGTTGCCCTGATCACGGGAAGTTATCACTGATGTTGCCGCAATGCTTTCAGCCATGGGAAGATTTAGAGGTTATTTGTTGGGTTTGTATGGATTCCTAAATATTCTACCAAGAAGAACACTGAAAGGGATATGGGAAGCCCCCCTTGGTGAGAGGGGAGTTCATGAGAGTCAAAATAAAACCTGTGCCATTGTATCCAATCTATCTGTCCATTGATATGAAGTGAGGAGTGGGAATCTGTTGTTGTGAAACAGTTGTCTCAGATTGAAATTTTATGAATACTGGTTAACAATTCTTAAAACATATTGGTTTATAAAATAGTATATTTTATTAAAAGGACCGAAAGTGGCATTTTCCGATGTACGCTCAAGTTTCATGTGTAAGGCAAAGCTGAACACACGAAAACCAAATTTTACGTGCCAGGCAAAGTCGAGCATGTGAGAGTTATTTTCACGTACGAGGCGAAGCCGAGGACCGGTATATTGGAGCAAGTGTAAGAAAATAGCTCTCGGTACGAGTTATGAACGATACTTTTCATCACGACGCAAAAATACACACATACAGAATAAAATTCTCAGTAGTATTAAAATAGTTTAAGACCACTCTATTTCATTGAAAATACACTTCACAGTGTACATATGGTTTCATAATTGTAGATTTTTTAGATAAATATATTAACTTTATAAAGTCATTATTCGTAGTCCAGGGGCTATCAGAATGAATAATATAAATATATTAATAAATTCTTTGTCACTTACTTTAATTTACTTAACATTTTGTATTGTAGTTTGTAACAGTTTCTAAGCTTTCTGTATTCCGCTTCTTATTCCCGTGATTTATCTGGTGGACGGTGAGTTACCTCTGAAGTTGTTTAAATCAAATTATTGTATCAGTTATGTTAGACATACTTTGAGCAATTTTAAACATGGACTATGCTAAAAACACAGCAAAACAAATTAATGCCCGTTTCTGTATGGATTTAGATTGTGCAACAATAAAAACAGCTGATTTAAATCATTAAAACAAACCTAAGAAAACACTAGCACGCATGGTGGATAGATGCAGAATTGAGAGCGAGGGAAAATCAGCTGATCGTTTTTCCCTCGCTCTAAATGAGAGCTTGGGAAACATCTACTTTCTTTCATATCAGCTGTTATCGAAAATAGTTACTTTCGGTAAGAAGTTATGATAAATTTTGTTAACTTTGTTGAATCTATGTTAAGCTACACAACATAAGCTGAAGATAGATCCGGATCTATCTATTCAAGCGTGAGTGGCTTGAATTCTCTAATTATGTGATTTAATGATTAAGTAAAATTAAAGATACTGCTCAAATGTTGTACACTGTACTTATAAATAAAGATATTCTAAATAAAATAACAGACACTGTTGATTTTAGTAAAATTCCAAAAAATATGTTCGGTCCATGTCAGTAATCCTGCTTGCAGAATACTTTCTTGTTTTAAGGATAAACTTTGTCAGGTGTCAGGTGTATTTGGCTTTAAATAATCCTAATACGATAAAACCCTGGTTAACGGGAAAAAGGGAGCTAGGATTTTTTAGATGACCTTTTTTTATGGTCAATCAATGATTATAATTTAAACTTTTAAAGGCTATTTCGTTTCAAAGAGAAATACAAAGTAGTTTTTGTGTTGTTTCAGTTACTGCCATCTTAAAATTTACAACTGTATGCCCAAATTTTATTTATAAACAATAGACAGTTTGTATATCTGAATTTTATCTTTATGACACAAGATCCGTGCCAAGTTAACCCGGATTCCATTGAAATGGATTGTGGCATTGGGATACTGAAGTAGACATCTCATCTATATGGACCAGCTGTCGCCGATTGTTTATTAAAAAAGAACATACTGTAGTTGTATGAGCCAGTCACAGAATGTGCTAATGTCTAAAATTCTATTTTATTCCTTATTTTTGTAGCTGACCAAGTTGATGGGTCATAACAATTGCTATAGCTCACAATGAGTCATTTCATTAGTTTGAAAAAGTGGTAAGAAAGTTTGTATATTGGACAAAAAATAGTTATTTAGTTCAGCAAAATCTGTCGGTGACTCATATCTGCTACAAAGATTTTGATTAACTTCGGGATAGAGTGTCTAGTTGTATCAATAGTCAAAGATTGGAGTTAGAAAAGGTTTTACTGTATATTATTTAAGGAAATTAATTACTGTATGCTCAATACATCTCGTTGTTTACCACATGCCGCAAATTGTTGCCTTTTGTTTGATTTTTGTAGCCAATTTTAAGTATTCTAAATTGTGCTCGTACTGGTTATTTTGTATTTTTGTGGTGAAAAAAAACCTTTAAATTCCCAGCCCAGCCAAAATGTTTACATCATCAAAAATTTAAGCAAAAATATTCATGTTTTGGATCTAAGTCTCAAAATTATTACTGTAATCAAGAACCTGCTTGGGACAAGTAGAATTTGCATAAAAGGTCTAGTATTCAGTTGTTTTTGTTTTCCTTGTTAAAAACACAAAACCCAGTTAGACATTATCTTAGCCTTAGCCAACACTACTGTAAATGTTATTAGGAATGAGGAATTCAAACAAATATTTTACAAGTATTTTTATTGATATGAATTGCAAACATGTAAAAATAAAAACATCTATCAATACAACATACATAAGGCAATATGAAAGAACGCGGTGATACTTGTAAATCGTGACAAACCTAAAAACAAGGTCAGTAAAAGAAATCCAACATACAAGATTGCCAAAATTGATAAAAATTACGCAGTAATACCTTTTTAGTAATATTCTAATAAAAATGAAAATTTCTTTAAAAATATGTTTTGGATTCTATACGGAACGGACCTTGTTTTTATGTTTCGAATAAATATATGGATTTGTACAATGAAAACATAGGGCTTTAAGACAGCCAGGAACTTGCTTGTGCTAGCCATTTTGTGTGTGCAGTTCAACATTTTGATCCCTGCTAAGCATTGTTCTTTGATCTGTTTCTCGTTGTAGATTTACATTACATTTCCAATAACTGGAAATGTAAACTATCACATGTAATTTAGAAGATAAGAAACTTACAATACATTTTAAACCCTCAACCATAGAAAAATAATAAGTCACACAAATAAACTTTAGCAAAATAGCTATATAAGCAAATATCCGCTTAATGCTAAAGATTGACATATGAATACAAAAATTCAATTAAGCTATACAAAACAGATCACAACATCAAGGCACATTTTTTATATAAAATTAGACAGTTTTATGTTTCACGATAACTCAGATATGAAACTATCGTCTCTAAAGTCATAAATTTACTGTCCTACAAATATGTTTTAAAATCCTTAACAAAAATTAAGGATGTATTAGACTCTTAATTATTATTAAAGAGCTATAAGAAAATATTACTAAAGTGGTTATTTTTAACTCCGTTACGAGAACAGAGGCAAGGCTTACAGGATGTCCTTTCATTGATTTTTGATTCGTTGAAAAAATCTTATACAAAAATATTATCAAGTTGATACACACACAGATTCAAATAAAAATACTTCAATAAGTTTTATGTTTTTTTCCTTTGAGAAGTTTCCAACCCTATGCAAAGGTAAGCCTGCTTAGTGCTTTTTATTATGAAATCTTATTAACAACTGGCCTAGATCTCTTCTAAAAATACCTATTAAGTAACTATTACTTTTAAAATGTAAATATTTTCTCAAAAGAAAATAATGAGCCCTCAGTCTTTGGAACTTAGAGCCGTTTATAAACAGGTAAAAAAGACAGAACTGTATAAATATAAAAATTAAATTGAAATCCTTTAGTAAGAATTAATTGAATTCCACAGTTAAGCCTTTTAACTGAGAAGTTTGTATTAATTCAAGTAAATCAATACATAAAATAGAATAGCCTGTCAGTTTCACAGTGTTTTTGTTAAGAAAACCTCATTTTTCTAAATAAAAAGATATTCTCAAAACATGTAAATGTTGTTTTGATTTTACCAATAAGCTTGAAATAACACAGTTTTCACCCTGGAAATAGAGATACAATAATATAATAAATTAATTTATAACTAATGAAAAATATAATACTGCAGTAAAATAAATAATTTACTAAATGTTTACTAAATGATAATTTACCTACTAAAAACTGGCATTTCAGAAAACTAGGTAGGAACCCATAGGTTTAGCTTAACATTCCCATAATACTTATACAATCAGTGATACAGATTAAAATTGAATTATTATCAAGTACTAATACACAATATCAACTACCTATGAAGGTAACAGAAAATGTTTTATAAACGTTAATAAACGTACTAATATTACCTGAATAATTCTTAATACTGTATACAGATTTGTAACTAAAAACGATTATTACTAGGCACCAAAACATTCTAGTATTCTAGTAAATATAGTTTGATTTACAGGATGGAATTATAGAACTCAACTGATGGTTTCAGTAAGTATAAACTTTGGTAACATCAATAAAACAGTTTATAAAAATAAATAGTGGTTATATGATATAAAATAGCTTTCAAATGAACTATCATGAGAACTTAAGAACTTTGAACTTAAGCTGAGCAATAATATAGCGAACTAATTGCAATTAAAACAATCAATTTGTTTTATGCATATAACTTTATATAATTAAATAAATATCCATTTAACATTGATGTATGATCATTCAAAATGCATGATTATAAAAAAACATCATAATGAACAAATATTAAAACAAAGCATACCGGTAATATATTCATTCATACTCATTTAGATAGTTACATAATTTATAGTTTCAACTTTTTAATCTACAAAATAATATTAAAACCTTTCATTTATGATCTATTTTCTGCCTGAACATGGTTTTGAAATTAAAATTAAGTAAAACACTAGTGATTCAATCACAAAAGGAGGGCGAAAGTACAAAATATAAATATTCCCTGAAAATACTTCACTTTTACATAGGTTTTGTACATTTGTACCAAATAGTTTTAGAATATTAGGGAACTGGAAATTACCTATAAACATTTTATAAGATAACTGACCACAAACATTTGATCCCTGGTTTGTTAACATTGTTAGCCTTCATCAGAGTTAAAACTGTGGTTTTTATAGATCTTCTTTTTTTGCTACAAATCAATTGTAAATATTTTACATTCTTAGTAACCACCACAAAGTTTTTCCAAAAACACTAGTTTTCAACATGATAAGTCTATGACTATCTAAAAAAATAGATAGGCTAAGATTGATCCAGTCAATCCAAATTTTGCACCTTATACGTTTTCTTTTGCTACAAATTATAGTAAAAATTGTACATTCCTTATAGCCATTAGAGTTTCTTAAAAAAGCACTAGTGTTCAACAAGAAAAGTCTAAAATTATCTAAAAGTAGACAGGATTTATCCAGCCAATCCTTTGCACATGTTTTCTTTTAGTTTTTCTGGAAGGAAATATTTACATCTTGAGGAGGAAAGTAGTTAGGATAGGCAACGTTCCAGACGATTGCGGAAGCAACAAAGACCAAAAACACGGCCATGCTGATCCTATACACTACACGTTCCCAGGACTGAACCTCGAGGTTGCGCAGAACGTATAGACCAACGAGAAGACCTGCGGCAGCTCCTCCTAAGTGAGCGACATATCCAACCTGGAAAACCAACGTGAATCGTAACTTCTTCTGTCTTTCAACAATGAAATATTGTGATATATATCTTCATCATCATGGAAAAAATGTATAAGCTTATACAGGGTGAGGCAGACCACCTGTACACAATGTACAGCAGCTAAACCAATCAAGGTGGATTGTCTGTGACAACTTAAACCCCCCTATTTTCACCCCGTAGAATTTGGGAAAATTATTTTGAAATATCCCAAACACACTGAAAGGGAATTTTTTTTTTGGGGGGGGAGGGAGTAGTTTTTGGACAATTTTCAAATGTAAAGGTAGGTTAAGTGATACCTCAGTTTAAAGGTATTTGCTCACTGAGTAATTTTATAAAAAAAATTTAAATTGATCTTGATGCTCTTGTACAGGGTGTTAAAACCTGTCTAAAATTCAGGGTCTTACAGTTGATTTTATTGCAACCGCCTACATAAGGGATCACAATTTTTATCTCAGATCAATGAAATGACACTCTTTTCTAAAAATACCCTAGAATGTACCACTAAGCCAACATTAACTAATTTAAAAAAATAAAAAAGTGTATAAACTCATATACATATAAAACACAGATTTTGTAGTATTCATTAAAAAGGTCTTTAAAAAACAAACATTTTCTATGTTTTAAGTTTGGTTCTATATCTAGCATATTATTTTTCAATAATTTGTCTTTTTTATGTTGGTAGCCAAAGTCTGGATTTAAACAATTACTAAAAATTGGTTTCAATTAGAAAAATTGTGTAGTAAGAATGTAGAATAATATAAATGTTTATCCTTACCTTATTATCTTCATTCGCAATGTAACGAGCATGAATGGACGATCCTAAATCTACAATAGTCAAGAAGAGGAATACTAGGAGTTGCCAAACTGCAAACTGCATTTCAGACCAATTCTAAAAAAAAAAACAAGAAAAACTGACTGAATATATGTTATGAAAATTGGGGAAAAAGTGATTTAGCCTACACAATTATCATTTGTTATAAATTAACTAATATGGGTATGATAGGTACCTTTCTGTGCTTCTAATGGTAAAACCATTAACATATCCTTTATTATGTTTAAAATTCTAAGTTTCTAATTTGATTATTTTATAATTTATGCAAATCTCTTAGAATATTTTCCCAGCCTTTTTACGGTACCTACTGTTAACCATCTGTTAAATATACAGGGTAAAAACAAGTCCCGGGACGGTTAAATATTTCAAAAAGGAACAAAGATAGAGCTTTAAAACTTGGCACACCGTTACTGGGCATTAACATAATTTGATTCACAAATTTTCAGTGATGCACTACCTCCTGAGGGGGGACGGCCCGCTAGGAGTTAGAAGAAAATTTTAAACGTAAGCATAGGTTGATATGCACATCAAATTAAAGGCCTTTACTATTAGAATACAATGGCGCAGATTTGAACACAAACGAACAATCGAGTCAAAGATGGCAGCAGTTCAAAGTTTTCTTGAATCTGCCATTTTTATTTTTGAACGGCTGCCATGTTTTACTCAGTTGTTCTTTTGAGCTCAATTTCCGGCATTGTATTCTACTAATAAATACCTTTAATTTGATGTGCATATCGACCTATGCATAAGCTTATAATTTTCTTTCGACTTCTAGCGGGCGGCCAAGAGAAGGTTGCGTAGGCCTATAATAGCATTGCAAAGTCAATGCATCTTTGAATAACTGTCGGGTTTGCGGCATTGTATTTTACTAACAAAGACCTTTAATTTGATGTGCACATTAACCTATGCTTACATTTAAGATTTGCTTCTGACTCCTAGCGGGCCGTTCCACTGAAGAGGTAGCGTATAATTGAATAATGTGTTGAAATTAACCTAATGCCTAGTAACTATGTACCAAGTTTTAAAGCTCTATCTTTATTACTTTTTGTCCCTGGACTTTTTTCCACCCTGTATTTACAGCATGGATAAGACTAGGCCTATAGTATGAGTGTAAACATTTTCAAAATTTAATTAGACCTTTTTATTTAAAATACCAGAAATATTATTCAGTTATATAAGTGTATAAAAGTTTACAGTAAGTTATCTAAGTATGCAATAATCTGTTGGATAAAGTTATCTCATATTACACAAGTGATTGTATAACTATAAGTTTTAGAAAGGGTCCCACTACACAAAATGTTGTGCTTAGTCCTTAGTAGGAATCATATTTCACTTTCTAACTGTGATAACTAGTTTTAATATTACTGTAGATAGTTATCTTTCATGAACACTATTCATACGGTTGAGCTTTATTGACATGTCACATTTTCATTACTCAACCTCAGCCATTACATTATACAAGGGCTGTTAACTGTTCAGGAAGAAAGGAACGTTTCGGAATAAAATAAAAAATACTACTTTTCTACATATCTGCCAAACGAATTGAGGCATTTATTATAGCGGGGGACAAGCTTTGAAATTCCCTTGACATAGAATTCCGCCACCTGCTAGCTCAGCTAGCCGGTGACACGCAATTGGAGGTCCTCGCAGTGGTGGTTCCAAGGGGGGGGGGGAGTGGCTACAGGGGCTAAAGCCACCCCCTTGGACCCTGTAAAAATAAATTTAAACATACATTTCGTCCTTAACCCATTTGCACCATTTTATTTATTTACCAAAAATCACCTTATCACTGAAACATTAAAAATAAAACAATTTGCATTTGACTATTTCTTATGATGATTTATAGTATTTTATAGCTCAAAATAATAATAAAATTTTTATTTTTATATTATATTGAATTTTGTATGTATATTTTTTATTTATATGTATTTAGGATTAGGATATGTTTTTTTTTTCAAAAAATTAGGTACATATACCTGCCTGAAATAATATTACACTATTTTTGATTTTGTTTTATAATATTTTATAGCTGAAAATAATATAAAACATATAATCTACATAAAATTATATATTTTATATGTATATGTATATGTATTTAGTACACGTTTTCACTATTTTTCATACTTTTCATAAAAAAAGTTAAATAGCTGCCTGGATTACGTAAATATGAAATCATTCAAAGAACATAATATTTTGTTTTGAAGAACAAATTTAAATATTATATGTATATATTGTAAGTATAAATGGTTCATTTATTGAAAAAATCAAATTTTCAAATTTCATGGATGACGTACCAGTACGTCAGCCGTGATACTGTACATCACTGACTTGACGTACTGGTACATCATCCAATGCAAATGGGTTAAAACACGCTATGTCATAAAACAGACATAAATATAGTTTTTATTAAACTTAAGCGATGGCAAAAGTAGTATTAAGTCCCACATAGATCAACTTTGTGGACAATAGCACAACGAATAAAACAATATTACGCTATGGAAAGTTGTACTCATCATCACATTTTTACAGCAGTCAGCTTCATGCTAAGGGCAAAGGTGAGTGCGAGCGCCGAGCGCGCGAGCGAGGACGGGGAAACAGCTGATTTCCTGATGTTCCATTGTTAGTTGTCAAATTGTCTGCTAGCCACTAACTTAACACAGGCATCAATCAGCAATCAGCGGTAGCCCCAGTAGCCTCTTACCATCAGGGCCGGTTTAACCCATACGCGAACTAAGCGGTCGCATATGCCGCCACGGAAAAGTGGGGCCAATGGGACAAAATTTTTTTTTCAGAAGACAAAATTGGAAACAACTTTACTGATAAGTGAACTACTTAATTTTGTTTTTTTCGCTCAGAGTTCAAGTATCCAAAGCACCACACCAAAGGCATTTATTCTGTTTGTACCAACAGCACTTGAATACTTGTACAGCATTTCAACTCAAGGAATCAAGGCATTGATTTGCAGTGAGCTGACGCTTGGCAGCGTACAGCGCGGCGCCTGTGGGTTTTATTTCATGACTCATGCTCCAGATAAGCACACAGTCCCGCTTGTCACAACAAGAAACTTCCCCTCCCTTCTACTCCTGATCACTCTCCCCTCCTAGAGCAGATCAATGCTAGGAGAGTAAATTTTTAACTGGTTAATTCCTCTCTTGTCATCTACCTACACCTATTTTTCATTTTAATAGGCTTTATACAAACTTATATTGTATCCAAGTTATCCTGTAAAAATTGATTTCACATCCTACTAATATTATAAATGAGAAAGTTTAGTATGTATGTATGTTTGTGACAAGTAAACACGAAAAATACTGGTTGGATTGGGCTGAAATTTGGGGTAATGATAGCTCACATTCCCGATTAATAGGCATATTGTTATCTCAAAACTCCTTTCAGGCTCCGCCCCAGTGGCTCTGGAGTTTCCCATGTTAACCTTCAAATTTAAAGGAATTAAATAATTTTGTCAGCTGATTTGACCAATAAAGTTGTTCTATGATATACAATAGCATTAAAAAGTTATAAGGTTTACCAACAGGGTGCAGCACTATTATATAGTTTTCCATTGTGATAACAGCTAATTTGAAGTAAGCAGCATCAAAAAGCTGTGATACACAATGAGAACTGTCAAAGTAGGATTTTTTACAGTAATATGTTTATGTTTTTAATTTAATACATAATTTGTCATATTGTGTGCATGTTTGATAATTTACTTTTTTATATTGTTCAGGTGCAGGGGTAGAACAGAATGGCTATGGTAGATGTGTAATACTATACTGTATCTGTAACCCTCCTCCATTGCAAATGCAAAGCTAGAGTATAACTGCAATAAGCATTTTATACTTATAAGCCAACCCCGTACAAAGAACGGGTACTCTGCTAGTTTAGAAATAAATTGTTAACTTTGGGTTTTGCTAAAGTGTATATGATGAGTACATACAAGTGTAAAAATGTTAAATTTCTATGAATAATAAACAGTAGTTGAAAAAAGTCTGTTGTTGCAAGTATTCTTCTAACCTAAAAGTTCTTCCCAAAAAATTTCACGAATAGGGTTATGTTCATTTTGGGTGGGGGGGGGGGGGTAATTCTAGGTGGCACTGATTCGGGTGTTCGCTTAAATTCCTAGAACCGGCCCTGCTTACCATTGACTATACTATATAAACACTAGTGTCAAAGTTTATAATGTCAATGCTATTAGTGAATTCGATACTATACATATTGTTACAGATCTATAATATGGAGAGAAACGCAAGTTTAAAAAACGTGTCTATACTTGCATGACATATAACAGGTAAAATAGAAGGTTTTAGGACAATTGGGCAAAGTTCTACTTCTAGCCGTTAGAAATGGCTTTATAAAGTCACCAAACGGCTTTTAGGAGATATGGCTTCGTAGTCTACAGTAGGCCTATGTTTTGAAATTCATGAATGCAAGTTTGTCATAGTTTGATTTTTTAAATGTCTACTTGCTCATGACAAAGACAAATAACAGGTGAAATGGGAGGTTTTTGGACAGTTTGACACAGATATATTCATTAATATTGAATGGCTTTAGAAAGTCAGTAAACCACTTTTAGGAGGATATGGCCGTAGCCTTCAATATGTTTTCACTGTTATGAATGCAATCGTCATAGTTAGTTTTAAAAGTGTCTACTTATTCATGAAAAATAAATGGGGAAATGGGAGGTTTTGCACACAGTTCTAGACGTTAAAACTGTTTTTTTTTTTTTTTAGAAAGTCACCCAACGGCTTTTAGGTGGTTATGGCCGTAGTCTAAATTGTGTTTTTAAATTCATGAATGCAATCGTCATAGGTTAATTTTTTAAATGTCTATTTGCTCATGACAACAACAGGTGAAATAAGAGTTTATGGACAATTTATGGGCACGGTATTAGGTGTTAAAAATGGCTTTAGAAAGTCACCAAACGGCTTTGAAAATTTCAAATTTTCCCCGGACCCCCCTGGTTCAGTGGGGCGTGCTCCACACCCCCAAGCCCTCCGGTAGCCTCCCCCCTTGACAAGGTCCTAGAACCGCCACTGGGTCCTTGTCATAATTGAAGCGCTATGCTGCTAAGCAGGTTTTCATTTTGGTGCACAAACCAAGTGAGTCACTTGGAGCCAGTTTTGGACTTTAGGGTGGGTGATTGAGAGAAATTCTCCCATTTGAATGGATGAAGGAGATTGTGAATGCGATTTGACGTGACACACCTCACAACTGATGCGTTTTCAATTGCAGCACACTTTATGTTTTACTGCAAGCAACACAATGACAATTCTACTGTGATATCTGGACAGTCATTGAGTTGGCAAATGTGTACATTCCTTACTTTCTGAACAACCCTCATAAATTTCTGGCATGAAAAATTGATTTTAAAAAGCTTGAGAGAACTCGTAAGTTGTACCATGATAATGGTGGCAATGTGAGCAGTGATGAGGGCGTAAACTCCCCCAGAAGCCCCGGCGAGGTACACGTAGGGGTCGGACATGGAGGTAGCGAGGGAGCCGGCAATGACTCCAGCGAAGTAGACGATGAGAACTCTCCACCAGCGATGAACCATCTCCAGTGGAATACCAAGTAGCACTTGAACCAAGATGTTCACTCCCAGATGAAACACACTGGAAAACACGACAAATATTTATATATTTTTTTGTATTAAAGCTATTTATTTTATTGTTATTAATTCACATGTGCATTAAATTAATTAAATTTACTAGTGAATTAAAAAATTTAAATTAAATTTGTAGTTGAATTAAATATTATATTCTTATTATTTATTTATATTAATAAATAAATAATATTATATTAAATATAATATAAAGTATAACATTATATTATAATAATAATATTATATTTTGTACTGATAATATGATCTACCCCCCAATAAATGTATTATTAAATAAAACACTATGGCATAATAAGCTATTAAGTATGTTAATTAATATAATTTTAACATTCTCTGTTATAATTAATAAAATATTTTATTTTATTATTTTATATTATAGTTAATAAATTAACATTTCTGCCATAGAATGAGTTTTTTTTATTAATTTAGTTAGTTTTTGAGTATTAATCATGATTTCTGTAAGTATTTTATATATTCGTACCCCAATGCGATATATTTTTACCTGGTCTTGATTTTTTTTTTATTGTTAAGTTTCCCTGTTTTTAGTAGTGATTTCTATATACTGTACCCCAATGCATGTATAGGGTATCATGATTTAATTTTAGGGTTAATTAGTTTATTTTTATATTAAAAATTCTTTTATTTTATATTAATTTTTATATTAAATATTAGCCTATATTTTATATTAATTTCTATTAAATTGGTCTTGGATTAAAGAACCAATTTTTTTTTTGACAAGAACATAAAATAATAAGATCAATTATTAGTTGAAAAAGGGATAAAAAAACTCAATAGTAATTAATTGTAAAAAGCTTTTAAAAAAGAAAACATTTATTGATTTAAAAAAAATCTTCCAAAGAATAAAACGCCAAGCTAAAGAGTTAATTTGTTTTATGTTTAACGGCAGTTTATTGTCAATTTTAGGCCTCATATACTATGGCGACAATGGAACAAGTTTAGCCTATGTTGTGCAGGTTTGAGAGAATTTTAAAATCTTGTATCACAATTGTGGTCACATTGATTCAGCAAGAATATGTCAAAGTTTCCCTTAATCATTAAAGTATTTTGATAAATAAAAGAGCTGTAGAAGGTAAGAAGTTTGAATTGAGTTAAAAATTGTAAATGAAGATATTTTTGTGATTTTCCTTTATTTATCTTCAAACTGTTTACATTGCATGAAACAAGTCATAGTTGTTTTACATGGAGTATCAGTATAATGCTCGATATTTTCGTTTTAAAGGAACTCAAAGCACAAGTCTCCAAAAAATTTGAAGAGAGGTTTATTTAAATAGAAACATAATACATAGAAACATATACCAAAAATTTATTTAAATTGCAAAAAAGAGCGATAAGGCTTGTAAGTGGTGTACGCTCTAGAACTCACTGTAAACCTATGTTTAAACATTTCAAAATTTTAACTTTGCCTGCAATATACAGGGTTGGGGAAAAGTGTGGATACCCCTAGTTAACTTTTTAACGCGTTGCAATAGGAAAACCTAACTCGACACATATTTACAACATAAGAAATTGCACTTTTTCATCAAAGTTACAACTTTGCCCCAGCCCCCAAAATGGGGTATTTTGGGGGCAGCCCCAAATTTTCAAATGTAAACACCTATCATGTGATCCCTCATTTTAAAGGGTTTATTAATAGAAACTGAATGGCGCAAACCAGAGGTCAATATCGCACGCCTAATCAAAATGGCAGCCATTTTAATTTAACATGAGCAATCATGATAAAGTCTGGACACCCCCAGTTAACTTTATAACGTGTGGCAGTGGGAAAACCAAACTCGGCACATGTTTACAACATAAAAAAATTCACTTTTTCATTAAAGTTAGAACTTGTACCCGGCCCCCAAAATGGGGTATTTTGGGGGCAGCCCCAAATTTTTAAAAGTAAACACCTATCATGTGACCCCTCATTTTAAATGGTTTCTCAAGACAAATTAAATGGCACAAACTAGAGGTCAATATCGCACCCCTAATCAAAATGGCAGTCATTTTGGAATATCCCCTATTAATTTTTTAACAGGTTATAGCAGGAAAACTAAACTCAGCATACCTTTATGAAAAAAGAGAATTCACCTTTTGGTCAGTATTAAAATATTTAATTTTTTAAGTTAACTGGGGGTGTCTAGACTTTATCATGATTGCTCATCTTAAATAATTAAAATGGCTGCCATTTTGATTAGGCGTGGGATATTGACCTCTGGTTTGCGCCATTCAATTTCCCTTGATAAACCCTTTAAAATGATGGGTCACATGATAGGTGTTTACATTTGAAAATTTGGGGCTGCCCCCAAAATACCCCATTTTGGGGGCTGGGGCAAAGTTATAACTTTGATGAAAAAGTGTAATTTCTTATGTTGTAAATATGTACCGAGTTTGGTTTTCCTATTGCAACGCGTTAAAAAGTTAACTAGGGGTATCCACACATTTGCCCAACCCTGTATATTCTTCAAGTTCTATTGTATGTAAAACATAATTTAGAAATGTTCTCAGAAAATTCAAATAGACCTAATTATAAAACCAGATTTAAAAACAACTTGCAAACAGTGCTTTGTAAATACTCAAAGAGTCAAACAAACATTCAATACATGGCAGCTAAATTGTTTAATAATTTATCAGTGGAGTCTCGTGAGTTGTCCTTGAACACTTTCAAAACAAAATTGAAAACATATTTAATACAAAAATGCCCATATACAGTGGAGGATTTTTTTACATGTCAAAATATTTCTATTTAATTGTGCCTGTATTTATATATTTATATATTTTTTAATACTAGAACTTATTATATTGATTGATTACATCTAAGTATTCATTTGCTGTATTAATATAAGCATTATATATTTTATGACGATTGTTAAAACATTGTGAAATGTCTACAACAATAAATTGATTTGATTTGATTTGATAACATTATCCTGGATCATCAAAGTTTCAAGATATTTTCAGAATGTTTCTTGAATTAAATAATAAATCTTCAACCCATTCAAACTGTTACGCCATCAAATAAATATTCCAACAATTAAAAGTTTAGTATTTTACTTAATAATAAATAATCAATTATTAATGATATTTTTTATTCAAATTTAATTTAGTAACTAATAAATTGAAATTGTAAAATTACTGCGGAACTTTATTGTAAGAAACATATTTAAGGCCAAAAAGTATTATAGATAACATGTTTACTCATAATATACATTCTGCAACTAAAACATTCTCCAATTAATCTTTCAATGAGTGATTTTACTTTCATATTATTAATTCATTTCATAAGGAAGAAAAAAAATATTTAATTCATTTTACTTACTAATTTATAAAACATAGAATAATTTGGGTGTGTCTGTTAATAGGTTTTACTATTAGCATCATAAATTACACAATTTTCTAGCAAATTCATAAAAATTAATTAATTGATTAATCTCATTTATCTTGGCAGCTTAAATGGCAATAAATGCAGTCACCGCTATATTTATGTTTTACTACCTTACTAATCACAATGCACAATCTAGATTTAATGTTCTACGTTCTTGTTATTTGAGAGATAACTCCAATGAGTCAGTATTCTATTTGTCAGTTTGCAACGTGCAATGGGTTTTTTTTTAAGTTCATTGTTCATAATATTTTGTAAAACTTTGTTTGGTTTTGGTTGGCATGATGTGAATATTTGGTGATAGAACACTCTAATGATGCAGATTTCTAAAGATAATTTTACCGATTTAGTGTGAAAGAAGAACTCTGGCTTTTAGCGGTAAGTGATAAATTTGGTTATATAAAATTGATAAGATGGATGAACGATATAGTTAGATAAGAGGAATTGGCAAGAAAATTAAACTAAACAGGCCTGGGTAGCTTAGTGCATAGGCAAAGAAACAAAAGTCCCTAGTTAATTTTTTATAGTAGCTTACATCAGGTCGAGGTAATAGTTAATTGTATGTACATTATTAAATTGTTAAACCAAAAAGAGCAATCATAGATTATTAGCGATAGAAAAAAACAAATAATTTTTTAAAATTTATTTATGCATCAATTTAGGACATTAGCTAGTAACGATCTTCTATTTTGCTAGTAGTTAAGGATTTTTGATAGGATACCACACTTACCTTGTTATCTGGATGTAAAAAGACTTCATATTTGCACAATATACACAAAGATTTTAAACTAAACACAACAATTAATTAGACTATTTCATTGCCTCTTACAACATAGTGACAGTGAAATATTCTTATTTCTTGGTGAAGTGTAATTTTTTGTGTTAATTGTGCTAGGTGAAGAACTCTAGCCCTTTTAGGTTTAAGCCCGCTAGCCCCAAAAGAATCCTTGAACCCTTCTTTCATATGTTACATCATTAACATCAAACTCACAAAATTATTTTGTCTTGGATTACGTACTGTTCAAATAAAGCGATACCTAAGTAACTCTACACTTCCATGAATCAATATTTACCGCAACAATTTTAAGTAAAATTGTCAGTAAGTCACCTTGTACAATTCGGAATAAGAATAAGAATGTAAGCTTAGTAAATTCACTTACCCGATATGCACAAACATGTACGTCATATAACGCCAAGCTTCAGCCCGCTTACGGGGATTGTATATGAACAGCTGAGATACTGGGCCATCTGTGCTTACTGTGGTGTGAGTGACGGCGACGTCGTACAGGAACAAACCCATCTGTGACCAACAGAACATGTCAATAACGGAAAAGGAAACCGAAAATCATAGAATCAGAATACAATTTATGATTACGACAGCAAACAAGTGATATCATAGAAATTGAACTTAAAGTTTGTTTGTTAACTTCAGCCGGGCGCTGAGTGATCCATCCATCTTATCAGAGCCTATTACTTAGAAAACTTGTAGGTTTTTCATTGGGGTTTACAATATACATTTAAAGTATGTCTATGAAATTTGTACAGACATTGTTTATAACACATCATAAACAATACAGTTCTTCAGTCTAAAATTTTGTAGACGTTCACGACTTCTCCGTTTTCTCCACCATCACAGGGGATGTTCACAATTTTGCCGCAACCCCAGGAGATGTTAACGATTTTTCCACGACAACATCAGATATTCATGATTTCACCGTGATAATGAGGGATAATTAATGAACATTATTTTATCAAATGATCTTTTATTTTGACAACTGATGTTTTAAAATCAATACTTTCCAAAGTATCCTGATTTGAGTTTCACAGTGAACCACAGAAACAAAGAGTAGTACTTCATTTTATGTTGTTTGTTGTTGTTCCGGATCGGTATGACAAACAATAAAAGGTTAAATTACCTGTGTTCGCCAGTCGATTCTTATGTGCTGTATCCTATTACAGGAGATGCATTTTGGCAGAATAAATTGCCATCATCAGTCCTAATATAAGATCTTGATCTTCCCCATTGGGTGCGTCTTGAAGTTTTGAAAGACGTACACAAACTTTACACTTATATACATTACGAATAAAACATACAAATACACGGTAGGCCTACTTTTATTTAGTTAATAAAAGTACATGTAGACGCGCGTCGGTCGTGTGTCGAGTCTCGACTCTCCAGAGTCTTACATAGGTAATTTAACCTTTTATTGAAAGAGTAGTACTTATTATTGAAGCAATAGCAGTATGAAAATCCACGGCTCATTCAAGTTTTTAAAGTTTTAATGATTGAGTGAATACCAACATATCTGCTTGAACTTAAATCTGAATCAAAATTCAAACCAATAACAACAGAGAACACTTCATTGTAGGAAAAATACTTCCCCAAAATACGTACCTCTATTAAACTAATCAAGAGCATGCCTATAGCAGGGGGTCTGCAAGTATATTGGTCTTCATATTCCCCATCGATGATATCATCTCTAGTCCAAGTCCTTCGAGGAATCACTGAACGGACGTAAGAGTTCATGTAATGATTGAACAGGTGCCTTCCCTCATCGCTCTCCACCTTAAAACATATAAAACAACATGTAGTTTCGTATGACGATATACAATAGGAGACAATCCCAATTTAGTTTATTATATAAAATCGTCAGCTTTCCCAGGAGTAAGATAGTCTGCTTGTATATTTATTAGTATCATGTATTATTTATTAGTGGTGTCTTAAGTATTATTGGATAACAAGAACAAAACTTGAGTTTGGTCCTATTATAAAGGCTGAAAGTATGTTTAGTTTTTAATAACCATGTTAACACGTTCAGTGCAGCAGGCATTCCAACACGCGGCACCGTAACAGCGAACGCAATTGGCATTCAAATATTTCAATCTAACGAATAACAAAAGAGCAGCGATGATTGTACTATGTTACCCCGAGATTGGACGTAAAACACCCAAAGGTTGCTGCACTGCCTGGATCAGTAGTCAATGGCCTTGTAATATGGCTTGAAGAGAGAAAATCCCCAAAACCGGGACAAAAGCATTGTCAGATGGGATTTTACGGGAAATTTTAGTACCAACCTACACCAAAATAAAGCTAACATTCTAAGCTACAGGCTAGCAACGGTTTTAACGTTCCCCGGCAATGGCTGAGCTCATACTGAACTATTGTAGTGGGGATTGCGCAACTACATCAATTGATGTAGGGTGGTTGGAGCCAGCACTGAACGTGTTCACCTTGTTCTTTAGTAATTTAGTCTGGCACATGTACCGGAACATTTAATTTAAAGTTAAAACAAACAAATCTGTAACATTAACCCATTGAGGAAGACACACGAGTCTGACTCGATGCTGCTCCGGGTGGACTGAACACCGACACACGAGTCCGACTCGATGTGTGCGTTGCGTCGTAATTATTGACGTAGTTCTAAGTTTTTCCGACAGATGGTGTTGCCATGTCCTTCGCGAATGTCTGAACTGACGAATAGCATATTGTTTTGGTCTGTTGGCCATCCTGTTGTTTTTTTATTTCATTTATTGTAAAGCGTCATCTGCTCGTGTTGACGTTTGACGGCAGACGAAACCTCCCACCGTTTACCGAGTGTTTGTTTTGGTTATGTTTTGATTATGTTTTGATTATGGATCGTGAAAATTTACATTCTTCTGAGGTAGATCGTTATTTAGACAGTGATTATGAGTTCGACTTTGAAACGTGCAGTGACGAAAGTGTTGAGGACATAATCGTATAATCGTTCATCACGGTGACAAAAATGAACGGCCTGTGGACTTCCTTGAATTTAGGCCTACCGGTAGTCCTTCTAATTACCAATCTCGGCTATCACCGAGATTATTTGATGAACTTGAAGAGGAGTTTGATCAGTATGACAACTTTCAGGTAGGCCTAACTAATAATAATCCTACTGATGAAGTGGATATGGTTCCAAGTACAAGCACTGGTATGGAGCCCAGGCCTAGCACTTCTACTATGGAGCCCAGGCCTAGCACTAGTACTATGGAGCCTATGCCTATATCTATGCCTTGTAGTAATAATTCTGTTTCTAATCTTGAGGCTAATAGGCCTACTACAAAAAATGTATCTAGTAAAAGGAAAATAAAGCTTCCAGATTCGGAAAAACCTAACAAAAAAATGAAACCTACAAATAATTCTCTGGTTACCAAAAAACAAAAACCTGGTAGGCCTAAGAAATCAATTACACCACTAAAAGGCAAATGTAGGCCTAACAATAAAAAAACTTCAAAAAAGCCTAAAAAAGGTAAAGGTAAGAAACCAAAGTTCGTCGATAGCGATTGTCCTTGGTTGGATGTAAAAATGTCCCTAAACAAATTGAATTCCGCGGTGTACCTGGAATAAACGTACACACACTTCCTAGCTTAGGTGAGAACCCAACAGAATTAGATACATTTATGCAGTTTGTGGGGAATGAATTCTGGGATATGGTAGTTACAGAAACCAATGACTACGCTAGAAAACTGTTGGGAACCCCTGGTAGGAAGATTTTGAAGACTGATAAAAAGTGGGTAGATGTTACTAGGGATGAGCTAAAAGTGTATTTTGCGCTCTATGTGAATATGGGTCAGGTGAAGAAGCCAGAACTCAAACACTATTGGTCCCACAGACAAATATTAGAGACACCTATCTTTACCAACACAATGTCATTTGAGAGATTCACAAACATATCTCGATTTCTTTATTTTTACGATGAAAACACTGAAAGTGACATCCAGAATGATAAGTTGAAAAAACTGAGACCCGTTATAAGATATTTAGAGACGAAGTTTCTACACATGCTTGAACCTGAAAGAAATATCACCCTAGAAACACTTCTAAAAATGAGAAGCAGGCTCGGTATAATCCAATTTAATCCCATGAAAAGGGCCCGATTCGGAGTTAAAATTTATGAAGTATGTGAGTCTTCCTCTGGGTACTGCTGCACATTCAAAATATATGTTGGGGATGACAAAGTTGACGACACATTGGCTAGTGAAGCTGTCACACTTGATTTGCTGCAGCCTTTTTGGGGAATGGGGTATGTTGTCTACCTTGATAATTGGTATTCCTCCCCCCTCCTGTATACTAAGCTCATTGAAAAGGATACACATGCTGTGGGTTCTGCTTTATTGAAAAGGAGATGTATGCCACAAGTATTCAAGCATGTTGAGCTGCAAAAGGGGGAAGCGATCAAACGATCTGGTCGGGGCGTCCTTGCTGTGAAATGGAGCGATCGCAAACATGTACATATGATATCAACTGTACACGAAGACATTGATATGGAAGTATCCAAAATTGTGAATGAAGGAGACCAACAAGTAGAAATAAAAAAACCTAAATGTGTCATCGACTACAACCAAGGTATGTTGGGTGTAGATCGACAGGATCAGGTCTTGTCGACCTTTCCTATAATGAGGAGAACTGTGAAGGCCTATAAGAAGATTTTTTTTTATCTTCTTGATATGACACTCTACAATGCATTCTGCATTTTCAAGAAAATCAAGAAGATAAAAAAGATGCATTTCACTGACTTTCGACTAAACCTCGTCGAACAGATTTTGACCTCAGTTACGATTCCGGCCAAGACGTCGCCTGGAAAAGCCCCAATTAATCCGTCCCCATTGCGCCTTCAGTCAAAGCAGTGGGCACATTTTCCTATGAAGGTCCCACCCACAGAAAGTAAACTTCATCCAACAAGAGCTTGTAAAGTATGTACAGCAAACAAGAAGAGGTCTGAGACTGCATGGATGTGCGAACGGTGTAAAGTTCCGCTGCATCTTGAGAAATGTTTTGTGGCTTTTCACACCAAGCTGAACTACTAAAATCCTGTAGCTGAACATGTATATAGTGTAAATAGAACTTAGTGACTAATGAACTAATGAACCCAGTGTTTATAAATTTTATTTCAATGTAATTTTCCATGACGACCAAATGTTGCTGAAATCGCATCAAAATGCAGAATTGTAAGTAATCACAAAACTTTTTATTGCATGTTTATTTTTATAGATACCCTATAAGGGTAATTTTTTGTTTCCACGTAAAAAAATAAAATTAAGTTTCAGAAAATATATAGTTATGATGGTTTATACAGTTCAAAATAATTTTTATTTCATTTTGCTTTTGAAATTTAAATTTTTTTTTTATTTTTATTATTTTTTTTTTATTTTTTTTCATATGCTCAATAACTATATACTTTTCTTAAAGAACAGAAAGTTTTCTACAAAAAAAAAAAAAAAAATTATTAGTTTATCACTATTACTAACTGTTTTACAAAAGTTTTACCAATCGCCTGCAAAACAGCTGATTTTAACTGCCTCCTGAAGGGCTGTTCGGAATCAAGTATACTGCTTCCTTAATGGGTTAAATGTGTAGATCTAATTTTGTCACACACACTGAACATGTGAATTACTTTTCAAACAATCATCTGATTTTCTCAACCAGATATTGTTGGATATCAACTTTAACCTCTTTTAACCTTGCATTTGCACATGGTCCACAGAGGCCTGTGCATGGAACATAGCCTATCCAGCAAAGCATACCGTGAGCCGGTATAGTTCAAAGGTGAACTGTACCGATAAAATGTAGTGGCAGGTATCAGGATCCGAACTCACTGTCACTATTTATTTATTTAAATTCATAGTTTTTATCAGATCACATTGATACAAGAATGCCAAAGTGTGTATTTTAAAGCAAAGATAAGTGAGTGAGTGTGGAATGAATGAAAGGACAGCTTTGATACTGACTAAAATCAGTTTGTTCTATAGCCTGGGCCATTTATTTAAAGCCCCATGATCAAAAACATCTGGAACAAGTTTCAAACCACCAAAAAGCTTATGAATCTTCTCAGGATCGAATGAGCGACCTTTAGATTACCAGGCAAGTATAACCACTTAGCTACCCAGCAATATGTTGTGTATACATTATGTACAGACAGTTTGATTCTGTTACTCACCAACTTGAGAAACTCATGGAACTCAAGGTAACCATTCCTGTCAGCGTCGGCATTCAAGAGTATCTGCTTGACAACTCGATCCGGTATGTCGTGGTTGAATCTGTTACTTCTCAACATCGTCTTGAATTCAGCCAAGGCGATCCGACCATCTCCATCCACATCGTACTGTACAAGTTACAATACATCAGCATTGAACAAAACACTTATGTCCTAAAATATTTTATACAATCTAAATTAAATCATACAAGTTACAGTTATTTGTACAGTACACATTTATCATTTTAAAGTTGGCCACCATATTGGAAATTTGAAAAACTAAGTTCATATTTACAATGGTTACTTTTTTTATTTTAGTGTCCCAACTTCAGATCCTAGGACGCTAAGTTCTAGTCTGGAACTGTTTTACACATTACTTCAGGCTACTCCTAGAGGGTCGCAGCATTATCACATAAATAAAGACTATTGGTGATCGGCCCTCGATCGGCCGAAACCTCGGGTACCAAAGCCCGAGCTCTACCACTAGACCAGCTTGCCAAATTTACAAGGGTTACAAAAAGTAGAATAAGTTTCAAAGTTAATGAATTAGATATATTTTTTAACTATACTTAAGATAAGTTGTTTTTATCATTTTCACTAACTGCATTCATTGCTGATACATATTTAACTTTATACAAACATTTTATATTATATTATTTAACTGTTACTTTGTAATATTGAGTATAATTAATGGTTTTTAACCATAGCTGTTTTTGGTAATTTCCCAGTAACTGTTGTAGACTCTTGTAATCAATAAATACAATTTCGATAAATAATATTCATAAATTTGTGGTGCCCTATGTAAAATGGACACTACATAATGTAAATAATATAAAAATATTACAAATCTACACTACACTGTTCAATGTATTCTAAGTGTAAATGCAGTGACCCGATATTGGGAAATCATAACATAACAACAACACTTCTGAGTCATGCATTAGTAAGCTTGTTAACAATGTGTTACTTGGTAATTACTGGAACCAAAACAACCAAACAAGCAGAATTGGTCATGTTTCTTGTTGGAAACTAAGATTTCACTAGATAAGTATGCAATCTACTTACCCTATTGAAGATATGATGCCAGTGCTGTAAAAAAGGGGGGAAATTAGAATATGGCAAAAGAGAATAGTTAAAGGTCTTGATATTTATTGTTTCAAAATTATATAATTGTTTTATTTTTGAATCCTGTAGTTCTTATGGGCAATAGACTCTTTAATACATATTTGAAAGGTTCAGATTGATGAAATATAGCCTAATCAATTTTTTTTATTGACTGACTAAACGATTTTAACAGAATACTTGTTTTATAGTAGGCCTACAGTAGAACTAAAAATATTCAAATCAATAGGCACCGGATAGTAAAAAATTTGGATAGTTGGTGTTTCGGAGAGTTGGTGTTCGTATAATTGGAGTTCTACTGTAGGCTAGTACCTGTGGTATAGTTGTACTACTACAACAGGTTTTGCACTTCAATTTCTGATTGGTTTACTACATAGCACAAATAACAAGCATTGGTGAATATGGTGGTGTTTTGATTTATTACACTACAACTTAGTAGGTGTAGTGCAACATAAGTTGGCAAACCTGAATGTCGAACTTAGTATCAGTAAAGAAGCGTAAGTGACACATAAGTTTTCATTGTTGAGACCACTATAGGCTAAAGCATAGACAAATAGAATAAATATAGACTCTCAAAGGAAGGTTCCGCGATATGCCGCAAGAGCGTGCTCGGTGTTCGATTCGCTGCAGTCGTCAGCTCCTCGCTGTATGCTACCAGCAGACGCTGCAGCGGTGTACACCGTAACTACATGTCACTCCTCACTGCTGTCGGTCTATATTCAATTCTTTTTGTCTATGGCTAAAGTGATGGAATAAAAACATCTTGAACAGTAATTATAATTGCCTACAAAGTAATTAATACCCCCAGCCGCAGCAAAACTGTAGACTAAGGACATTTCCATTTGCCTGATTGGATTTTTGCAAAAGTATTTCCTTAAATACAGTATGTCACATTTATTACCCATTTAAATAAAATTATATCTAACAAGTACTTGTTTGTTGCAACAGGGAAAATAAAAAGTTTTTCTTTTATTGTTAATAGTATAGTATGAAATGAGTAGGTGAATTTGATCAAAATATATCAATAAGGAAACAAATTACAACAGCTTACTTTTTTCTCCATAAGAATAAGATGGGATTTTAAATGTACATTGGGCATTTTTTCTGTTATCTTTAATTGTACAACAACGCTTCAATATACTAAATTATTTGTTTTTTAATTTCCACTTCGATAAAATCCATTGATGATTTGGCGGGATTTGAACCCGGGGAAGTCCCGCACTCTAACTACTAGACCAGCTCGCTCCCTCAACACATTAACAAACAGAAATAACATAATTCAAGACCCTTCTCACCCCCTTTGTGGTTTAAAGTAGGTAATTGGATTTGATATAGGCTACCAAAGTAACATAATAAAATTCCAGTTTGTGCAGCATAGATTCACAAATATTTTTTTGGGTAGGTACTTTAAGAAAATTAACACTTAATACTTAGTACTTACATTCTCCACTGAAACCATTTGAATCCCTTGATGTTCTGGTTGTTTTCTCGCCATTTTGCTAGAAAAAATTTAGTTTAGTTTTCAGTCAAGAATAAAGGATTACAGATACTAAACTATATATTGTAAGTAACACAAACTTACTGTCCACTACTCACTTCTGTCAAATACAGACTACTATGTTTATCAACTTAACACTTAACTGATAAAAATATGAGCTGAATGAGTCACTGATTTTGCTGTGCTTAATAAGATGAGTCAAACATGATAAAGTATCCACTTGAGATTAAATGACACGATTGAATTGATTTTCATAATTGATAATGATGATTTATTGAATAACTTCCAATTTATAATCAAGCTTTTAAAAACAAATTACAATTAAAATAACAATTCGCTTAGCCTAGTGGTAAAAACTAATTCAATTCACACACATAAACAAAATTCAAAATGCATTATTCCTACAGTATGTAGGCCTAGTAAATAATTATTTTAGTAAAACGCAATAAAAATGTGTTCGCTTTAAATAAATTATATCTAACTTAAAGTTAACATGAATATTTGACAGTTATGCGGGTAAATTGAAGCAAACTTTAAATTCTAACAAAAAAAAAAAAAGAAAATTCTTATTACTGTACGGTACCAGTTTTAATTTTTATGTCTACGTTTGAATAGTTTTAGGGTTTTTGGGTGTGAATTACGGTCTGATTTTGAAACCTCAGAACGTAAGTTTACCAGCAACAAAATTACAATATAGCCCCTATAGGTAAAGGGCCAATGTAGCCCATTAGTTTTGGACAAACACGGTAGATGATTACAACGTCACCACAATCGTTGGAGATGATCACATTAGTGCCGCGATTACGAATCATAGTTAGAGTGGATTTGTGATGGATGCACAATAGCTTACACTAAATTTACAATTGGCCTACTCTTAGCTATATTGGAGAGTGGATGCACAATAAGCTTCGGTTGACGTGCCTGAACGACGAGTCCACCCCTCTCACAATACAGTATTGGAGAGTCCATACAAAACCACTGCCCGCGATGAGCATGGCCGCCATGCCGGAAATATCAGGGAACCACTGGAAAAAACGTTGGTCCTGATACTGCTCACTGAGCAGCAAAATACCAGCGCTTTGCTCAATTGCAAAGTGGTTAAGCAGACCGTCAGATGTCCTGCTCCTTTGCAGGCTAACACATTGAAGCCTATGGGCGCTAACAGGGCTCTTATGCATATATCGTATTAATTCAAAAAGTATTTAATGTACTTTTTTAGTTTTAATTATTCCCCTGTACGTTAGGATAGTAAAAATTAAAAATATTAAATAAATCAAATCATGTTTAATGAAACAAAGTCACTTATACTAACAAAATTACAAAAGTATTAAAATGTGTTGTATTTATTTGAATTTTTTAATATTTGCCAGGTGATTTTTTGGTCCTTTGTGCAGCCTAAAAAAAACAAGTATATACGGACTTTGACCGTTCTTCCATTGATTGCAATGGAGTGTGTCCGATATTCCCCTGCATACCCTCAACGTTTTGTATTATAGCGTGGAATCTGTTCGTTATTCCAGAGTGTAAATTGCACGTGGTTATAAAACTCACTCAGACGAACCAGTATATACTGGTATCTCATTTTCTGAATTTTTGGAGTTTGATCATTCTTTCCCTGCACCCTTCAATTATTATTGTCCTGTAAATACTGGATCTAGGCTATTGAATATTGGTTTTTGAGCTCTTTACCAGAAATAATCCACAGTGATATAGCCATGTCTACTACGCTGGATTAAAAATTTTTACATATTTCATGATGCCATCCCTTTAATTTTTTAACTACATAATTATAAAATATAGCTAAATAAGGGAAACTATTTTCAATAAAATCTTTTTGGCCATTCCAAAGTAACGTACATGTTACAGCGGCCGACATATAAACAAAAATATTTCATGAAACAATAGTTAAGTTTAACTATGAACTGGTGTATGGCATTAAAGAATGTTTACTCTATAAAAACATGTGATTGTTTTTACACTACCCTCTGTCATTTTACAAGTATATGTGTTTAAATGTGATAACGTCTAGGTTACACACATGGAAGTCAGATTTGTGTGCCCTTACTTACAATGTGAAAGGTCTGTGAACCTAGAAGGTATAAAAATCTAAAAATTTTAGAGACCATTCTTTAGTTAGAAAAAAATCATGAAATGGAAATTACAGTAAACCTCTGTGCGGTTGCACCTGTTCGGTAACATAGGTTACGGACAGGTTAACGTAGGTTTCAATTTTTTAGGAACTTAGTTAGGCCTATAGTCAGAGCATTTATTATGAATCCAATTTTAAAGTAGGCGGTCACATGAAATAAACTAATTTGGAGTGGATTAAAGTATATTTATGTAATTGTCTTGTATTTATACTTAAATATAAGTAGGCCCATAGCACAATTTGCAAGGTACAACAAATCAAAGAAAACCATACTTTTACGTTTCATAAACCCCCTCAAGTTCACATACGTTAGGTACCGTACCCAATAACTTTTTTTCCTAAAGTTAGGTAGAAAAATGTAAAAAAATGTGTTACATAACCTCAACTTAAAGTTAAACTTAGGCTACCTTTGTATTAAAAGTTTCATTAAGTTAGAATTTATTTGTTAATAAAGAAAAAATAGGCTAATAATATTTTTATATTTTCGGTAATGTAGGTTAAGCTTAGGCCTACATAAGGGATTTACAAATTAAACTTGAGTAGTTATAAAATACCGTACTTAAGTTACTTTGAAAAAAACAAATGCTTGTCGCTAAATAGTTATTGCCCAAAGTTTACTCTTCATAATCAAATAAAAAAAAACAAGCAGCTAAACAGGCAGAGAATTAAACCGGTAATACCCTCAAATTCTGCCTTTTGCATCGTAAGCAACCACAACAGTTAAACATATTTGGATTTAGAAGAAACATAAACTGACTTATTCAAAAATAACTTTAGCGCCAAAAGTTATCGGTTGTTAGCTCCTTATTTGGTACTTACGTATTATACGGAGGCCACTTATTTTACAGCGCACTCCGCTGCGGCGGTTGGGTTAAGTTGGGTTATCATAAATATGTTTGTAGAACTTTGCTAGTTTCGTTATGAATCGAACTATACGAGATGAGTCATAAAAATTTATGATAACCCAACCTAACCTAACCGCCGCAGCGCGCTGTAAAATAAGTGGCCTCCGTATAAAGTAAAAATAAAATATATACCGGTAAGTTAGGCTATTTTATTTTATAAATGTTGTTTTTTTGGTTGATTTTATTTTGTTTAAAAAATGCAAAATGCTGTACCAGTATGCTGTTGGTATTGTAAAATAAAATAGGCCTATACTAAATAAATACTGTGTTTCTCAGTAGGCATATAGTACTTGATGAATGATATTAATAGGTAAAATGTAAGCCCAAAGTGGTAATGGGTCACCAGGACAACAAGTTTAAGGAGCCACTGACATACAGGTGTCCTATAGGTTATATGCCTTAAAAACAACATAAATTGGAACCGAACAATAGAAGCATTTGAAAGCACTCTTCAAGCATGTTGACATGTACATATTTATTTCACTTATGATGTAAAGTATGTCTAGTGTACAAAAGTAAGACAATCTAGTCCTATTTATACATCCACTGCAAACTAACCTAAACATATACCTAGGTTTGTACCTATAGCCTATGCCAGCATACTTACACAATATTAGCTAATTTGCTTAATGTGTTTTCAGCAATAGTAAGTTATGTGTAAATGGACTCAATTTACATAAACCTATAAACACTTTTCGTACTAATTTTATTTAGAAAATATTTTACATTAACTTAAGTCGCTTAGGACAGTTGTGTACACATCAACATCAACAAAGTAATGCTCTTTTTTTTTGCTCTTTTCTCTTTTAGTCTTTTACTTCTTCTCTAACTAGTCTGCTTGGTTATTTGGTTAGCGCAAGGCAATGGGTTATTGCTTTCTCGCAGGTGTCTCCCATTCCCTCCACACGACCAAAACTAAAACCCCACTTAGCCCGGACGGGCGGCCGGCAAGGCAGTTTTTAAAAGTTAATAGCATTTAATGTAATAATATGAGTGCACCCTATACGGCGGGACGGCCCGCAACGGACGTTCGGTAGCTTCCGCCGTTTGTTAAAAAGTCCGGGAAACAGAACTCTAGACCATTTCCGAGCTGCCGTACCGACCGGGAGCACTGCACACCGACTGGGTGAGCGGCAATGGACTTCCACCATTCTCAACTTGTCTCTGTCAAAGTTGCAGTGTGTTCGTGTGTCCTGGAAGGAGAAGGAGGTTAAGAAGACATCCGAGCTTCTCGTGAATCATTCGGAAATATTGAAAAGCTTTCACACCATCCTCTACAAGATCAGGACACAAGGTGTGGAACTCTCCAAAACTTAGTATTTTCCTGTTTATGTTGTGTATCCAAAATCTTTGCTTCCGCCTTCTTGTCTCCTACTCTTCCTCTGCTAAAATTAAACCTACTATCACCACTTTATCTACATCCATCTTTTAGTCACAAGATTTAGCTCGCAGACTGTCAACTGTCCTAAATTGCGGATGTCCCGTCCCGTCTGTCCGTGCCATTCTGCCCTAGTGCGCGCACCATCTCTTAAAAATTCCGCTCGTACGGTCCGTCCGTGCCGTGCCAACGTAGTGCGCACGTAGCTATAAACCGGGTCAAGAAAATCCTGATTTATTTCGTTTCCCAGTACTAGTACAGTAATTTAAATTCCGTTTTATTTTGCATGATTTTTTCACTCTATCTCTATTCCAGTATCCCGAGTTAGATTAAAGATGTATCATTGTAGCTAAATAGCTCTTTGAACCTTGTTACGATGCTGCGCTGCAATAATTTAATCAATTGGGGCTAGTTTTTATCTGGAAGAAGCGGTGTAAAAATAAAATTAATCGTTGGAGTGAAACCCCTCCTTTTATTCCGCATGTTTTTTTAATCCCGCGCATGGTCATATCTTTGCTAACATTCTGTCGTTGACTATTTCATCTATCCAGTAAATGATTAATCTAACAGCTTATAATGAAATTCAAACGAAATGGTTTACTGTCAAACTAAAGAGTTCATGACAATCGTCATAAAAAAAACTTCCAATATGGCTTTAGTTTTACTTTTACAATTGCGTTAAACTTAAATTCTAAATTTAAATACTCTTCTTGTTTTTACAAGCAGGCCTGGGTTAGCCTATAATGGTTTTTAACATTTTTGAGTTAAAGAACAGGCAGGTTTTTGATGCTGACTGGCAAGAGATAGTGCATTTTATAACTCAGTTGGTACTCAAAACTGTTTTGAGAGGCTGTATAGTGTGTAACATGTTTTACTGTTGTTTGTTGTATTACTGAATTTTTCATTCCAAGTTCCTATGACAAAGTCAATTTCATGTATTTTGATTAAAGAATAAATGTCTTACCATCAGACAAAAAAGTAGATCTGAAGAAACCTATACTGTATCCTTAATAGGTCCAAGATGTATGGAGTAAAAGTTTGATAAGTTTGATTGAGGGCACAGCCCCAGACTTTAGAACATTTTTACATTCCCTAAACCCAATAGTTCTGATATTAAATTACTTTCAAAATCTTCTGATTAAAGTGTTCTAAACAAATATAAGAATTGATGGATTACAAAAATCGTTTCTTTTGCACCTTTCAGTCCAGACAGAGCGTTTATTATCTTTCTTCTGAAATCTAAAATATCGCTCAATGTTGGATCAAGTTTTCGTTTTAGACTTAAAATAACTGTTTAAATCTTATAATAACAGAAAGTGAACTATTATAAACACACCGAACAAACGCGGAATCATACAAAAAAAAATCTTCTTGCACGAAAATAATAAAGTCTAAAATGAAATTTAAATATATATATATATATATATATATTGGCCAACAAGACTTTACTAATGTTACTTAAAAATAAATTGCAATTCAACTAATCTAACCAAATTTAGTTCTGTTATATATGTTGAATTTAATATTAGTTGAAGAATTTGTAGCAGCAAATTGCATGCAATGTTCGATATCGACTAATACACTGAATGATCAAATCTCTTGAATAAAAATCATTATTTTTCAGACAAAGACATTCGTTTCATAACGTAAAATCGTTTTAGTTTTTTCATATCAGCTTAAATCGTGTCGGGATCAGTCAAGTTTGAGTGTCTAGCATATGTATCCAGCTGCGAGGCGGCTTGGGCCCGGACTGCAATGACGTCATTATCACGCACAGTCCGCTCAGTCTAGCCCACCTTTTTACTCCATATGGAAGAGAGGTCAACCAAGCCTACAACTCCAGTTGACCGTTGACCGCGTCGTTAGGTGACATCGACATCATAGATAAAACACACCTCAAGGAGGGTGTATGTTTCATCTATGGCTACAGTACTTGTGTTACAGTATTCATGAAGAAGAAAAAAACAAAAAAAAACAATAATATTTATTTATTGCCAACGTATTTCAACAATTTACTATTGAATTACATAATATGAGTAGATAATAAAATTATTGACAATATTATTGTCCTAGTGGGATTTACACTTTATCATTGAGGCAATCATGACTTGATTTTAAGACAATAATCCTTCCGTTTTATCTAATTATTTGGTCTGCACCATACCATTTTATTGAATTTTTAAATTATTTGAATCATAGAGTAATTTTTTCTAGGATCTGGAATAATACGTGTTTATGAATTTGAAATTTTTAAGTTAAATATAATAATAAGATTTTAAATGTTAAAATTTCAAATAATATATATTCTTGGATGTATTATGTGATATTTTATAATCAATAAGGGTTATTCGGTTATCATCTTCCAATTATCGGGTAAACATTTGTGCAAGTGGTGGCAGCACTGTTTTTAGTATGCATTTTGTTAACAACTTATCTTCCAGTAGTCATATAATCATATTCTTATTTTTCTGAATTTCACTTTGACATAACCAAATCAGTTTTCTTCAATGTAAGATTATATAGAATTTTTAATTTAGAAAATAGACCGCCAAAATAACGCTTAAACACTAGATAAATTTAACCCATGATATTTTCATAACATTACCAAATATGGATGTATGAATTTTGAGGCGTTGGAATTTAACACCATCCATTTGTGATCAGTTGTGTGCTTTGAACATAATACCATAGTGCTGAATTGATTCCCTACTATGATTAAGTGATGGGTTACTCCCTTTTAGTATAAAACATTAGTGCTTTTATTTGGAGTTAACTAAAGGTTTAGTAAGGTTATGTTTGCAGTGTGATTACAGTTTTCTCAATCTAGCCTAGGCTCTATTATTTCTAAGGTGAGTGAAGTAAGATTATGCCTACTAGCCTAGGTGATAGGCCTAGAATATCTAAGACTATTCACTACTGTAGACTCTTTTATGTATGATGGACATGAACAATGGTACAAAGTCATGATGGTTGTATAGCCTATTTATGAGATTTGAACTAAGTTGGCTGCATAATTAAAATTTGGTGTCAGGCTTCTAGCTTTTGCTTAGTTTTATCAATGAAACCTCTACCTACTTTACTTATTCAATTTGGCTCTTGATAATCTCAGTTCAGTTCAGTCAATGAATGTGTAATTATGTCCATCCCTATTTGCGTCAAGTTTTCTACTTGCCATATTAGTTTAAGCCACAGAGAGGTAAGATACAGAGGATTCAAGCTTATGGGACAACCATTCACTTTAGGTAGGGAAAGAAATGTAGGTACTTGTACCGAGCAAGGAAGAGCCTGAACGGTGATGGCCACATGGGCTAGCATTTCTGTACCGTACATCAGTTGTAACGCACGGGGTCTTCCTATAGTGTGAGCGCTGTAGTACGTGATGGCGAGGGGGGAAAGCAGAGCGAAATGGGACGACGAATATCATTTGCTCTAGATACCAGTGACTGGTGCCTTAACCTCTGAATCCTCCTCTGCGAAATTAAGCCCAGGGTAGACCCATTAATTAGATCCCTTTTACTTGTGTTGGTAGTTTCTTGGAAATTATACATAATAAGATTACCATGGGAACTTATAGTAACGTAGGCCTATGGTTAGAAACTAACTTAGATGTTTACCTGAAAACAATGCTCAAAATTTGTTCTGAGTAGACAAAATTACTCAAACCCCTATCGTTTCAATTTTGTTACTGCAATAACTCTTCTCTGCTTGTCTCAGTCGCCATTAATGTATCAGTGAATTGAATGGGCTTACTACCTAACACAAAAACACGAAGGATTGAAAGGATCGTCTAGGGTCATTAGAGAGGGTCACAAGAACAATAGAACAGATTCAGTCTAACGGACATTGCAAACTTTTCTTCATATCCAATGAAATCCTCACCCTACCATACCTCTATCATTACCCATTTTGTGAAGGGGGCGAACAATTGTATGTTTTAGTTCAGTCGGAAACACCCCTCCTCTGAACAAGGAATTAATGAGATGAGTGAGGGGAGAGCATACCTATGAGATCACTGATTTTCTTTAAGACTTGAGGAAAATTCATCATACCCAAATAATGACTTAAGGTTTTAATCCCATAATTTTATATGCATTGCTTCTGTCTCAGTTGTGTGAAACAAGTAGAAAGAGCTCTAAAGATGTGCTGAAGGCATTTTGAGAAGATGACCTTTGAACAACTGTCGAGTAAACATTGTTGAAAATACTTGAAACCTCAGTAAAGTCCTTCCTTAAATATACATGATAGCTTTTGTATAATAACCTAAAATAAACTAGGTAAACCTAAATTTTTTTTATGTTCAGTAGTCATCCAGAGTGAGGAAATGTAGGCCTAGTGAACAGAGTAAAATTTAAATTTGCTCACTATCATACTTTTCCTCACTCCATATGACAACAGAGAAAAAGTGCTGAAAAGTGAGCAAAGTTACATGTTGAGGAATCAGCTCTTTTTCAAACAAATTCTTGTGAGTAAACTTTTAACGACAACTTTAGACATCCTTATTTATTTGTTAAAGAGTTCTTTCTATTGTTTTTACTGTTAATGGTCTACATCGTGGACAAATGTTTGATTCTTGATGAGAAGAAAATTCGTAGAACAAATAGGCTATCATTCTAATCTATGGGATTGTTCACCAAAAACTGATTTCAAGCAAAGTATCACACCAATTAAATAGGTACTGAATTCTTACAACATGTATGTCCATAAAATCTGATTAAAAATACTGTCAGCACAAGCTCTTCTGTAGATATATCATCTTAAGAGGCGTTCAGACAGAGATTCTCAGTTGCCGGAACTGGCCGTCACTTTAACATGGATCGCATATTTTAATTCCTCGTTTTCTCATCTATCCTTGTTTCAAAAATTATTTCACGCTCTCATAACATTGTAAATGTACGGTATGTAGGTTTAAGACTGTACACTGTATAAAAATTATGAGTACACACGGTACATAAAAAGTATATAGGCTAACCTACTTTTTAATTACAAGCCAAATATAAAATAACTAATTTCTTACATTTCCCATAAGGAATTGCAATACTTTCCGCTAAAATATAAAAATAACTAGCGCTATGAACAATTATAGTTTGAACGCCATATTAAAGAGCTAATTGGTTTATTCAGTATCAAAAATAATTTTTTTTTATCGTTAACATTATGTTTTTTTTTTTTTTTAAAGCTAGCAAATAAGCCGTGCTTACCGACCTAAGTAGGCTACTAGTTCGACGATGTCCCGGCCGATGGCAGCGCAGTCGACCGCCGACAACAGACCTGTTACTAAACAAGCGCGCTAAAACTATTCATTTAAACTGACCACAATTTCACTCAAATATGTACGGTATCGTTATGTCGTTTTATCTTATTATGTACCTATTTACAATTAATAGGGACACACAATTAATTATAATTAATCTTTAGTCTAGGGTCATGTCGTTATGTATTTACAAAGCCAAGCAAGTTATGATATTTCACAGGCATCTAAGTAAAAAATATTTTGTTTATGTCGGAAAAATCTAAAATTAATTAATTAATACATAACTTTTGCATAGTAAACATTTTTTTGCGTAGTAAATCATGCAATGGTGAATATTCGCTGGTGATAAACACTTTTTCGTCCTACCCACGGTACTGAAGTAATCAGTTGTACCTATATACTGTAATCAAAACAGCTGGTTTACAGCCTATGCATAAGGGCACATTCTTACATTTTTAATGAGAAAAACTAATCAACGTAAACGTCATTTCATTGAAAGTTTGAAACCAGCTATTAGTTAAACCAAATATATTGCACTGAAACAATATGGAGTGAGGTAATTTGAACAGTTATCAAAGCTTACTACAAAATATGCTATCAATAGTTTGATTGTGAGTAATGTATTTTTGCTTTTTGGATGCTACTAAAGACAGAACGAATGAAAGAGAAGACGAGTTTTGGAATAAGATGGTTGTTACCAAACTCAAATAATTTTGCATGAACTGTATATTACACAACGATCACATAAGACCAATAGATGGAGCACGCCCATCTAAATAACATTAAAGCAGATGAAGCCAGGTCCGCCATCTTCCTGTAGGCTAGAAGCACTAGATGTCGATGAAAACGGCACCAAAACTCAATGTTCCGCTTTAAAATAACTCGACTTTTAGCCTATTTAGACTAATGTTAAATCGTTGAAACTTCGTATGAATGATATCAATAAGTCTAGGACACTATTGGTTCTAATTAAAAGCTTAAAAGTTAATATTTTCTATTTTAAATCTTCAAATAAAGTCAATAATTTTAAATGAGTTTTAAAATATGACATGAAAAGTTCGTCGGCTGCTACCTTTTTTATTTTTTGGTCAGGTAAGTTGAAAAACAGTGGATTTTGTAGCTAAAGAGTTGAATTTTTTGGATCATATTTTTACAAATTTTTAGCTGGTGTAGATTGGTTGTAATTTAAATTGTAATATAGAGACTACCCGCCGCGCCGCGTTGCGTCATGCGGGCAGATTCTGCCTACAACCTCACTTGTAATACAGTTTAGATACTAAAGATTGGAGCTATACAGAAAAGTTACTAAAATAATTAGAAAAACACGGAGTACATATAAATGTTCTTCGTTTTATTCTTTGCATTCATTTAAAAATTAATATTTTTTAGCTCTTTCACAAAAATTAATATGCCAGTTAGAATATAAAGAAGAGTTGTATAAAGATTTTCAAGAACTAGGCTATCTTCTGACTTTGAAAATACATTGTAAACCAAACGCCAGAACTTTATCAAAATTTAATACAATACAGATACATATATTATAAATTAATTTGTAGCTTTTCAGAATTTTTCTTTCGCCCAAAAAATTTTTGTTGTTAATTATGTAAACTAACTTTTTCCAAGAAACGGTTAACGCTAGAAAACAAAATAAAAGCGTATTTTGAAGGTCATTGTGTTAGTAATAAAAAAATTTATAATATAATGGCATATTGTCACGGATATCTTTGATATAAACTAACATTTAATTAGTTGCCCCCGCTGTTAGGGCTCATCACAGCCGGCAGCCGGCATCTCAGTGAAGATTGGTGAAAAATACTGGCTTCACGTCGCGGCCAACATGCTCCATCTATTGGTGTTATGTGATCGTTGATATTACAGGTTGTATGCTTGAGTTTATTGAGCAAAGCTCTTTGAGATCGGGCCTTATGCAAACTTTGTAATTGAATCATACAATAGTTACTGGTTTTGGAGCATGATTCATGCTAGAAATGTGCTCGTGTGTTGATTAAATGTTTTTATTAGCATAACAAATAATACTGTATTGATGTATATAAATGGAAAAATTACAACAAGGGTTTTGAACAAGCCCAGTGTATTTTTAAACCCAAAGTAACTTTAACTTTCTCAACAAAATAGCCTACAGTCCACTATTATTTAAAAAGCCTTCTCAGACATACGCAACACTTTTGATAATGATATAGATTTATTCCATTCCTTGACGGACTTTTGCATTAACTTTATAGCTGTGTAGATCATAAAAGTGTGGTAGAAGGACTGCAATAAAATATTTCGTTATGTTTTTACTACAAACAAATTCAGGATAGTGGTTACATCGTTGAGCCTAATAGCCTTATATTCTAGGCTATACAATTGACTTCATTATCATGTGTTTTATTATTAAAGTTTTTGTGTAGTATAAAATGTTTTGCTGAAATAGTGATTAGAATTTCCATACCATATTTTACGGTGTGTAGAAAATTAGTGGAGGTAGCGAGCAGTGAAAGTGAAACATGCCATGTTACAATAGACAAGGGCTAGACACTGGCTGAGGGTAACAGATTTGAGGCTTTCGAGTTTCTAGGTCACACAGGGTTGTCAAAAATCTTAGCTCCCGCCATTTGACAGCCACTAAACTGGTGACCAAGGGTGGTACTATTACTAAAGTCTGTTTTGGGAGAACTGTGCTGTTGCTCGTGACGCCTGCAAAATATGGAATACGGATCTCTATCAGACCGCCTCTTAACTTATCTAGCCAATGTTGTGCCTGTTTATGCTGTGAGTTATAAAGTTATTTCTGGTGATATTTTGGAAAATAGAAAAAGAAAAAATTGAGGCGAAATGATATCTAACGGTCACTGAAGAGTAATTAATTTTGATTAGACACACTAATGGAACTGTAATGTTTTTTTATTTTTTATAAATTAGTAAATTACCTAGTACATAGTTTGTTTTATAAAAAAAAAATGTAACATAGCATTTATTAACTCTCATGATTCACTTTGCTGATTAATTGATGGTTTTTGAAATTCAAGAGATGTTCCCAAATGTAAATAATATGAACTATAGATATTGCAGTAATTATTTACGCTATAATGGTGCCTTTAAAGTCGTAATTTTTAATTGAGGGAACTGGTATATACCCTGAATTACGGATTCAAAGATTTATTTGGCCATTCAGTTTTCACAATAGGCTACGTAATACAAGTACAAACTAAATAAACTAAAACGATGTAGGTACCGTGTTTAAAATCATTTGTAGTTTGTCTTATTAGAAACAGAGAACCATTCATCCTGGTATTTAAAAAAAGCTTGATGATTGTATTAAGTCCAGATAAAAAGTACTTTGGCTCATCATACCTGAAATCATTGAAATGCTATTTTGGAGAAAATTAACTTGAAGGCAGCCTTATTTTTAAATAAAAATATTAATACTCAAAATTATTCCTTCTGCAGTTTTCCAATTAAATACAATACTGTGCTGCTAAAACTATTTGTTCAGTTTCTAAAACGAAAAATTCAATAAATTACTGTTGCTGACCTAATCCTATCTGATAATATGTTAGCTCATATTCCTATTTTGAAATTTATAGATCAGTTAGTTGTTTTTCCGTTCCTTCTTCCAAGACCAATTAGCCTACTTATAACTAATACATATATATTTTTGATAAAATGTTTTATGTAAATATTAGTTAGTCCTGAAACAAAGATTAGTTCTAGATTTTACTTTACTTCATTACAATTGTTGATATAGAGAACCTTAATGCATTTGAGTCAATTCCATTTCTTATATAAATTATTGTTAAGCTGTTATAATTGCCCTCATGGTAAAAAATCAAATTCATCTTATAGGAAAAAATAAACAATATGTATATTATAATTGATGATTTTTGTCCCCTCACAGGCCTAGCTAAAAAATAAAATGACTATGATTTTACTATTACAACTAATTTAATACACTAGTGGACCTGTTGCTCGAATTCGAGCAATTGTAAAATATTAAAGGCTTTATTTCAAAACGAATAACAGTCACAATTTCCGATGACTAAGAGTCAACTCAATGATAATGTAATCAATCACTTCACTCCAGTTATCGAAACTGGAAACGAACTCACTCTGAAAACGAAGGCTCACTCTACACTCCAGTTATCGAAACTGAAAACGAACTCACTCTGAACGAACGCTCTTGTGTGTATCATGTGTTTACTATGAACAGCTGTAATTAATACAAATTATTCGTCTGTTTAAGTAAACAAAATCTTTTCTTCATAAGAAATACATTGGGATTTTGATGGCCTGTGGGGCAAAGCCCAAAGACTTTTATTACAGGAATTGGTGAAAGGGGGCGTCTACACAAAAAATACTTAATTTTGACCCCTTGTTTGTAAAAATCCGTCAATTATTAACGGAGGCGTAGTGTTTCGTAGAAATCGCCTTCACGTATTATATCTAAGGATTTCAATTTTCAATACATTAAATATAAATTGTAATACATTTCAATAAGCTTGAAATACCTTACATTTTACTTGTAGTTTTATGTCCATCCTAATTTAATATTTCAAGGAATTATAACATGAAGAATATACAACATTCTTGTAAAAATTATTATTCCAGATAAAAAATCTGAAAAAAATTAGAAACTTAATACCTAATATTTTATCCTAATATTTTAATAAAATTTTTTTTCAGATGTCTTTCAGAGTCGTAAGGTCAAGTAAGTTCCGGCATGTTTACGGAACCGCACTCAAGAGAGAACAATGTTACGATAACATCCGAGTTTCAAAATCATCCTGGGACTCAACCTTTTGCGCTGTCAATCCAAAGTTTCTAGCAATTATTGTCGAGTCAGCTGGTGGTGGGGCTTTTATCGTTCTTCCACATAATAAGGTAAGCGTACTTTACAGCTTTACAGTCCGTTGGCTACCAGTTAGTAGTCATAAAGCTGAGCAAAGTGCTCTATAAACTTGACGCCAATTTAGCCTCAAACAAAACTGTTTCCAGCAGATCTCATGATAGTCTAAGTGGATGTTCAGCCTCGTTATGCCGATACCTAAATACTTGAAATGAAATGAATGAAATGAAATGAAAATCCTTCTTTATTGAGGCGAACTTAGGACCTCATGGTCCTTTCTTACAATTAACCTCTAAATAATAATAGTAATAACAATAATACATGATATGAACAAAAGTAAAATACACATTTCGTAAATTTCGTACATTTTGTAATACTTAGCCTATTTAATTATTTTTTGTGAGTTATTCTTCCAATCATTAAGTATTCTGTGCGTAGTAAATTTAATTACTAAATTTGTTATGATTTAGTGTCATAGGGGCTAAGGCTTTTTTCCTTTGACTAATATCAACTGATTCCCCTTTCACAAACATCACCTAGCCTTAGGGTAACCCACCATGTATTTAATAATGAATGTGTACATTTTAAATTGGAATGAACTGTTTTTTATTTGATTTGATTTGACAGTTTCAAACATTAAAAAAATATAAGGATATAAAATTCAAATTTATCTTTAACAACATTTCTTGAAACTGATTAATTTGGGACTTAAAGATGAGTTAGTTGACAATTAAGCCTTGCCTGATCTTCCTTGCACAAATATCCAAGTCTGGTCAAACAAAAGTTAATATTGAATAACAACTTTTTATTTGTAACACAGCCAAATAACATTTTTTTTGTTTACGTAACACAGCTAAATAATAATTTTGGTTCGTTTCCTGATGACTACATTAACTTTTAATAACATATACTCGCATCCTAAAATCCTAAATGCCATAGTTGCTCATAGAAAAAAATGTTTTAACATTAGGCATGTTCATTGATTATCTAGGTTGTATTTTATTTAGGCCTAGAGCTACATTGTGTACCTATGCAATTACAAATATGCAAGACAGAATTCTTTAAATGTAGTCTACCTAGAATCACATTTTATACATATTTATTGACTTTGCAATAAATAAGCATACTTGCAAGATCAAAATAAGTAGCCTGCTTAATGAATTTGCTAATAACTTGAGTCCATTTGTGGTAATCCTAATTTACACAACATCTTAAAGGGATCAAGACCCTTTATATCGTAAACAAAGATGTTTAATTGAAATGCCGGCTATAGTATTAGAAACAGAGCTAGCGGACCAGTAGAACCTGGCAGTTTGACAAGATTGCTAAATATAACATCACTGACAGCGCACCATTTTCTAATAATCTGTCATTTGGAAATACTGACACACTTTTGACCTATATTTTGAATACATTAAATCACCACCTTTAATTTACTTTGTGGCTCTTTCTTATGTATAATTAATCTTAAATGTCACTTTTATCTTATTCGGGTTATTGTACGCCTACGCTAAACAAGGTCCAATAAAATGAGTAAATTTAAATATTTTCCTATAGGGAGTTTGATAGATATGCGGTATAATCTTAGCGAATTTCCCATTTATAGTGAATATTTGTGTATTTCTCATATAGGAAATATTTTAATGAGCAAAACTATTGGTCTAATATTTAGACCTTGACCCACAATAGATTTACTTTTTTGTTTTGATGTACCCAGAAGCGAAAAACATCAACTGTTCAAATTAATAAATCATATACATGAATCTGTATCTCAGAAACTATATTTTTAGAGGAAACATAAAATGGATAACTTCAACTAATGTTTGTGACATTAGGAATATGAATTCCACTTTTTTTAAATGGTCGCCATTTTCTAATATAATGGTTAACTTTAAAATCTTGTATGAAACACATTGTATTTTATGATTGTTTAAGAATGTAAATGCAATTTTAAAACAATTTTTTAATCACACTTTTTCTCCTAAGCTGTTTTTTTAGGAGCTACATCGTGTTACACTGGGAAAAGTTGCTTTCTGTGTAAATTCTGCATCATGTAGCTCCTAAACATTTACGTTTGGAGAGGAAATGCAAAATATAAATAAGTCTTAAAATAGCATATTTACATTCTAAAAAGATCATCAAATAGGCCTACATTAAAAATATTAATACTACGGTTCCAAAATGGCTACCATTTTCCAATATAGCGGTTATCTTAAAAATTAAAAGACTGTATTTCCTGATATTTTTAGAATGAAGATGCAATCCTAAGACATATTCTGCATTTCCTCTCCAAATTCACTCGTGTTGGAGCTACAGCCATGCAGAATGGGATATTTTTTAGTATAAGACTATTTTTTTATACAACATATTGATGAGAATTGTCAGCTGAAATTCAAAACTGGTGTAATCCTGGCCTTACCAACTGTGTTACCATAGAAGATCTTATTGCGAGAGTAATATACAGGGTGACCCACAGGAACCGGATGTTTTTTAAACAGATTAATATACACTTTAGAGTTATTGTTGCAAAGGGGAAGGGTTGACTTTCATTGTTGTAGGCCTACATTACGCCATTTGATATGCTCAAGCACTGTTTTGAGATCACGGGTGAGAGAGCAATGTTTGATAAAAAATATCTATGTTTATTCAACCAGAGCCGCACACTGCAAAGAATTTAATGGCCGTAGTGTGCACTATGTTTATAGGAAGGGTTATTTCACGATCGGTGATATTCTGTGGCTCATACATAGGACATCAGATTTTAGCGGGAGTGATTTTTTTCTTTGGAGTCTTCTCAAATTTTGCATTTTCACTCACAATCCCCGAATCATGGTGGATCTTAGGAACGCAATTAACTAGGAAGTGGCAAAAATTAATAGTGACCGTTATATTCTAGGGTATGTAATGAAAGAATTTAAGGAAACATTTGGAACCTGCATGTATAAAAGTATTCACCATATGACCAACATTGTCTTACATAAGTAAAGAGCACTGTATAGAAATTGTGGGTATGCATGTAAAATAAAATTTCAAATCCTGTATTTACACTATTGACACATCTAGGCCGACATGGTGTTTTTAACGGCCAACTGAGAGGGTTGGTTATTTGGCCTGTTATCAATTATATCAATTATTTAAGATGGGGATTTTTTTTCGCAAGTTTTTTACGATCTAGCTACTTTTGTAACAAACTAATCTTCAAGAGATGTTTCAGGTGGGAAGAATAGCTGCGGATCATCCTCTAGTAGGGGGTCACAAAGGTCCGGTGCTAGACATCGCCTGGTGTCCTCACAATGACAACGTCATCGCGTCAGGATCTGAAGATTGTGTGGTCAAGGTGTGGCAAATACCTGATGGAGGAATTTCTAGGTAACTTTATACCTCATAATGGCATTATAGCGGAATCTTGATATATTGAAAAAAAATACTATTTTTCAAGTATTTCGAAACACCAAGGTGCAAATTAGTAAGTAATCTTTAACACGTTCGCTGCGTTTGTGCGATGGCCGGCCGTGACCGGTGATCAACCAATGCACTGTGTGGATGAGTGCACGAAAATGTTTAAATTTATTTTCATCCAATAGCAGAGGCATATTATAGCATGTACTGTGTTTCATTTGTGTGAATGTAGTTTTACAAGAACCCAACAGATAGCAGCACTAAACATCAGGCCCTCAGTATTGCCAAAAGAAGGGAAAAAGCAGGATACACCATCAAAAAATATCCCAAAAAGGCGTCAAGCACAATTTTGAGGTTAGGTTCCTTCCACAATGCTTTACTACAGTAACAATCACTATTCTTTTCCATTTCACTAAATCCAAGCCAAAACCCCACACTACACTAAATGTGGAACAATCCCTTCCACCGATAAAATATTCGTATCTGAAACTAATTATACTGGATTGAAGTATAAAACTTGCACAATAAGCGGAATTAGGAGACAACGTTCCCTGTGCGAGGCTGAGCTCACACTGAAGCAAGGTTGTTGTTAAGAGAGGACGACGTTTCCCGCCCTGCGCCAGTGGTGCCATTAAGGCGGGACGAGGATTCCCACCCTGCGCACTCAACGTGTTAATACTTTTATTTATAAAAGTTCAAAACACAATTATTGATTTTTAAATGAAACCCAAGAAGCAAGAATTTTCTTCAAACAAAAATTTAATAGCTTTACTACAGGGTTTGAGATTTTTTTTGTACCCTCTCAGCTTAGTTTTGCCTTGTCTGTTAGAGAAGTTTTGCAAAGCAGCAGATTTCAGCTTTACTTATTTCTCTAGGTCAGAGTGTTGAGACAAGAAAATCAACTCGTATTATTGTTAACTTACGTAAGATCTTAATGTATCTTAACTGGATACTTGATAGAGTACAAACTTTTACAGATCATATGTTTGCTTATGTATCAGCAAAAGCTACCATGATTATTGTGATTAATGTTTTATTGTTCTCTTTCATAAATAAAATCCCATTTTGGAATTGGTACATTCTGTTAATATTCTTCTGCCATTGTAGTAACCAAAGTATTGTGATTGCAGAACTTTGACGGAGCCTGTAGTTAATCTTGTTTACCACCAGAGGAGGGTTGGATTGGTTCTGTGGCACCCTACGGCGCAGAATGTACTTCTTACAGCTGGTAAGTATTATTATTTCAAAGGTGTATTAAACTTATATGACTGGGATATGTTTAGTTACATAGAAAGGAAAAGAGGTTCAAGTAAAGGTGTATTCTCCAATATATACAACCCGACCAATTTTCAACTGACTGATCAAAATAGTCGGAAAAATAGATTGTAGATATTTTGGGTTAGTCAGTTTACAGTCCATACTTACTATAGGATTTTGTGATACATTTTTTACTCCTATACATTTTGTCATGTTCTGTGATTTTTTTTGGACATCCAGAGTAGTATTTGATATGTCTAAATCATATATTTTTATTTTTTAAGTTAAAGGTCAGTGATCCAAAGTTACTGTTGGCTCAAAACTCAAATGAAGGAATCGTAATATGCACAAGATAATACTGCATGCAATATGGCTCTTAAAACCTAACTAGTTTGATATTAATGTAATCTGTATATTTCCATCCAAATTGTTTCTGCTATTTTCTACGCTTGATAATTTTACGTTATGATCAAGGAAATTATTCTTTGACCTTGTAAAAGGCTTTGAAATAGGGACTGTATTGTACATGTTTATTCTGCTTCTGCATTTCTGCCGTTTTCAATTGCAATATTATTCTGATATTGTTTCAAAATGCAAAATTACCTTGAAAAAAACACTTGGTCGAGGTAATGAGGTTAATTTGGGACAACACTGTCAATTAGATATATGTTGATAAGGGTCTGTTACCCTGAACTGAAGATACAGTATACATGCTTGTCTCCTTCTCATATCCTATGGACTCTTGTTATTAATATCACATCTATTTATGTCAAGGATTTTTGTTGTAAAGCAAGCTTAAGAGAAAGGGAAAGATCCGCATTGGTGCAAGAAACAGAAAACTCTACAAAAATAAAATTAGAACATATCACTGACAGCATTTTCAACCAAAGAATGTTTTTATTTGGGAAAGAGTCTTCATGACTCATGTATTTTATGTTACCATCCTTATGTAACCTTATGTATTTTATGTAACCTTTAGGATGATACCACCCATATTTATCAGTACCTGTAACATGTTTAAACATAAATGTATTATATTTGGTAAGAAGTCAATCTCGTTTTAAATGTAAAACCGTTGTATTTGAACATACTTCTTATCTTATTATAAAATCTTCGCCTGTTTTTAAGTGTATGTCGGTTACGTTTGAGTGTGCTAATGTCGACTTAATGTTTTTTTTTTGTTATATTAGGGTTTATACAATGGGATTAACATTTTCGCTACAGTAAAAGATAAGCAATAGTAAAAGAAATTATAAAATAAGGGAAATTTCTAGAAACAAACAGTAAACGTAAACAAATATTACTTTTTGTAATGGCTTACGCTGTAATAAAACCTCAGGAACACATATAAATTTGTCCAGCTGATCCATAAGGGTAAAACATCTGTAAAAAAGTCAGATCAACTTGTATTTTTCAAAAAGTTATATATATCTATTTTTTATCAAGTCAAGTTTTAAAATGTACACATCCTCCACAATGTTTTCTTTTTTTTTTGTTTCATGTTATGTTTTATACTTAAGGTACAAACAAATGAATTCATAATTGATTTAATTCACCATGAACAGGCTCAGACAATCAAGTAGCCATATGGAACGTGGGGCTGGGGGAAGTTTTGGTCCACATCGACTGCCACCCGGACATCATCTACAGTGCCTGTTGGAACTGGGACGGCTCCCAACTACTCACGACCTGTAAGGACAAGAAGATGAGACTGATCAACCCTAGGTCCGGCGAAATCATTGAGGTAATTTACCTTCACAACCTTGACATACAATCAATTCCACATGCCACGTATGCCACTTTCCACGTACCTATTGTCAACGGACATTTTTTTATCTATTTAATAACACATTTTTAGGTTATGTCTTTTAACTACTACTGTTTTTTCAACTAGCCTTTTCAATTCAGTTCTTAGAGATAAACAGATTAACTTTGCAGTATTGTTTACTTACTTACTTTACCGTATTGTTTTGTTACTTTACAGTACAAGTTTAGGCCAATGAGGTTCAAGGATAGAGAGAAAAAAAGTAAAATTGTAATACTCCTAAAGTCAACTTATCAGCTGTTAAGACCAATTTAATTGATTAAACAATGAGTGAGTGGCTGGGACAATAAGTTGTTGTATCACAATCAGTGGAATTGAGAGGTCATAAACAAAAACTACCTCTTTTAGAAGTTATGAGTAGGCTAGTGGTTTTTAGTAATTTAAAAAATGGTCGTAGGTAAAGTACCTATGTACCTATGTACGCAACTAGCGTAATTAGCCTTTACGGCACTTGTAGAAGTTTTAAAGGCACTTGTCAAGGCTCGCACTTTAAATTTTCTACTCGTGTTGTAAAGACTATCCTTATGTGATCGTTGCGTAAACTACTACTATCATACAAGTATTTTAACACGATATGTCCACTTTTAACCAAAATGAAGCCAAAAAAGACAAATCTGTGTCCTGCTCCTCATCCATACCAATGTAAAAAGAAGCAAAATGGGTGGTGTGTGCAATTGTTATTTGGCTCACTAATGTCATCAACATTCACCCAAGTTGGACGCCGTTTATTTAAAGTTCGAGCTCTCAACTCCAGCTAAGCACACATTAGTGAATACGGATTGCACATATGGTATTCGAATCCGTGAGAGTAGAAAGACAATGCTAAACTTGGCAGTGAATGTTTTAGAGAACTGAAATGATTTGCAAAACAATAATTGTACAGTAATCAAACTAAAACACTTCAATATACTAAATTATAAGTTTTTCAAGCTCTTCAAAACTGTTTAGAGAGAAATTGAGAAATTTAACGTTTTGAGGGTAAAAATGGAAAAATATATTTTTACTCCAAATAACCCCCTGTGAAACCCTTTTCCCCTGGTCCGATCATGCTGGTTAGTGACTTCACAATCGTTCCCGAGTCCAGGTCTTACCATGAGATCTAGAGTAAAACTTTATCCTCTATATGGGAAATTTGTTAAAACCGGCAAAATAAGTCTACAGATTAAGTTCTGGAACTCATAGGATCAAAATGTCACCTTAATCGATCTAACCAAAACAAAATATTTCAGGAGGCGATTGGCCATGAGGGTAGCAAAGCCACCAGAGCCATCTTCCTGCGCAGTGGACTCATCTTCACAACTGGGTTTAGCAAGATGTCGGAGAGGCAGTACTCACTCCGGGCCCCGGACCATCTCAGTGAGCCGATCATCATGGTTGAGCTAGACACCAGTAATGGAGTCATGTTTCCTCTCTACGACCCAGACACCAATCTAGTCTACCTTTGTGGCAAGGTAACACATCTTGTTGAAAAATGTCTTATGTTCTAGTGTGGTGAAAAAAAAACGGAGTTGCTACATTATAATGTCAGTAAATGTAAGATTCATGTAAAATGTATTAGCCTACTAAAAATCCTAATTTTTTTGGAAGTGGATCGACTTAGAGGATCTCTGGTAAAAAACTCAAAATAAAAACCTGGCGTTTTAGAGATACGCCGTGATCGCCAGACTATGTTGATTGACGTCATTTTGTAGATGCTTCTATCCTCAATCATCAGAGCAACGTGTTTACGTTTTGCATGCTAAACACAGCACAACTAACTTGTCGACTCCAAAATATGTTACATTTTCAATCATCACAATTCTAGTCTTGGAGAAGTCATTTGTTGGATAAAGAAACACATTCACTAATTGGCTACCAATCATGTTTAAATGGATAATGCTCTAAAACACTGTGATGTGGGAACCAGTGATTAGATGATTACCTCAAATTACTGATAAATGCTGTATTTTGCCCACATATTGGGGGAATTGTCTAGGAATGAATTGGGGAATAAGAAAGAATGACGATTGATGATAGTTTATAATACGAGTACTCAACTAAATAATTGTGTCTAGTACTATTTGGTTATGGTTGGTTACGATATAATTTAAATATTTAGCTTAACTAAAACAAAAGTAAGATAAAATGAGATCTAAATGCTTCCTTCCATTTTGTATTGGTAAGACTGCATGTAACCCAGTCTATTACAGCCAGCAGCCTAACAGTTTTGCTTTTGTTTGTACCTGAGATTGTTGATTTTTGTGAACTTTTATTGCAGTAGTTCCGACCTTGGCTAATACGACTCCTTGCTTAATCCTAACCTGTCATCGTATATTGATGTCAATGGTATCACAGTAATATCGTTACCATTTCCCATGGCTGTGATCAGCACACAAAAAGTTCACAATACACCTGTCCCTTCTTCTGAAGAAGCCCTTGTTTTAGGGTGAAATATCAAATTAATTGTGTTGTGACTGTAAACAATTTCTTTGCAATCATCACTACCCTTTATTTTCAAGCTTTTAATGTATTGTACTTTTTACAGGGGGATAGTGTAATCAGATATTTCGAGATCACCGCAGAACCACCTTATGTGCATTACATCAACACCTTCCAAACACCCGACCCCCAGAGAGGCATCGGAATGATGCCAAAACGAGGCTGTGATGTCTCCGTTTGCGAAATCGCACGATTTTATCGACTGAACAACTCTGGACTTTGCCAAGTCATTTCTATGACTGTCCCACGAAAGGTGATTTATAAACTGTTCCAGACATTGTATCAATTGATAATAGATAGTCACACTAAGAATATAAAGAGAAATCACTTTGATAAGCAGTCTTATAAGAGCTTTGTTAACTTGTTAGAAGTTTCATAATCGATTTATCAGGACACTGTGGTTTTGTGGACACCATTGCCCATTGTGTATTAGTTGCATATTAGTGTGTTTGTTTTAATATAATAGTACAAGTTGTTTGACAATGCTACCTTAGATTGAAAACTTCTGTCAAGTTTGAAAAACACATTGTGGACTGCTGGCAAGGTATATTCTCAATAGTTCAAGGGTTTTATTTCAATAGATTTTAATAGGCACCGAGTGTGTTTTGAAAAATTCTATTTTGATTAGTTGATTAGTTAGGTGAAATAAATGAGTGGATCATTGTTTTTTTAAAGTATTTTAAAGATCACTCAATCGAAAAACAAAGTTTCATTTTTGGACGTTTTGTACATTTATAAAAAGAAGTTGGCGACCTCTTAATCTTTTATCCGCCCATCAACATTGGTCTCAGGCCCGTGCCTGGGACATATCCAGCAAAGCAAGAGGTGAGCTAATACAGTACAAGAGTTGAATTGTACAGATAACATGTAGTGGCAGAAACCAGGATTTGGACCCTTGATATTGCTGCATTGGGTTTGAAGTCTGTTGCGTTACCGACTGAGCTACTGACTAACAAACCTCCCTGTAATTTTCAATCCTGAGCATCTGGTTTATTATTCAAACACCTGTAACTGCTCCTTCACCACAATAAGCTGCGTGATGACCTCCCGTTCTCAATGAGCCGTCATTCCCACAGACATCTATGTTTTTTCTTAAACGGTTTTGTACTAAAAACGTCTACAATTACGTATTCATTCACCTTAATCTTGCCAGTTTTATATAGTAATTTTATCTCATTTTTCTTGCCTAAGATAACATAATCACTATTGGGAGGTCATATACAGATTTGTTCACTTTTTGCTTGTAACATTAACACATTTAAAAAACCAAGCGATCACACATGCTTCAAGGGAAAACGGTCCTAACTGATTCCATTTTTGTGGATAAGCCAGGTGTTGAACACGTCCCTCGCACCAAAGTCCGAGACACAACCACTAGGCTCTAACAACACACCAAAACTTCTAAATTTTGTCTATGTGACAAACTTAAATGATTATCAAATACACTCTGGGGAGTCAGTAACTCAGTCAGTAGTGTGATAGACTGCGAAACCAAAGCAGTAATATCTTAAGTTGGCGTTCTTGCGTTGCCAATAGTTTCTCGGTACTGCTTCTTGCACTGGACCAGTTTATCCCTTATTTTTTCATTTATTTTACACACAGACTTGAGAACTTTATTTATTTATTTAAAAACATATTTACCATTTTTTTACTACAAAAATAGTTAGTTTTACAAACTAAGTACATTAGTAGTGAGAAAAACATAGTGAGTACAAGAATAAGACAAGAAAGAAAACCTCAAAATAACGAATTTCTGTAAAGGGTGAGTCAGTGAAACGGGCCATTTTTCGGTAAGTATTAAAAAAAGGTCAAACATCATATGATCGATTTATTCATTAAAAAACGTAGTAAATGAGTGGAAGTTTGTGTTGAACCAACAAAACAAGCATCAAGTCTTGAAAATAATATCAGAGTCAACTCCTTAAACTTTTAGTCAAGCCACAAAAAAACAGGAGCTGAGGTCAGAGGATCAAGGGGGCCAGGCAATATCCCCATTTCATGTTAAGGGAAGAAACGGCACACCAAACCGTAGCTTTATTAGAGTGAACTGGCCATTCATGAAGTGCTTGTGGACCGACCAATATCAAAAATTTGCTTATTGACATCCCGTTAAGTGAAAATGAGCCTCATCGCTCATCCATAGGCTGTGAATTAGCTCTGGGCCATCTTGCATATTTTGCTGATGGTATGTCAACTAAGTATGGCAACTAAACTTCCAGAGGTTGGGAACGCAGGGTAACTTACTCGGCCCCTTTCCTTCTTCCCCTCTACTCACTAACGTTATAAGAAAATAGCCCGTTTCACTGACTCACCCTTTATATAACTAGCAGAATAAATAACAATAAAATAGACTGTAAGAAAAAAGAAAAAATTGACAACAGGATGAACTCAAGTTACAGGAATAAATAAAAATACACTAAATTCTATGCAGCATAAATAAGTACAGGAAAAACAATGTTGTGAAAAAAAAAAAAACAGATACAATTGAGGATCAAAATGATTGAAATTGTACTGCAAGTCTATACACAAATACTAATTTTGATATAACAGCATAGACTAACATAATACAAGCATTAGAAACCTAACTTTGCACGAATGCAATAAATCAGGAACCTTTCTAACAAATCTACTTTGTAAAATAACTATACCTTGTTATATTTTTGTGCAGCTAAATATATGCACATTATGATTCAGCACAAATAATTAGCTTTTTTTCATTTTTGATGTTAGCCTCCGGATTACGTTGAATATATAAATTGGTTTAAATACCTGCTTCTAGTAATCCAATAGTCGCAATTTTTCGTCACGCAACTACTTTCGACTTCATACAGAAGTCATCATCAGGCGTCCAGTGGATGTCAAAATAATCACTTCATCTGAAGGTCGTCGATTCACACATGGTACATTCACACGCAAACACGCACACGAACACGAACATAGTCACATAAAAAAGTACATTTACAACTATAATACGGATTAATGGCAACGCATCATCCTAAGTTACCATTAATCCGTATTATAGTTGTAAATGTACTTTTTTATGTGACTATGTTCGTGTTCGTGTGCGTGTTTGCGTGTGAATGTACCATGTGTGAATCGACGACCTTCAGATGAAGTGATTATTTTGACATCCACTGGACGCCTGATGATGACTTCTGTATGAAGTCGAAAGTAGTTGCGTGACGAAAAATTGCGACTATTGGATTACTAGAAGCAGGTATTTAAACCAATTTATAAATTAGCTTTTTATAACTATTTTATCATAAAAAAGTACTTAGAAGGATAAAAAATACAAAATAAAAATATGAAAAAAATGTTCGTGCCCCTATTTTTATGAATAATTGTAACTAGGCCTAAATGAAAAATCTTAAATAGCCATTTATTTCTAAATATTATAGCAAAAAAAATATGAACTTTAGTATTGTTAACTTAATTTTTAGGACAGCCAAGAGTCATAAATATGACCGAGGAATAGTAGCAAAATCACTCACTAGGCCTATTACAATGACTTTACTGCCATTACACATAACCTTCAAATATATTACTGCAAACACATCAAACCAACAAGTTAGTCATCACTGATTATTTTGTACATCTAAATATGTAGTCTAAACAGATAAAAATCAGTTTTCAATAATGACAATATAGTAACAAACAACTTGTAAACAACAATAACAACACGTAAAACGGCAACCAAAACATTGTCTTTGTCTCAAAACATCTGGAAACAGACAAACAAAAGTAAGGTGAAACAGACACCAGAAGAAAGCCAGTTTTTTGCTGTTTACAGTGACATCAATCCAGTCCAAATCGGACTGAAATTGACTGAGTTAAAAGACAATATGTAACCGTCTGCACTACCATCGATGCATCGACGCTTGACACCCCAGAGCGTGTCATTACCATCGATGCATCGATGTTTGACACTGGGAGGGTTAAAAAAGTAATCAACTGTGACGTCGCCAGTGTGACGACGTCTTAACTTGACAGGAGACGGGACTAGTGAGAATATGAATGAATGAATGAATGAATGAAAAAGTGCTTTTATTTACAAATATTTGTACAAAAAATAGCTTCTTAGCACTAACTACAACAACAATGGGCAAAAAGCCCGTCTGTTGCGGCTGGCGTACCTGGTTAGCATTAATTTGTACAATTGACTAACGTAAACTGTTCAGATTAACTGTTAACGGTTAACGTAAACTGTTGTGTAAATCAGATTAACAATTAAATAATAAAACAATTAATTTTTTGAAAATAGACATATTTCTCAAACGGATTTATACATATATGTATATTTACTTAAATTAAAAAAGAATAATATTGAAAATATAAGTAAACTTTTTTAGAAACACAACAATAGCCTACATTCTAGCAATATTTAGCAATATTTGATCAAATTAATATATTGTATATAGATTTCAATGATTCCTGGGAGATAAATAATACATTTATATCTTAGAACTAATACAATTTTGATGCCTTAATGAAACTAATAAATAATAATAAAAAAGATTTTAAAAGTAAGGATATTTCGGAAAATGATTCTCACATATTGAATTCTTGTATTAAACCCCATCTTTTAGACCAAGCATCTTTTAAATAATTACTTAAGGCCCGCCAATCCCACCCATTCAAAATCTCTATATATTGTTCCTTTGTCAAAATTGGACAGCCAAAATAAAATTTCCTTATTGTATTTAAAATGGGACAAACAGATATAAAATGAAAAGCATCTTCTTTCTCTTGTAAATTACAAAGAGTGCACAAATGATAATTGTCTACAAGCCACGGTTTGAAGTTGAGGTTGATAAGTTCAGCTCTTACCGTGATCGCCCAGGACATTACAGTTATGTCATATCTGTCAGCAAGGTATGTCTTATCTTTTAGCTCGAAGTTAATAGATAAGAGTTGTTGGTGATACAGAGACGTGCGCGCTCGACCCTCGCAATCACTTTTCCATGCTGCCCTTTCCCCTTCCACTACACTCATCAGCTGTGATTGTAGAACAGGGATGCCAACCTCGTCTACGTCGAAATTTATTTCCCTGCTATGCTTGTTTCCCAGACGCTTCCAATGTTTACACCAGTAAATATTCTTGTTTATTATTTGTCTGGCTAATTTAAAAGGTAAACGACTTTCAGACATTGATAATACGTTTAATAGATAGTTAATATTTAACACGCTTGAATAAAAGTATATCTTATTTGTTAATGATTCAACATAAATTAAATAATTTGGTGTGTTTTTTGGAAGACGAAATAATCTTTTGATGAAAAACTTATTAACAGACTCCACAGAATCGCTGTCAATGAAACCCCACACTTGCGCGCCGTAACAAATAATTGATCGTATGACAGAGTTAAAACACAATTGTTTGGCACTGAGTGGGACTTCGTTGTTATTTATAAGATTTCCCCAAAGTGAATTAATAGCTAATTTTGACACTTTTTCTTTTGCTTTAAAATGTTTTACCCAAGATAAAGAGGGAGTTAAAGTAATGCCAAGGTAAGTATATTCATTCACCACTTCAATACGCTCGCCTCTGTACCACCAACGATCAGCAGACCCCAGTTTGCCTCCTTTACGAAACACCATAACTTTGGATTTACTTAGATTTACACGAAGATTCCAACGTGCACAATAACTATCTAATCGATTGATCATATGCTGGAGGACAGTAGCTGTTGGCGAAATTAAAATTATATCATCAGCATACATTAAAATATTCACTTTGACTCCCTCAAACAAAACTCCCCCACCAATCTCCTCCGGCATGTCGTTAATAAATAAATTGAACATACTAGGGCTACACACACATCCTTGCCTCAGACCTATCGTTGTATTAAAACTATCTGTAACACCTGCCCGGTTCCAGACAGAGGCACTTGTACCGTTGTAATATTGTTTTAAAATATTCAAAAACTTTGTTGACACACCTAAAGATGAAAGTTTGTACATTAATGATTGTCTATCTACAGTGTCAAAAGCGGCGCTAAAATCTACAAAAAAACAGTATAATTTTTCTTGCTTATAAAATTGCAAATGTGCCATGCATGTTAAACTAAAAATATTATTAATTGTTGAATAGTTTTTCCTGAAACCAGCCTGAAACTCAGTAAGAATATCTTCGTCATTGGCCCATTTAACTAACCTATTATTTATTAAACATGAAAATATTTTACCGATGCAATCAATAAAAGATAGGCCTCTATAATTTGTAACTAAATTTAAATCACGTTTTTTGTGTAAAGGAAAAACAATAGATCGCTTAAAAGATTCCGGCACTTCTTCTTTTGAATATATGTTATTGTATAGAGCAAGCAATATTTTAAGAAAGGGCAATGGAGCATTTTTGTAAAATTCATACGGAATTCTGTCCAGACCGGGCGCTTTCCCCGGTTTTACTTTATTTAGCACTTCCAGCAATTCATACATCTCAAAATCCCGATCTAATCTATTGTCTAAAATTAAAGGTTCAGCATAATATATCTCCGCTGCTAAAAGCGGGGGGTTTAACAAAGTTTTAAAATAGTTATACCATTCTACTGGAGAAATATTTCCCACCCGCTTATCTGACTTGATTTTAAAACTGTTTATCGCATTCCAACACTTTTTGGGATCGGTCGCTCTTATCAGTGTGTCAACAAGGTTGTTTCGATAAGCCAATTTTTTACTAAAACACAATTGTTTATATATTTTATTTTCTTTTAAATACTTAACTTTTATTTCTGATTGATTAAATTTCCTGAATAAATTCAATAATTTAAAAATCTTCTTACGGAGCCTACCACACTCAAAATCAAACCATGGCTGCTTAGAAAAATAATTTGAAAATTTCTTAGAGGACGGTTTTAAATGGGCTGATTCTGTGATTAATCTGGTGATTTGATTTACATCTTCTTGAATGCAGTCCACAAATTGAAAATTAGAAAGCCTTTGACTAATCTTGTCACAATATGAATCATTATCTGTACTGGTCCAATTTAACTTTGGTAACAACGGGAGTATTTTTACATCTATATTATTAACGTCTGCCATCCCTGCGGCTGGTAAATACACATTAATTGTAATTTCTATCGGCAAATGGTCGGAGCCTGGAAAGCTTAAAACTTTAAAATCCTCTATCAAATGCAAGCAATCTATTGATGCCCCCACTAAATCAATTACTGAATTTCCGTTTTGCCCTAAAAATGTGAAATCACCCTCAGGATCACCCACTGAACGCCCATTTATAATTATAAACCCAAAATCGTTAAACAGATCCAAAAGTCGCTTCCCTCTATTGTTTGTTACTACATCTTTGGACTGCCGGTAATTATTGAACTTGTCGTTAAAATTAAATATATCTTCCGCAAAATACTGCTCTCTGCCTATACCTAGTGAGAATAAAAACTACATAATTAGTTAATACCATGGGCTGCACGGACCGGGATAAAGGTGTACGGTTGCAGGACTAGGACGGACTGACGTAGTGGTTAGATACACGGGTATAGCGTGGTCGCGGCAGCCAATGGGAATTTATTAAAAATCACCTGATATGACGTCACAGACGTGGCGTGATATGGTGTGATGTACACACACACTAACACACATTTACATTTTATACAAATCTGGTTTCCAACAAGAAACGCTGTTTTGCAAATATATTCAATACATAAAATCATTAAATATAGGCTACTACATCAACTATGAGTCTAAACTTGGTCTAATGTTTTAGTCCGAGCTGTTTCAAGAGGATCTGTACCCAGATACCCTGGGTGATGTGTCGTCCTTGTCTGCGGAAGAGTGGTTTGAAGGCAAGGATGCAGAACCTGTGTTGATTTCTCTCAGGGATGGTTACACCCCTCCGTCTGCTCCCAAGTCAGAGTTCAAGGTCAACAAGAAGGCTAATCTTCTGGACAGTCGCAGACCAGGGCAAAAGTCTGCCCCTGTCATCGACACTGCTGTTTCGGTACGAGTCTAGCTGAGTAGAATGTAATTTAAATTTTTTTGAGTCCTTAAGGTAGTGGAAGTATAATGGAATATTTATTTGTTACACAAAGTGAATTGGTTATCATTTTGTTCAGTTACTCTGTAAATTTTCCTGTGGTTGTTGGATTTTGCCTGCTTCTAAGAAATAGGAAATTTGCCATTTTTTTGTAGTTAGTTTTATAATCTTTTTTTCCTGGGAAGAAGAATTCAGTGTTGCCAACCCAACTTTGCATCTTTGTTAAATTTACCTCTCTCAAACAGTTGGATAAATTTTAAATATCCATGCAAATACCTCTTTTCATAACTAAAATAGATCTGTTTAAATCAAAATCAAGATCTATATCTCACAAAACATACTTGCGTTTGAGACAATTTTCTCAGTACAAGAGTAGCCTTGAGCGGATATTGTTTACAAGTGTTACACTTTAAAATATCAATTGCAATGTACATCACAAGCTGAATTTCAAGAGTTTTGAACAAGAGGTATATTTATATGCACACATATTTGAGCTATTTAATCTTATCTTTATATTTTTCTTTTGCAGGAAGATATGATCAAAGAATTTAGAGAAGAAATCAGAAAACTGAAAGCCATGATTGTCAAACACGAGAATAGGATCAGAACTCTAGAAGAGAAGGAGAAGAAGGCTGAAGAAGAGGAAGGTTTGGTAGGAGACGGTTTGCGGGTGGGAAGAACAGCTCCAATCTCTGCACCGATTAGCAACGAGGACAACCATCAAAACTCCGACCATGAAGACTTGGCTCCTGATGAAGTCTAGCCAAATCCCATTCAGGTACGTACCTACTTTATTTGAGCTTTATACTCCTGCCACAGAGAAGTAAGGTACAGAGGAATAATTCTAGCACTAGTGCTGGTAACAACGTCCCCTCACCCTCATGTACTAAAACGTTCATGGTAGAGGAAGACCCTGTGCCCTGTGCTATAGGAATTTTTACACAGTCCTTGCTCGTCACAAGTATATTTCCAAAATAGAAACCGTATTTTACCGATTTTATTTTTGTAATATAATTTATAACTAAAATAAATGATTTTAAATCAGCTGATAATCTAACAAGAAAAAATAAAATTAATATTTATTTAAATAGGCCATTATTAACACACAGATTTTATATTGCTTTTAGAGCAAGTAGACTTATCATCCTACTTAAAAATCAGAAACTGGTTCTGATGCTTGTTTGTGTTGTGTTTGTTCTGATGGTTGATTTGTTATGTAGTATCTGAGGGTGTTTATATGGAAACGTTTAATTGCGTCAATAATGTAAACTAAAATAAAATTTTTTTTTGTTGGTTTCAAAATAACATCCATCTGGTGTAAATGGGAGTTAAAACGATTAATTTAAACCAGCTGTTTGTAACCAATTAATATATTATAAATTTAATGTTTGTCTAAATAGGCTATTAGAAACATATGGTGTTACTGATTGACACATGTGGCATATGACTATGACACATGACATATGTGTTCATACATACGGGGTGACAATTAAGCCTGGAACCTCATTTTTAGTTTTTAAACCACAATGGAAAAAAAATACCAAAGTTCACACGTGCTTACTGGTGATAGTAATGCACGCATCTGCCCAATTACCGACCGGATAACCCTTTTGGGGGACGGTCCACAAGGAGTCATACAAAATTCTTAAATAGCAGTATAGGTCGAGTTTGGTATCATATTAAAGGTCTCCATTAGTAAAAACAATGCCACAAACCCGAACTCAAACAAACAATGACAGCTGTTCAAATATTCCTCGAATTTGCAATGCTCGCTGTGAGGCGCCCACTAGAAGTCGGATGAAAATCATAAACGTAAGCATAGGTCGATATGCACATCACTTTAAAGGTTCGGATTAGAGTACAATGCCGCAAATTTGAGATCAAAATATCTGCTGGGTAAAAAGTGACAGTCGTTCAAAGATTCAAAATGGCAGATTAAATAAATATTTGAACGGCTGCCATTTTTGACTTGGTTGTCCCTTTGAGTTCGGATTTGTGGCATTGCATTTTAATTTGACTAACGGAGACCTTTAATTTGATACCAAACTCGACCTATGCTGCTATTTAAGAATTTTGTATGACTCCTTGTGGACCGTTCCCCAAATAGGGGGTTATCTGGTCGGTAATTGGGCAGATGTGTGCGTTACTATCACCAGTAAGCACGTGTGAACTTTGGTTTTTTTTATATTGCGGTTTAAAAGTTAAAATGAGGTTCCAGACTTAATTATCACCCTGTATATTGTGTTGTGTGTGTATATATATACATATTAAAGGACAAATTAAAGGAGAATAAATAGGACTCTAAAAGAAGTGGTAGGGAAGATAAAAAGTGGATTTTCGTTTGGTAGCCAAGTACAGTAGACTCCCTCTTATCCGGACTCCTCGGGACCGAGGCCAGTCCGGATAACGGGTTTTCCGGTTAAACCGACGTCCCCAAAAACTCGTTAAAACGGACTGTTTACTGTGATATTTGACTTAAATTTAGGAGAGCATTGTATTTAGACACGTTATCACTGGTCTCAAATCTTTCCCACGAGAACAGTCATTTCAGTACTGCCCACTTCCTGCCAATCTAGTCCGGTTAAACCAACGTGCTGATAAAAAATGGTCCTGTTAAAGAATTGTCATTTCCGCCGAGTGTAGTCCCTTTAAACCGATGTCCGGTTAAAAGGTGTCTGGATAAGAGGGAGTCTACTGAATGCAATTTGGATTAGGCTGTGGTGGACCTGGGAATCTAGAACTTTCTCTAAGATTATGTAGCGTTACCGATTACATTATACGCATACGATATACGTTACCGAACTATCTTGGGCTTGCTGATTTTGCCATTGATAGGAATAGTTACAAGCATAATCAAGAATGGTTATTGGACAATAAAGAAAAAGACGCTAGAAGATTGCTTATACTGCCAGGTTTAAAATGAATTTTATTCTCATATGCTTAAGTATCGTAAAACCAGTGCTCAATTCGCAGAGGAATGTGGCAGAAAGAAGTTCCAGTACCTCTCTTTTTCGGAAAGATAAAAATAATGGCATGAATAGGTACATATACAGGGTGTCCCACATAAGGGGTCTCAAATTCATTATGAAAATCGGCTTAACGTACAAGGATGATATAAAATTATTTCCTGCTAAATCGACCCGAAGGAATTACGTAAAAATATTTTTTTAACTTTTGTCCGATACAGGGTGTGCCACAAACTGAGGGTCACTAGTTTGAATCTCTGAATTTTCAAATGTAAACATATGTCATATTATGCATAATTTTAACGGTTTTTAATAGACAAACATTTTGGTGAAAACATAAATTAATTCTCTTTTTTCCGTTTTAAAATGACGGCAGTTTTTTTGGGAAAAATCAATATGTTTTTAATACTCTGTGTATCCTATACCAATGCACTTAGCCCTTCTCCGGTTGAATTTTCTTACTCGTTATGAAATTAGCTTTACTGTGATATATTTTTTTGAAATAATAAAAATTCCAAAAAAATTCATTTTAGAAAATGTGCAAATGCCCATTGTTCAAAATTTTTAAATATCAACATGTCAAGTGTCACATCATTTTATAGTTTTTTTTAATTCTTAACAACTTTGTAATTTATTACACTTACTTTGTACAGTAGACTCCCTCTTATCTGGACTCCTCGGGACCGAGGCCAGTCCAGATAGTGGGTTTTCCGTTTAAAACCGACGTCCCCAAATAACTTGTAAAAACTGACCGTTTAAATGCGTATTTGACTAAAATTTATGAGAGCATTGTATTTAGACACGTGATTACTGGTCTCAAATCTTTCCCACGAGAACGGTTGTTTCAGTACCAACCACTTCCTGCCGATCTAGTCCGGTTAAGCTTATGTGCTGATAAAAATTGTCCGGTTAAAGAGATGTCATTTCCGCTAAGTGTAGTCCGGTTAAACCGATGTCCGGTTAAAAGGTGTCCGAATAAGAGGGAGTCTACTGTATCTCTTTCAGTGTTTGTGTAAATAACAATAACCCTCATTTTCCTATATCAAATACATGTTATTTGGGTTTAACACTAAATGAAATGGGACCATTAGTCAATAAAATCATATCATTTTGAATGCTAGCCAATTGGAACAGATTTAAAATTACATTATTGCTCTTGTTTCAGTGGGATCCGACTCTAGTTACCGCCACCTATTCTATCACACCGAAACCCGCATCTACTATTTGTTAGTCTAATCACATCTTGAGGAGAGACGAAAAACGATCTACTCACTACTTAATTTTTCTTCGGCTTTTGTAATATTTTCTTTTTCCTTTTTGTAGAAAATCGAATAATTGTTGATAAACGTTTTGAACCATTGCATAGAAAGTTCTGTAAATTGGTATGAAGTGTTCTTGTAAAGTATTTAAATTTTGTCGGTGCAATAATCTAAAAGTTTTGACTAACATCTAACAATTCATTTCTAAGATATTAACAATTTTTATTTTCTCACATTAGTAGTCCTACCTACTTCGACGACAATAGATTTAACTATTTAAAATAATACTTTGTTTTTTTTTGGTGCCAAACTGATAAAAGTGTGTGTCAATTAATGTTTTTACTTAAATTGTCATTTTCAGTATTTTAGCCTCTGGTAATAATTTTACAAATATTTGTACGCTATTGTTAATATGTGCCTTGTGATTTTTGGCTGAGAAACGCAACATTTATTTTTGGTATTCCTGTCTTCCCCTTCCTTAAACTCCACGAGCGAAATGTTGTATTTATTCACTCACAGTTTGTGTTTTCTACTTCTTTTGTAATTAGTGTTGTTACTTTGTATTTGTCGTCGCCCCTCATCATCATGAAATGTGTTTGATTTTTTATGAAATACTTCATTTTCTTTTTGTAATTTATTCCACTTAATTGTATTGTTTGAATTTGTTGTTTGAAGTTTGTCTCTGTTTAATTAACCAAAGTTTATATCGTTAAGTCAAACAATAAAGGTGATTAGAAAGCTGAAAGCTTAAGTTGCAGTCACCTCACTAATTGCATTTATTCTGTGATAAGACCATGTCACAAATTAGGTTAAGTTAACTTAAAGCCTAACAACGAAAAATTAAACTCTATATCAAACCAATGTAGTTTTTATTATTGTATTGATAATGATTACAAACAATCAACATAAGTATTGTAACTTAATATTTAATAATTTGTCCAGTATTCAGTAAACATTTTTGCATATATTACTTAACTTAGTGCTCAATTTGTACTGTTGAGTTTTGGTTATCCGACCTAATTTGACTGTAAGAGTAAAGATTGGATACCAAAGAGAATAATAAAAACAAACCAATCTAAAAGTGTTAAATCAAATTATATTTAAACATTAAATACTTTCAAAATATAGGCTTGGTTACGAAATATTTTGTAGTACTGTGTAACATCTATATACTTAATAGAGTAAGGGGTTTCTCTGTACACATCGCTTTTTCGGCCGTCCTACTTAACCGATTTTTACATTTGAGGTGACATTTTGAAAACTTATGATATAGCGCGGGGACAAATGGTAATTAAGAAGGTAAAAGCCTTAAAGCTTTGCCCTTCTAGTGTTTGCCTGCAGTTGAATTTTTAACCACAGTCAGATTGTTAACAAGCGACAAAACACTTTTGGAAAATGGACTTTTGCCACTTGAATTGATATTTTTAACCTTATTAGGGTAGGTAAGTCACTCTTTAGGTTTAGGTTCACAATCTTCATAGTTTAAATATTGTAGGTTAGTAGTATTATTTATCTAATCTATCTACTGTCTTAAACAAGCATAATATATTTACAATCTAATAGTACTCATTTGTCTAGAACAAAATGAAGCCCGGATAACGCAAAAGGTCGGATAACCAAGTCTCTACCGTACTTTAGTTGAATGCATATTAATGTTTAGCACAAACTCCACTTAATTTATGATACAAAACTAAACAAAAAGTACAAAATAAATTATTTAAAAATTAATGTTTTAAAATTATTGACGTTTAATAGTTTAATGTAGAATAGATAATGAATGCCTTTTATGTTTTAATAGCCCAAAATTATTCTTTAGCTGTAAATCTATTGTCAGGAATAAGTACAGTTAGGTTTTTGTCGTATTTTGGGATAAATTAATAATAACACACACAAAAATAGTAGGCCTAGATATTAAAAAGTCATGTAACATTATTGTGCTACGCACAAATATATTCCTGTTGGGTGTTTTCTGATGTATTTTAATAAATATTTATGACTCAGACTGAAATTTTAAATTAAGCTTATTCATAAAAAGTTTTGTTGAACAAATTTACCTATACACATAGTAGTAGCCTATTACTATATTTACTACTGTAAACCCTCATTTATCTGTAGAGTCATTTAATAGCAGTTAGTAGAAATGTTATTGCTAAGTTTACACTTTACAATGTTAGAATACTACTTGTGCTTCAGTAGTTAATTATTTTCAAAATTCACAGTACAGTATCCAAATTTTTTCTGTAAAATATGTTTTGATTATAGACAAAGGGTACCCAAACAACCCCAGAAAACCACTGTCATTCTTCAAATTAAGTTTATCTTATTTTTTTTTGTATTATTATTAGTTTCTAGCTCCAATTAACCTGGATCAATGAAGGTTTCCTGTAGTATATTATATTTCAATAATTTTGTATCAATAGATCAAGCTTATCCAACACCCTACTTCAGTAAAGTACAAAGCATTAGGCAAATAAACTTAAATGTGAACACAAGTTAAAAATATTTTAAACAGTATGAAATTAAATCTAATTGTACTTAATAATAGGGTAAGCAAGTATTTATCCATACAATTGAGTATTTAGTGAAACATTAATTTTAAACAAGTATTTTCTACAATGTTACTTTTTGTATTATGCTTGATTTTCAAATCAAACTGATATAACATTTTTGAATACTCAGGGTTCTAACCGACAAAAGTGTTGATACAAGTCATTAAAATATAATTTACAATTATATATGTAACTTGTTAAATATTTGAATATCAATGCTGATTTATATACAATAAACATTTTTAAGGATGTAGACTTCTACTTAAAATTAAAATGTTCATACAACAATAACGTTTTATCACAGGACATGCTTTTTAATCAAGTTACTTCATTTGATGTGTGAGTGTAATTTTTATATAAGAAATGAAACAAAACCATTATCGTTTGAAAAAGTTTTGATATATTGTCTTTTTCAGAGTTAACTCAACAGCTTTGAAATTTTATTAAAAAGTAAATTAGTAAAATAAAATCCCAAAAGCAATCATGGACAAACAACTTGAAGCAAACTAAAAATACATCACAGTTAGTTAAAAAAAATTACAATCAGTGTTAAAGCAAGTAAATTATATTTATAAGTAAAACTGAGGCCTCAGACACATTTTTGTTTTTTTACATCAACATTCATATTTTTATCCAACACACGATATAGTTACAAAATATAGTAAAAAACCCCGTCAAAACACTGTAACTTTATCTTATGAAGAGTTGCATCTTGGAAATAACAATGCATTTTTTAATTTTTAAAAGATGTTCAGTTCTTTTGGGATACAGTATCCTCTAAATCAACTTTTATTGGTATAAAATGATGTGGATCTTAAAATATTCTCATTTTATATTCAAAATATAGATTGGGTTTGAAATGAGCAAAGATCGTTAATTAATTTGTCAATGTTTGTTTTTTGTATATTTTAAATGTGAGATATTACTGATTTAGGTTTTAAGGTTTTTATCTAATACAATTATCTGGTGCCTTAAGAGTGATGTTTGCACTTTAGCCCATTAAGAGGCTCGGCTTTCTAATCATTTACTTAAAGAGCTGTGCCTGAAGGTATCTTTTGTAAATAAAGATTTATTAGCTTTGATTGTTAATTTGTTAATAAGTCTCATTAAAATAGGTTGTTATAATGTATTTGTAGTGCTTAACTCCTTAACTTATACCTAGTTGCTAGTTGCTCAACGGTAGCATTGTTTTCAGTTCTAATTGAATCTGTATATTATTAATTTTTTAGTCTGTGCAGCGTTTGGAAAATAAGCGCAGATTTTTAGACAAACTCTTATAAAACATCACTTGTTGCTCGAGCTTAAAAGAGAAAAAAATGTTTTAAACTTTACATAAAGCGAAAAAGAGAGATATGACAATAACTTTGTTTTTGCACAAACTGTTAACTTGTAATCTCTTTGTCTTAACAGTGAAATATATGTTGGTCTTATGTGTTGTTAATGTTGTTATTCACCAGTTGTTTGACTGAGCTCATGTATTTATATTTTAATTTTGCCTGTTAAAATAGCATTTCTCTTATGATAATTTTAGATATTGAATGAACAAGCTAATTGTTATTTTTTTTAGACAGGATAAACATAGACAATTGAATGTTTTGCATGCTGATAGATATTAAACAAATCAAAATAGCAAAAGTCAAATAATTTTACAGAATTATTAAAAGAAATTATATTTATAATATATAAAATAAACTAGGTTGTAGAATATAATTAAATAAATTTTAACTTTTGTCTGTATTTATTTTTATATTTAATAAAATGTCACAAGTTTATAAACAAATTGTATTTAGTCATAAATTTTTGTGTTTGCAAAGAATTATTTTAATGACGTATTTAGCTACAACAAACATTGTTGTTTAAGTATTACATCACTGATAAAATAATTTGATCAAATCTTGTTCCTATTACAAATGTATTTAACAATGAGAATGTTGCTAGCCACTATGGACAAAAGTTTTGAAAAGTTCACAAGTACCTTAATGGACACGTTAAATTTGTTAACTGTATTCTGAATATTTTTAATACAAATGTTTAATATGCAACTATGTTTTCGTTTATTTTTCCTGGAATCCTTATCCATCTCTCCGTATTTGGGTCCTTCTTCATTAAAGGTTTTTACTTTTTTATCATAAGTCATTCAAATTAGGAAAAATGTAGATTATAAGTTTCGTCCTCGGTTTTCAAAAATCTTGAAGGAATACTACGTTACTAAACCAATATTTTACACTGAGCCATCTAAAAGAAGCTGCCTTTTAAAACTGTATGGTGGTACTTAAGGGTTTTTAGCAAATTTCCCATATAGGGAATAAGCTATTACCATAAAATACCATTACCGCTATTACCTTAAAAATGGGGGAGCGAGCTGCTCTAGTGGTTAGAGCTTGAAACTTCAACCCTTGAGGTCCCGGGTTCAAATCCCGCCAAATCATCAATGGATTTTATCTAAGTGATAATGCTGCAACCCCTAGGTCTAGCCTGAAGTAATGTGAAAAACAATCCCGGGCTCGTGCTTAGCGTCCTAGGAAAAAAAATACCATGAAAAGATCTAGACACGCAACCGATTAAATTTTTGTTTAGATAAGCCAGGTAAAAAATTTGAAATTTAATAGATCAGTATTTAACAGCACTTTTGGTATGATACACAAATATTGAAATGGATGAAATAAATAGTTTCTACCGCATGACTAATGTATTCTTGTCACATTCATATCAATTAAGTTTGACAGACAAAATGAGTTTGAGCCTGGTCTAGCAAGTCAATTTGGTTGAATCTGCCACAGAGGCTGCAGATGCGGTTGAGAGGTAGGTTACTGACTTAGTTTAATTTTGTTGTTAGTTGGGAAATATTTTAGTTCAGTTAAATTAAACCAACCTTTTGTTTTTGTTGATACCAAATAGTGGTATCATTATTCATACAGAAGTACAGTATACAACATTTGAACCGTGTCATTTATTTACTCAAACATTTAAATTGCAGCAACATCATTTAAATTAATACTAGAGGTTAAAATACCTTTCCGTCAGTGTGATCAACGTCACAGATGAGTGGCGACTGGTTTCAACCCGGCAATGGGGTCATCTTCAGGCTATAAAAGAACAAAAATTCACTCCGAAAAGGTCGTCAGAAAGTCTATATTTACATAATGAAGAACTAAACTTAAGTATATTTTAAGAAAAACATGTGTAGCCACACATTGACTGCGCCGCGGACAGTATGCGTACATTGAGTTAGTCCAGCTGGAGAATTTATGTTATTATATAGCCTGAAGATGACCCCATTGCTGGGTTGAAACCAGTCGCCGCTCATCAGTGACGTTGATCACACTGACTGATTAAAGGTATTTTAACCTCTAGTCTTAATTCAAATTAGTGATCAAGAGGCAAAAACAACAGAAATGAAAACATAATTTTCATCACTCCTTACCAAAAGTAACTATTTTCGATGACGGCTGATATCAAAGAAAATAGTTGTATCCCAAGCTCTAATTTAGAGCGAGGGAAAACGATTAGCTAAATTTCCCTTGCTCTCGATTATAGTTCTCCATTTATCCACTAGGCTTACACACGCTAGTGTTTGTCAGGTTTATTTTAATGATTTAAATCAGCTGTTTTCATTGTTGCACAATCTAAATGAATACAGAAACAGGCATTAGTTTGTTTTGCTGTTTTTTTAGCATTAGTGCATGTTTGATATATTGCTCAAAGTATGTCTAACATTACTGATGATTTGATGAGAACAGCTTCAGAGGTAACTAATCACATTCCACCAGAGAAATCACGGGAAAGATAAGAAGAGGAATACAGAAAGTTTAGAAACTGGTACAAATTACAAAATAATGTTAAGTCAATTAAAGTTAAGTGACAAAGTATTTATTTATGTAGTTATCAAAAAATGCTATAATCATGAAACCATATATGTTCGTTGTGAAGTGTATTTTCAATGATAATGTGTGGTCTAAAACTATTTTAATACAACTGAGGTAGGTATGTTATTCTGTATGTGTGTATTTTTGCGTTGTGATGAAAAGTATTGTTCATAACTCGTACCGAAAGCTATTTTCCGAAACTTTATATTATTCCCGTCCTCGGCTTCGCCTTGTATGTGAACATAATATCGCCTTGTGAACATAAATTTGGCTTTCCTGGAACTAGAGCGCTCGTCGGAAAATGACACTTTCAGTCCTAGTAATGAAATATACTACAGTATTACATTCCCTATTATTTCCAGTTTTTCCTTAAACTTGATGGGGTTTTTTGATTTATAAATTTTTAAGGTGTATTTTAGAAAATGGTCACCAATAAAGAAACATTTTTTCATAAAATTTCCTGTTTTGCAAAAAAAAAAAGTATTCCTATTCCGTGTTGTGTATGGTGTAAAGGTTGGCTAGACAGTGGGCAAGGTTTTATTTTTGATAAATAAAATTGAGTCAAAAAATGTTGCTCATATGCAGTAGATAATATTTATCTGTATAAAAATTATCTTTTCAGATTCATTCTTATTTGATCAAAGCATTAACCAAACTCCCCTTTTTTGGGTTTTCCAGTTTCATCTAAATTAATTTTTTCGGGAAGAATAATGAAGTGACACATTACTGAATTTTAGTAGATATTTTATTTAAATGCAAAATAGTGAGTTTTTACAAAACATCTTCTAGACAATCACAATGAAAAAAGAGAGACTAACGTTTGGTAGGAAATAGAGCCGAAATTTAGTAATTTAAAAAGAATTATAAAAAGTTACATTATGAAATAACGCACTACCGTACTTACAATAGTAAACTGTATCGACACCTAGCTCGGACTCGACTGCCCGTTCTACTTGCGGAGTGCTGATGCTGACATTCTTTCAGCATCAGCACACTCCTCGCAACCAACTTCTGTCTAACAACTAGCTTGAACATTAGGCTCTCTTTTATAATCTGAATTATTAATACAATATATGAAAATAGGAAATACATAGGAATAGAGATAAAATACTTTAATACCCTTGAAAATAAATCATTCTAAAAGTTATCGTAGAAAGGTTAATGTTATCGGATTATTAGTTAAATTGAAAAAATTGATTATATATATATATACATAATATTATTATAGGGGTGGAGCCGTTACAATAATTTGTACATAGTACATACCATAAGCACACACAGGATTTCCACAAAAGATTAGTACAATTTAATGTTTAAGACATTGTGTTACTTTTCAACGTATGATGTTTTTTACCTGTCTTGGTTGTATTAGCCTAACGCTGAATTTGAATTTTAATTCGTACTCATAATTAATTGTTGCTGAATCTGCTCACATGAATAGAAATTATGACCTAAAATTAAAATTGTTAACTAACCTTGAAGGTAAAATCAGGGAAACAAATAATCATTATGTACACATTAAAATGTCCTTCTTTTTTTAGGACACAGGATGAAACAGGGTACATTATTGTGCTCTCTAGTTCTACTGGTAACAATATTATGTGCTGTACAAGCAGTAGCTGAATACCGATTACCAGATGATGTAGTTCCTCTGGAATACAAGCTGGATCTTCTAGCTCCCCCGGGCAAGATTTCTTCTAACAAGGATAGAATGTACAACGGCAAACTGTGGATAACTGTAAGTCCTACAACACTGGAAAAATAATAATATACATCACTTTATTTACTTTTTTGTCAGGTCAAAGCAAGCACCAATGTAGAAACAAGAAGCAAGTACTGATTAGTTCTAATATCAAAATATTTCTAACCACCAAGCCTGTGTGGAGTTCGCTTTCAAATTTAAAAAGACTATTCTTAGTTCTTTTAGTTTTAAATTTCAATCAAGGAGGGTTTGAGACTAAATATTTTGACTAAATATTTTCCTTACATGGGCTAGTACATTTTCAAAGGTAGAATAGATTTCAATCCCACCCAGCTTCTCACCGGATATGCACTGTTTTATCCGGCCTACCTTCACAAGATGGGAAATTCAGTGAGTCAGGAATGTCAGAATGGTGACTCCCAATGTTTTTATTTCCTGCATATGCATACCTTCTTCCAATGAGTTAGGTGGGAAGCCCTCAGGATTGACCTTGAAACGGCCAATGGCGCAATCTTGTCCGAAGCACTCTTTCATTTGATGTTTTCAAGTCCAAAATCCTCGAACGCTGTTTCTGCATCAAGAGAGTGCTGAAAGACAAGAGAGCCAAACTGCTGTTATGCACCAGCACAGCTTAACCTGGTGGATGAGCGCGACTGAATGCTACCATTACACTATATATACCTACAGATGCTACCCAGGCGTAAGAAGGCACCCTCTTGGAGCATTGCAAGTCCAAGAGAGGTTCCTTTGCCTGGACTGACAGTTTTTAGTGGGTTAGATTGAACAGCTAGCACAATAGTAAACAAGAGCAAATACACCTAGACCCTGTAATGTAAAATGTATTTAAACATCCGAACATCGTAAAAAAATCAAGTCTGGTTGCTAATTCATACGACTGAACTTATCTAAATTACCTTTGTATGTTAATTTAAAATATATTTTCAGGTAGAATGTAAAGTGGATACAAATGTTATAAAACTACACAGCAAAGAATTGAAAATATCTACAAAAGGTAAAAACCAACTAACAGTCACTGAAAAAGAAAAGCAAGAGAAACTCAATGTTCATAGGACCGAAATGCAGCAAGAAAATGCCCACTTAATCATTGAACTTTTGAAACCACTAGAAAAGGATAAAACCTACGTTGTATATTTGTATTTTGAAGGAGAATGGTCTCATGGTCTAATGGAAGGATTTCACCGTAATAACTTTAAAGACGAGTGGGGACATATCAGGTAAAACGAGTCAATATTAGATATATTAGGGGCGATGTCTACTTGTACCGGCGTCTAGTTGTACCTGCTGCATTTTGGTGACAGGCGTCTAGTTGTACCCCGTCCAAAGCTGTAGAGACAACTTGACGATGGTGCGGACGTCTAGTTGTCTCTACGTCTAGTTGTCTCTACGTCTAGTTGTACCTCTTAAAAATCTACAGGTACAACTAGTCGGGAACGTCACCGTCTACTTGTACCTCATACGTCTGCGTCTACTTGTACCTACGACTACTTGTACCTACGACTACTTGTACCTACGACTACTTGTACCTACGACTACTTGTACCTACGACTAGTTGTACCTACGCCCACTTGTACCTACGTCTAGTTGTACCTGCGGCTAGTTGTATCTCCCCTTCAACTTGTCACCGGTTTAAGAGATTTATTTTATTTCTTTAAAAATCATACAATCTTACAACAATTTATTATAAACAACTTGCTACAAAAGCCAGGAAAATTTGGCTTGTCTGCAGCTCATTGAGAAACAGTTTGTTATTAGTCTTTCTTTGCTTTTGTTGACGTTATTTTTAATAAATAATTTATATCACTCCAGAGGTTTAACTCTACTACTAAAGGCAGCAAACATGTTTGTGAATAAATATTGGTTTACTAAGGTAGCTTTGGTCTTGTGTTTGATGATAATGATAATAAAAAGGCTTCCCTGATTGAAAGATTGGAAATCGTCTTCGTCAAAAATGAAAAGGCAAATAAAGGTGTGTTGAGATAAGCTTAGTTCTTGGTCAAAACCGCTAAATTAGCATCCCTACGAAGTTATTATTTCTACGTTTATGCTCCTTTTGGAAAGGTTTAACAAAATTAGTGTAAAGTAAAAGCATCCCATTGACCAAACGTATCGCTAGATTTGTTTCTGATCAACATAAAAACTACTATTAGCCTAGTGTAAGATTATGTGGTGGTATTCCTCCTAATGGTGCGATTGATTTTAAATATTCTATCAAAAAGGGGTCTATTCAACGGCTGATTCCTAACTATTTTGCGACTGGTTAGGTTTCCATTACCCCGTTAAAAAACAATTAATTACTTTTCATCAGAATCTTCGACATGCATATTTTTGGTTGGTTTTAAGAAACGGAAACTACCTCTAGGTTTTACTGTTATATATGGATGCTTCCTTTAAAACCGTACATGCTGGGCTATATTATTTGAACCTTTTTTGTGGAGTACCTGGTTAAAATCTCCTCTAAAAAATTATGTGTTTCCGCCCATTGGAACTTGTCATAGTACTTACTTGATGATTATTGAACAAATATATTGCCTGTCCTGAACGAACCTATTTCATCTTTATTCCCAGGTTGATTTCCAAGAGTGGCCGTTGAGGTTTATCCCTTTATACAATAATTGATTAAACACCACAATAAATTAATCTAAAATTAAAATTGGTAAAATAAAAAAAAATTGAATAAATCTTGAACATATGTTTTGAAATTAAAACAAAGCAAAAGTTTTCCATTAAATCCTGAATCATTTATTTTTTAATTATAATTATCAACACATTTTCAAAGGAGAAACAAACGTCCGATTATTTCTAGGCAGCCACAACAGATGCCACAATCGTTCTACGATTTCCCAGTCTCTCACCACAATTTTGACGCAAAGAATCGGCTTACGTAATTAATATATAGATAGAATAGATAGAGTGTAGATGTAACAGTCGCTCATACATTACTAGACAAATTTTACTTAAGCCAAATTCAAGTCTGGAAATGTATGAAGCAGCCTTTTGGTCTTTTCAGTTGTATTCCTATATGCTGTTCTTACCATGTACATTCTTAGCGGCCACTATTTACATCAACGTTATTAGTAATGTACAATATTTACAGTTTCTTAATTACAATTAATTATTTATCGCTCAGTTCTGTTAGGGTTGAAGGTTTAACTAACCTGTTTTACATGGCTAAATGTAGTAACCATCCAACGCGGAATACAACGTCGCAATCCCTTGTTAAATATCTTTAACTGTAAAAGTTATAGTAACATATAAATACTATTTTTAACATACACAAATCTGGGTTTCAATCAATGTTGCTTCAGATAATAACGTTGAGCTACCATTAAACATTATTAGTTTTAGGAGACACTTTATTTTGGCTACGTTATGATTTCTGGTCGCTATCTTATGCTGGACCAAAGGATCGAAAGAATACGCAAACAATACCGGTATCATTACAATAGAGACATAGCTCCGTGTTTAAAGCGATATTATACCTCCACAAACTTGGGTAGTAACTATATTTAACTATATATAAGTTTGTTAAGACCAAAAGAACTGACTAATGTAAATAGTTTTAATTTAGAAACTGTACTATTGTAGATTACTAATAACGTTAATTGTAATAGTAGCCGCTAAGTATTTACATAATCAGAACTGTAAATATGAATAAAACCGTCAAGGCCGAAAGACCGCTTATACATTTCCATACGTGACAATTCTGTCTAGTGTATGAGCGGCTGTTACATCCAACAATCACATAAGACCAAGTTACATATACATTTATTTATCTAGATAGTAATTTAAAAGCGGTATATTTTTATTACTACTTAATATAGTTAGTAAGTTTTATTTGATCAGTGAGAACTGATTGGTTGCTTTAGTCAAATAGTCAACACCTAGCCGTGGTTCTTGGTGGTGTACGCAAACTTCGCTTGTCAAATTCCACTGACACAAAGGCCAGGCCTTGTAGTCCAGGAGCTGAGGGGGCTTGAGCATGCATAAAGGAGTACGCAATGTTATTGCTGATTATTGTAATATGGACTGTGGTGATCAAAATTACGTATGTCACCTATTTAAGAAACTGACATCCCCCATGTCAAGAAATTCCAGCTTCAACAGTAACCTCAAAATAAATTTCTCAAAAGTAAGCTAGAGGGTGCATTCGTTGGCACAGAAGTAAGATATGAACTGACGCGACGTGACGAAGGAAAAATCAAACTTACACTGTAACGGATATACCTCCCTTTGAATATGTCTTCCCAAAAAAGTTTTCTTTTCAAATAAAATCATATTACACTGATGAAATCACGGAAGTGTTTAACTACAAAAGATCCACCAATACGATTTTAATACTATTTAAAGGTTCTTCCAAAGGAAGAGATACCAGATAACATACTAATAATAACTCCGATGACGTATGGTAAGGGGAATATTTTATTCATTGAATGATCAACCGAATTTGGCGACTAACGCAATTAATATCAATATTGTTTTTACACTTATTATTCTTTAAACAATGCTAAATGCTCAAAATATGTAGCCTATATTTCATCCAATTTATCGCAGTTAGGTGAATTAACGTAATCCTTGAAAGTAACCGTCGATTTCGACGGGTTTCACCTAGTTACTATTATTAAATAGTATCTATATAAATAAAATTAGAGTTTTGTCTGTACATTGCTCAGAATTATATACTTTTAGTTTATTTTTACGTTTTATACATTAAAGAAGCAGAAACGAGTCTTATCTCAATTTCTGTCTGTCTGTCTGTCTGCCTGTCTGTCCCTTTGTCTGTAACACTCAAGATGGCATTTTACGCAATCTTCTCCGTGAAAACCAGAGTACATATCAAGATCCAAGTCATTTTAATGTATTCACTGGATTGGCGAGAGTGTTTTTAGTGATTTAAATATAGCCTCACTACTTTGTAAATTAAATTACGGACGTTCAAAAATGCAGTTTTGTGCGATTTTTGTCAAGTTTTCGTTCAATTTTTATCACATAATCGTCTATGAAATAACGAACAGCTGTTCGGATCAAGATTATTTTTTCTAGCTGTCATGTTTACAAATGTTGTTTACAAATACCGCAACTATTTCGAATCACGTTTTGAAAGCAAATCCCAACAAAGTGAGATTAAAAACGTTTTTCTTACATAATAACGGATTTAATTAATCGCAAGTGCAATAATATAGTCTAATAGTGTAACCGTAAATGAAATTAAATAACTAGACATCGTCCAAATCGGAACCAGAAATTCTTTGAGTATAAAATGTTTCTTGAGTTTTGACAACCAGAAAGAAGAAGACCTTGAATCAGTGTTGTATAGGGCTGTGACACTGAAATGATCGTCGCCAATAGCTTACAAAAAAGGTTTCCACTCATTGACGGCGCTTCAATGGCGGTTGTGTAAAGTGTAAAGTAAAAAATCACAACTGCAGTGGGTGATTGTAACAGAGGTTTAACAGAGGAAGTGCTAAACTCGCTTTTCCAATGTGTCACTTTCTGTTTCTACTCACCGTGTGATGCAATCGCTGGACCATACAGCCAATAGGCCCATAGCTCATATCTTGGGTACGTAAGCCTACATATTTATTCATAACAACCTTTTTGATGACGATCCTTGATACCGGTACTTTTCCATAGAATACATGGCCTATACCTACTTAAAAAATAAAATTACAAATGACCAAAACCCCAACATTGTGTGATTTTCGTCACATTTCCTTCTAATGTTAATAGATATACTAATCATTGTTTAGAGAATGCGTAATCTATTAAATAACAAAAAGTTGTTTGGGTAAGGTTGTTTTTTTTTTCAAACTGACACCGATAAGTTTACGCTATAACTGTTTACGAGAAAATCCAAAAGCAAGAGATCAATAACCTCGGGACTAGATATTAATGTATTTAATTGGTACGATTTACTATAGTTCTTAGGTAGGTTCTTACGTAGGTACTGGTTCTTTTCCTTAGAACCGTTAGTTTACAAATTTGATATCGTTGGTGTTGCACCTTATTTATTAGAGCCGTCCGTATTCAATTTAAGTGATGTCTTGACTCTGTATAAGTTTTGCTTTTTCTGTCTGGATTCCAAATCTTAGCTTACCCGGTATGCTAAGAAAATGATAACCTATTTGAGTAAAACATTTGTTGGGCAAACCATCATGAATTGTTTACGCCTTTATATTGTTTATGTATCAATAGTTCGTGGCCTTTGTTGGATTGT